AATGGAACCTCGACTCTACGGAGAGGGCTCCAGGGGCCTTCGAAGCCCAATTAAAAGACGCGGAACGTTTCCACGTCGATCTCAAGCGACCCAAACCCGTGGTCTGGGCCCTAATCAACATTCTACGACACTTCCATCAAGCCTTCAGCTATGAGGGTCATCTCATAGGGAACTACACCAAGATTCCTTATGCGCCTCGATTTATCTCGGCTCCGCCACCCCTTTCGAGGCCACGGTCGTACTCTCCGTTGGAGCGGACAGCCCTCGAGACGGAGCGAGACACCATGATGGGGCTTCAGAGGTGGAAACGAACCACCGAAGTAACCTTCGCCAGCGATCCTGTTATCATTCGCTATGCAGACAAACCCCCGCGCGTAGCCTTCGACTATCGCCGAGCCAACGACTGCATGGCCTGGGATCCATATCCCTTTCCCATCATGCTTGATTTGGATGTCACTGGGCAATTGTTCGACTATTAGGTCGAAATGCTGGTCAGCGGGACATTCTATGTTTGCCCGGTCGCCGTATGCGAGGCGCTGGAGATGAGTTTTGTGGTCAATGAACGCGAGAAAGCTGCAAAATTCTTTGGGGTTCACGTGGCAGTGCACATATTCGGTTTTGCGCTTGGACTCGGTTAGGGGATCTCGGAACTCTCGAAGCAGTTCCTCTTTCCACCTTTTCCAGGTCCATGAGCGAGTTTCCTGGGCTTCCAGAGTGTAAAACCAAGCGTCAGCAGGGGTTTTCTCGGCTATCATGGCTGGTAGGAGCTGTACCATCCTGGCATCCGACGTTGCGCTAACGTTTTGAAGAAGTTGGACTTTGTTAAGCCATTCTTCAACGTCTTGGTTTCTTCTGCCCGTAAACTCGGGTACGTCCTTTGCTTTCAAGGAATCGACCTTGGTGTCGCTGGCCCACGGGGCCGCTGGCACTTGGATTGGAGGCACCGCACCTGAAAAACTTGGTTCGGTACGCTCCCTTGGTGTGTCCGCCGTTTCCCACGGGGTTGCGGACCGTTCTCTTGTAGCTCGTGCTATGGGAGGTTGTCCAGGCAGCGGGCGATGCGCTAGGGCTTCTAAGGCTCGTGCGAGGCGCTCATCCGCCGCTGTCTGACGTTCGGAAAGCCTATGAAGCTGTTCCGTAAGGTTTTGAGTTGCCAACTGCGTTGCAGCAGTCGAGCGGGCAATGTCTTCTTTTAACGCTGCCACTTCAGAGGCCATCGTGGCCAAGTTAGGGGCTTCCGGTTCGACGGAAGTGGTCCCTGAACGCCTTGGGCGTGTTGCGGGAGGGACTTCGACGTCCTCCGCAGGACCCTGACTACGAGTCTGGATCACAGGTGAGCGGCCTCGCGTTGGAGAGCGTTCGACCGGCATCATTCTCAGTTTCGTGAAGTCTGTTTCCGAAACGAGAGAAAAGGTTTCCGAGTAGCTACCTGAGCGGATCTCGGTTTGCGCAAGAGTTTCGGTACGACCGAATAAGGATTTCAGCTGAATTTGAGAGGGGAAGGCAGTTCGTCGCGCTTCTCCACCATGTAACGGATTTTTTGTTGGTAGACTATGGTAAAGACAACTTGGGTCTCCTAGCAGGTTGTGTGGGTGTCCGTACTAGGAATCATAGTCTCCAAATCCTTTCTTTGGGCGTCGGTAGCGACTTGAGGGCGAGAGGCAAGGAGAGTCGGTTAGTTGTGAACCGAGCAGGATTTAGAGGCTTCGGTGCGGGTGATCAGGCCATTGAAGCGCTCTGTTAGGTTCCTGTTAACCTAGGATTGGGGTTGAGAAGCTAGTTGTGGGGATTTTTTGTCGCTACGGCTTCTGCCCCCGACTTATTTTATTGAATACATCCTTTTTATACAAGATTCTTGGATAAACTGTTAAACTAAACTAAACTAATGGGTGTCGCTGCACCGCAACTGATTTATTGGTGGCGGTACCGATCTCTTCCTTTTCCGCACTGGCTCGGGCCTCCACAGGTTGTACGAGGCACGCTGAAATCTAATGCGCCAATTGCCATTCTCCGAACCGGTTTTTTCGGTCGCGGTAACCCAATCGGTGGAGTTGGTCACGCGATTCGTGCTTCCCGCGTCCGATTTGGGCTTACTCGCGATCTCTCGAAGACGTCCTCGTCGTTACAATCCTCTGCATCGCCCGCCAAGAAGCACAAGCCATAGAGAAGGTCGATTTATGGATGCGCATCTGCAATCTACGTACCAAGGCTTTTCGGTCTCGCCGCGATATGCAGTTTGAAGGCTCGATCACGACAGATGGCACCTCGGTGTCAGTTTACTTGAAACATCCTGAAGCTGACAAGTATGGAAAGCGCAGCAGCGGAGGGAAGAAGTCAGCAAAGACCCTAGAAGCTGAGGTGAAGGCAGTATATGTGGAGAACAACTTGCCTGCCTGTCGAGCAGCAGAGAATGTCATCGTTATCAACCCAAACAAGCGCGACATTCTCTACTGCCAAGACAGTAATGGCATGACATTTCGCTACACTGCCAACCAGCGAGCCGTGGAGACTGGAAGCCGTCAATTTGCAAAAGAACGGCAGCAGATGAAAGCCGGCAGTATTGACCTCATAGAATCATGAATACCATCTCACAAGACGATGAACCTCATGGACTTTACTCGCTACCTTCTCATTCGCTGTGCAGATTCGGATCATTGAAAGGAGTTCTACTCACATCCTGCCCACACGCGGTGGAAGTGGCATACATTTATAAACCATCAGAAGAGTGAATCAAACCTCATATCCAACATGCGCAACAAGTTTGGGAACTTCACCATTGTGATGGGTGATTGGAGCGATGCCAGTCGAACTGCAAGATTTCAGACCTCATCAAAGACGAAAGGTTGGCGCACCCTCTTTAAGCGCAACAGGATCAACTGCTTCCTTCTCAACGAGTACAAGACCTCATCTGTCTGCCCTCACTGTTTGGCCTCATCCGCTGACTTCCTTGAAAAAGGCTTCAAAACACGACCTCATTCAAGACCTTGGCGCCGTCGCGAAGGCAAGATTGAAAAAGTCCATGGATTGCTGGGTTGTACCAACCCTAACTGTCAGCAAGCCTGGACGATGCGCTACTGGAACAGGGACACGCTGAGCACCTGCAACATGCTGATGATCGTGCAATCAATGTTAGATGGACACGGTAGACCAGAGGTGTTCAGGAGGGGTGTTCCAGTGGTAGCGTAGCGTAGACTAGTTAGATTAAGGTTTCCGAACTGGTTGTCGCCGGTTCAATCCCTGGTGCGGGTGCTAGTGCCAATACCCATCGGCTCCGCACTAACAATCATACCCATCAAACCAAACCAACAGCGACAACTTCCAACCCTCGTGCGATGGCCAAGATTGAAGAAGAAAAACCCGTACATGCCTATTTTAACAAAATATTTCCGGAACGATGGAACCCTCCCCATTTCTGGGGAAATGGAGGCAGTCCACTGAAGGAGCAAGCTCATCACATCTGGAAAACGTCGCTTCTCAATCTTTTGTCGTGTCTGGACTAAGCAAGAGCTGAGAGAGCTGCTGCTTTGTTGAAGATGGATCAGGTTCGTTGCTTCAGCCATTTTACACAAACGCGTCGTTCATTAACATGATACACCTTGAATAGTTCTACTTTTAGAGTCCTAAACCGGAGTTCCATTGTCATAAAAAAAAACAAAATCGCTGATACCCAAGGGAGCGTAAACTTAACCGGTGCGTCCATCTCAATGGAGCCGCAAACACCTGTAATCCAGACGCCAAACGTGAGTCTTTGTAGTAGTTGTTTATCATGTCAATGTAATACTCACAGTTCATTTAGGTCGGTATGAAATTATCCGGATTTAAGGAAAGGTTAACGAAACGCTCGTTTGCGGATGCGTTCGACGATGATGATGATACGATCGACACTCCTACGCGCCATACCAAGACCACCCAACTCGAAGCACCGTACAAGTCAAAAGATGAAACCCTTACTCGATATTATATTCGCTTGGCGCAGCACTGTGAGAGGACTGGACATATCACTCGCCCCCAACTTGGATTCACGGTTCGCTGCATTACTGACACCGAGCACCAGTATCACAAGGCAGTAATGGATGTGCTCGCTGTCTACGATGAGACTCGGATGGGATGTACCTTTGGCTCCTTCTTGGAGGAAATTTACCCCAACAATACGACCAAAATGAAGAGTCTGGTAAAAGAATCCTTGATGAAACAGGCTTCCTCACAAGCTATGTCGGCGGCCTGTACGATGCTCTCTAATGGTGTAGCGGCTTTTGGTGCTATCCTTCTCGCGAGAGCATTTGGGTGGAACGTCAAGGGTGACGCAAGGTTGATGCCTAGAAATGTGGCTTTGACAGGCAGTATAACCGAAGATCACAGTGCACTCCTTGTTCGTACTCGAGAGCACCGAAATGAGAATGGGTTACTGTATATTGTTTTACCGAGTCCGTGTGTTTTGAATTCACGGTATATGACGCATGAGCGGTTTATTGAGGTGTTGGGGTGTGTTGGGTTTGGCGTGGTTGAATTCAAGTTTGCGAAACGGGTTGCGTTTTGTTTGTTTAGGAGGTGTGGTGGGGGTGTAAAGGGGATTGGGAAAGTCGAATGTAATCCTGGGAAGGAGAGGAATAATTTTTGTGTTGTTATTGATGGCAGGGCAGCTGGGATGCCAATTTGGCACATACACACTGTATATTTTGAGATAAAAGGGATATAAGATACTTCGTTCACGTATCCTAATACTAATTCCTACCACGCCATGTTGCAATGAATGCTGTCAAGGGTCATGGGCTGAATATCAAAGCTTACTCGCCCCTCTCTCAACAGCCGCAACCGCTCGCAAAAAGTCTTCACGTCCCTCTGCCCTCAAAACATGCTCGGCATTTCCTTCGCGAACGGTAAATGTGTTAGGAAGGTACCATTCTTGAACAGAGTCTCTGACAGCAGAGTTGCGGAGGTCGATGGTTTGGATGGGTTTTGTAGAGTTTTGGTCTTTGTAGAGATGGAGGTGGGTGTGCTATGAAATGGTTTTTTTGTGGAAGTGAATATAGTATATGTGTACACAGAAGCGGAAGGACGGTCAACATACGTGAATCACCATCCAGCGTTTCCTCCAGTACCGATCATTGGATGTCAACTGGTCGAACCAGTTGGAGAGAATGGCGCCCTGCCATTCAGCACAGTGTAAGATTATGGTACGGTCTGGATGAACTGGCAAAGGAATGAGATAGATGCAAGCTACCTACCTTACGGTTCTTATCTTCCATGGTTTGATATTGGGCCTTGTAGGCTTCTTTGATTGAGCGTTCTTTGGCTGCCTTTTCCTTTAGCCATTGCTGTTCTTTGACTCTATTAACGTGCCAAAACATTGGGTGTTAGTCCCTTCTAAGTTTTTCCAACCTAGTTCTCATGTGGCGTGTACCTCTCTTCTGCAGCCGCTTTCACCTTTCTCGCCGCCTCCTCCTTCAACTGCTCCTTTAATGCCGTATGCTCTCGCACTCTCCTCGCCGCCTCCTCTTGTGCATCTTCACCTTTATCTGATGACAAGGAGCTCGTGGATTGATTCAACGCCTTGCCTGGTAGCATGTTGGAGCTACTTGAGCTGTGAAGAGGAACTTTTGTGGGCGTGAGAGGTGTCTCAAGCAGATCACTTGGGGATGTGATGGAGATTTCAGAATCGTGTTCCTTGAGGAGTGCATTGATTTGTTTGCCGTAGGTAAAGGCAAGAGCACGGTTCGCTGTCTAATCGCACATCACGGGATGAGAAAGGAACAGATGGAAAAGACAGATGTACTTTCGTACGTTACCTGCTCGGGAACACATTCGACAAGTAAAAACTTATTTTCATGTTTCACGTAGCCATAGAGCGGGACTTCGCCCTGTCCGAACTCCTTTTGAAATTCCTGAAATCCGCCTGCTCCGCTGGCGAGGACACTGGATCGTAATAACGGATTATGTTGTCAGTGTGCCCCGAACAGAGTGATGTGAATGATTTGTTCTTACCTTAGGACTTGGAGATTCTGTCCAGGCAGCTTAGGAAGGACAGCTACAACAGATAAAGGATTTAGAGAAGAATGAATTTGACAGATGCCCTCGAGCCCATGTGTGCAGTAAACTAAACATGACGGTGCACTTACACAGGATCATCCTGTTCACACAAAGACGAATATTAACTGGTCAGATCTACATGTTTCTTCACCACGGCCTCATCACCACAAAACCAATATTCAAAAAACAGCTCACCAATCTGTACCAGAGTCTCCAGCCCGAATCGCCTCATACGTCTGCAAGATCTTTGGGTCGTTGGTATCTAATGTAGCCATTCCTAGTAGCAGCTATCCACCGTGACAAGTCGAGATGTGTCAAAATCGATAGTAAAAAGAAAAACGATCTTTGCAAACCCAAGGACAAGGTATTCTGGTTTGGACTTTTCTCGAAGCAAATACCAGCGACTACAAACACCACAACACTTGCAATCACATTCACAGCAGAAAGAAAAGAGGCACACTGCACAGTGGGGGTCTGAACTAAGAACAAATAATACCGTATAAATAATACCGCATGTGTTATGGCATTGACACTATCTTGGTTTGTCTAAAAATAGCTGTTGCGCACAAGGTTTCCTTCCGGATCCTTATGGCTTTGTCGGAGATTTTTATAGCGGGCAGGGAGCAGAAGGAAATTCCCTCGGAAATGGGTGACGCTGGGTCATGTTTTTGTTGGGCTTCGAGATAAAAAAAACTACACCCCTTTATGCCTGATAATCTTTAGATGTGTATGCAGGGTATGTTTTGTCGTGGCTATGGAGTGTGTCCCCGGGATTCTAGGTTTGATTGCGTTGCGCTTTTGATGTGAGGTAAACACTTTCATTTGGCGCCTTCTTCAGCTCCCTTATTGTCCAGTCTCGGGTTCTTCTGTAGGGTTATTTTAACTGGCGGTTAGATTTCTTTTTTTGGAGACACTGGGTATTCCACCCGCTACTTGTCTTGAGAAAACCTTATTTTCGTGGATTGGGGGAATATACCTCCTTTATTCCTTACTTAATTGCCTTCATCGACATGGTCAATGACCAGCTGTTGAGGACGTGGGGGGCTGCGTTGTCGTTTGGGGGAACCGTGATTTGTCTTTTGAGCGTCTTTGAATGGATGTGAGTACACGACAAGGCACACGTTTATCGGGGGATTGAGTATCCAGTCTTGATTGATAGATACCTAAATGTTTAACCATAACTTGTAGTTTTAAGTTTCGCCGGTCCCTCCGTCCCAACAAACTCTTGCTCCTCATTTTCTCGTGTGCATTTGGCTCACTTTCCCTAACCATCATGGCGAGCCGCATCGTCATCAAACAACCAAACGAGGCAACACTAGCTTTCGCGGTTCTAAGCGGCATCTTTCTCCAAACCTCCCAAGCAATTCTCTGGCGATGCGCACTCCAACGTCTCAACTCTGTTCTGGCAACAAAGTTCGCAGAGCGGGCAACAGACGTGGCAACCGCACTGAGTGCGGGGTATTGTATGGTCCTGGCTTCTTTTATGGTGATTTCTGCTATGCAAGCGGAGGGAACTGTGATGGAGTTGATTAATTCAAAATGGTATCAAGATTGGTTTAGGATGGGGGATGGAGCGGATTTGGTGATATATGAGGCTGTTTGCGTTTGCGCAGATTTGATACTGCTACAGGTTTGCTTGAGCCACCGTTGCTTTTCTGCAAGCGTGTTCTTTAAAGTTAACATAACGTATTGCTTCTGTACACCAGATGCTCCGAGAAAACATGAAAGCACGAGGCGACCGATCCACCCTTGACAAAACCCTCAAACTCCGCATCACAGCCTTCCTCGTCATAATGAACCTCGTCTTCAAGATGGCCGATGTCAGCGTGAAAATTGCCTCCATTGCAACAACCTACTTCCCGTTTGATGTCTACTTTCGGTCTGTCACCGTGTGTTTTGAGACTTGGACGTTACTCAAGTTGGGAATCACGGTCGAGGATGTCATAAAAGGGGACGGATGGGATAAAGGGTCGGATCGAGCAGGGGAATTGACGATCAATCGGGCGGATACACATAATAGGTTGCTCTTGGCCAAGAGTGAGACGTCCTTGCTCCACAGCAGGTCCGCGCCAGTGTTGCCGCCTATTAACGTTACGTAGATTTCTGTTTTTTGGAGGAACCGGGCTATATTATACTAGGAACATGAGAGATTCGATGGTCGCGGGGGGATACTGGGATTTCTTTGGAGGTTCGATGAGAGGAGAGGTTTATTATTTGGGATCATCATGAATATCTGCCGTTATACCATTTCTTGTACTGTGGAGCTGTATCCATTAGTAGCTTGAGGTCTGACTGTTCGATTCGCATCGTGGACACCAACCACGTTTCTCCCCATCCCAGATCAGTGGTCAAGTTTCTGAATAGGCATTCATGTTGGCTGTGGTTGCAAAAAAATAAAGCAAAGACCTCTGGGATGCAGGGGTGTTCAAAATGTCTCGTTCAATCATTGTCATCTGTCCTTTGCTCACCCGTTCTTGTGATTTGCATTCAAATGATTGCCTAATTTCGCTGACTAAGCCAGGGGTGAATCAGCAGTCACCTGACCATGGGCTGTTCATAAAAGGGGGAACGCGAGGGGTTTACACGTCTTTCCATCGCGCCCATCCTTGTTTCTTGCCCATCATCTCTGCCCACCACTCACACACCATAGAGAGGACAAGAATGCAACACCCGTACTCTTGGATACCGTCGCTGCAAAAGCGGACTTGACCAGGTTCGTCCCCGTAGTGGAATGTGCACAGGTTCAGGGAATCTTCACGGGTACCTGCTTGGGAATGACGCGTGCGCTCTGCTGGTGGGAGCAGGGTCCACATATCATTCTTGCCCAGACTCGGTGATTTTTCACTGCCTGCTCCAGACTGACGCCGAGGCTCGGAGAAACTGAGCGGGTCTCTGGTTGGGAGTGAACCGATGCTCCTGCTCCCACGAGCAGGGTTCCATCATCATTCGTGCCCAGAGCTCGGTGATGTTTTTACTGTGTTGGCTTCAGCCTGAGCCTCGGTGGCGTCTATCTCATCTTGTGCATTCGCTAACCCCGGACGGATTAGTTCTAGGGGCATCAATCGTGGTGCGGTAATTGTGAAGAGTCATCCGCGCAAGACACCCCCTGGCAATCTGTGTCTAGCCGGTTGACAATTTAGGCCCAAGAAGATCCGTCGTTCAGCAGCAGACTCCAAATATCAAAGCATCTGCGGCTCGGATCGAACGTGCTGCTGACTTGACCAGGTACGTCCCTTGGTGATTGTGCACAGGTTGGAGAAACATCACTGGTACCTGCTTGGGAATGACGCGTGCACTCTGCTTGTGGGAGCAGGGTTCACATATCATTCTTGCCCAGACTCGGTGATGTGTATACTGTGTTGGCTTCAGCCTGAGCCTCTGGTTATCTGCCACTTTTGTGCATTCGCTAATTGGACGTTTTAGTTTTAGGGGCATCAAGCGTGGTGCGGCAATTGTAAAACCTGGTTCAATAGTTCGCAGATAACCAATTCGTTAATAGATACTTGCTGCTCACGCTATATTACCGACATTCTTTATGGTGATGTCTTGATGAGATTCTGCGTAAAGCCATTTCTTGTAGTACTGTTGAGCTGTATCCACTAGTACCATGAGGTATGAGAGGTTGAAAAATACATGATACACCCAAATGTTGGGCACGACCACATTTCTGCCCGTGTCAGATCAGTTTGTAAAGTTTCTCACCCTCACTAAAGGTACCTGATGCTGCAGAGGCATTCATATTGGCTGTACGAGTTGCACAACAGAAACCAAGGGCTGTGGGATGTAGATAATGTGGGTATACGTTGGTATTTGGGCGCTAATTTGGAAACCTTGGAGGGATATGTTCTTGCAAAGAAAGTCGAGTTCTTTGGCCAATGACGTGGAACTCTTAACTTTGACTCGAGAGGAAAATCATCCCAGGCAAGCCGTATCGAGGGTCTTCATTTTCACTACATAAAGGACGTATTTTCAAACCCCTGCAAGATGTAACTTGGGAACTTCGAGGCCATATACGTCGCCTTTGAGTGCTGGGCATATTGAGCCACAGCAGGCGAATGATAATGGAGGGAATGATTGGGTGTGCTTTTACAGATAGCCAGGAATGGGGATAAATAAAGGTGAAAAGTACCATTGCTCTTGGTAATTGCCATACAGTTAATAGCTATAATGGAACAGCATAATGTCCAGTGGCCTATAAGATGCACGAATCCTGATGAGATAATGTCATCTTATAATTCAATAGAAAATGTCCTAGTCCCGTCATCTGTTGCTTGATGTGTTGTCACATGACCATGACCATGACCCTGCTGTGATGTTGCAGCGCAAATCTCACTTTCTGTTGCTCTATCTGCTTGATTTGCCTCATCAGGATTAGCGCATCCTTTTTACTACAATATACTGGATGTCATTCCAAATTACTCTGTCTCCTTATGGATATTAACTGTATAGCAATAACCAAGGCCAGTGGTCTTTTTTTGCCGCCAAGAATTATATCTTGCAGTAGTTTGAAAATACAGAGTGAAAATAAAGACCTTTACCGGGATGTATATATACATCATATAGTATATAGCGAAGGGCTCTTCCGTACTGTAGCAACGCTACAGAGGAAGCAAAGAAAGCCCGGTCGTGCAAAGCTAACCATTGTACATATGCGCGCTACGCTTTGGCATCGTCCACATCAACACCAACCTGGCCAACATCCCACAACTCTTCCACATCCCCTTCTAAGTCCTCCTCTGATCCATCTATCCCATTTGGTCTTTCCACCAATGTATACTCCATGTCATCGTCGCCCTCAGCCTCAGCTTCCGGTTTCTCCAATAAACCACCAAACAGCTTTCGATCCACCAAAAATAATAACACGGCGAAGAACACTCCGCCCAATGCACAGAAAACAAAGAACATTTCGGTGAAGAGAAAGGTTGGGTCTAGCGTTGTGAGTCGGGCGACAAGGATCGGAAAGACCGTTAGGGATATGTTGAGGAAGGAGGTTGTGAGACCGCTACGGCATGGGGTGAGTTTCGTGAAACAGTAATCCTTGGCGCACATTGTACGGTGAGTACTTACAAAGCAGTGGCGCTTCCCTCTTCACCGATAACGATAGCCACGCAAGGCCAAAACGTCAATAGCATTGCGTAAGATACTCCCAAGACCACCAATGCAGGAATCGGCGAAGACGAACTGCCACCCTTCACCAGGCCCAAATAACCGTGGATACTTGCAATCAGGATCCCACACAGAATGATAGTTTTCACTCGATGTCCGCGTGTATCCGAAAAGTGGCCAATGAACGGGACCAGGATAGCGGAGAGAGTATCCGGAATAGATGTAAGTTGGGCAGCTATTACAGTAGAGCTTCAGTTTTTACTCTTTCTCTTTCATAATGCAAGATTGGCATACCTTTCTCTGGATCATCCTTGTACCACTTATTCTGCAAAAATTCGGCGTGGATCGTATTGAACGGTATAACCGTCGCATACAACAGGCACAATATCAAACAAAGCATCCAAAACGTCAAGGGATAAGATTTTACTATCTGCAGTGACAGTCGTTCCGTCCTGGCGACCGGGGATGCCTTGCTGTCATGTATCCGATCGAGTCGGATGAGCAGTATGCCGCATGTGAGCGAGAATAAGCATGTCACCAGTCCAAACCAGACTGCAAATGGCGTAGAGATTGTGTATGCAAGGTGGGGTGTAAGGAGATCGTTGAAAACGGTTCCTAGGCGGGCAACGCTGAGGTTCATGCCTATTATGTATCTAACGGTTAGGGACGCCCAGACGCTGAGATGTTGGATGCATCGCTTGCCCCACCTAGCGCCAATGCCAAGTCTTTACCACGGAACCATTTGGTCGTAATGCGTGTTTGCTGTACACACAATAAAACCACACCCGTCAAAGGTCAATAATCTGCCCATCTTGCACACACCACAAAACACCACGCATCCTCACCATATCAACCTCGACTCACCGCAACACTCAGACTCTCAGCCCCGACTCCAAATAGTAATCGACCCACCCAGACCACCCAAACCCATTTCACTTGGACGCCAAGCGCAACAAGCGCCTGCCCAAGACAAACCAGAATACCCAACCACCAGACCATTTTCGCGGTTCCGTACACATCTACCAAGTAGCCGCCCCAGAAAGGCAGCACAGTATTTGGAAGGGAGTAGAGGGAATAAAATAAGTTTAGGTTATATTGGTGTTGAGAGGGCGTGAATGAAAAGTGCTGTGCGAAAGCAGTTGAGAGGGAGGCAGGAATGTCATAAGCGTAGTAATTCTGTCATGAACTTCGCATGAGTATCCGGAAGTGCATACGTCAAATTGCGGAACAATTGACATTTACCCCAAACAGAAGCGTAGAACTTAGACCGAGTACGAGCCATCGTGTGGATGGCAAGTTCATGGCGGTCGTCAAATGGACTTTACAAGCTTCTCTGCAATGGGCATTTTGTGAGTGCAAGGCGTCGCGGCACAAGGTCGACCCCCTTTGAGCCCTGTGCTGCGCACGCGTTATGTCATTTGGTCAAAAAACCAAACTTTCGTTGAGGATGTTTTTTGACGATTTGGAAATAACAGGGGTGGGGATGTGAAAGCCAGCAATGGGCAGTTCAATCCAAGCGTGCTCTGCAGACATCAACTTCGCAAGGAGGTCGACGTTGAAAGTGTTTACCGCTCAGCAGGCATGGTGTAATCGTCATATAAATTGATAGATCAACAGTTGCCCTCAATCTCTCCTCGCCCTAGTGGTTTTTCATACTGTCAAGCTACCAAGACTCCACAAGCATCAGCACCATGCATCCCACCTTGATCTTGCTCGTAATCTTCATTTTAACTATCCCTCACATTACATCCCATTCTCTTCCCATCCACCAAAGCGACGACCAGGTTCTCAAACTTTCAGAACTATCATGGACTGTCTACAACGTGAACAAAAGTATCATCATACCTGCTGTTGTGCCAGGACAAATTCACATGGATTTGCTGCGAGCGGGTGTGATTGAGGAGCCCTATGTTGGGAGCAACGGTAGGTACTACTGGGCCGATGGATGTATGTAGATCTCTAATATCTTACGATCATCAAATCAGAGTTATATCAACGTTGGATAGCGTACGAGCCAACCTGGACATATACTGCGGCGCTTCATAACCTAGCGGCATGGAATCAATACAAAAAGGTAGTCTCGATAAGTTATTTAAAAAATATGGGGCAGACTTTGAAGTAACAGGCCCTGAGTAGTACTATCTCAGATTCGATGGGCTCGACACACCTTGCAATATCACCATCGGCAACCACCATATTGGCACCGCCGCAAACCAGTTTAGACAATGGGTTTTTGATGTATGTTTTTTCTTCTTCAAGCGCAAATGTACAGTTCTCCAAGAATTAATGTCCTCATTAGGTGACAGACGTGCTTCACAAAACCCTCAACAGAGACGATGCCATCAACATCACAATCGCCTTTCGGTCTCCAGTCAAGTACGCACGAGAGGTCAGAGACCGTTCCGAGGTGTTCCCCTCAGTGGCAAGGACGCAATATGTTTTTCCGAATCGAGAGTATATTCGGAAAATTCAAAGTGATTTCGGATGGGGTGAGAATCTGGTTCTGTTTGCGGTATAGTTGTAGTTGACACTGAAATTTCCATTTTGAAGATTGGGGCCCGGCATTTTCACCAGTTGGTATCTGGAAACCAGCCTACCTCATCGGCCTCGGTTCATCTTGTGAAACGATCGGCTGCAATTATCACGGGAGCGAATTTGTGCACGAACTGAACACGTTCATTGATATCTATCGGAAAGGACAGGTGGGTTAGTTCTCCAGGACATCAAAGACCATGCATTCAGATTGACTGACAAGGAGCAGATTCCCAATCTCCCACCCGACCAATCAGCACCATGGATCGTCAATGTGTCAATCTCCCTCGTTTCTTCGGATGTCTTTCAAAACCCTTCCATGGTCCTTTCGTTCCCTGAACTCGGAATCACGTCCGAAAACTTACGAGTGAACCGCATCAATGTCGGAAAGAACTACGTGGATGCCCATATAATCGTTGAGAATGATATTCCGCAGCTTTGGTGGCCTTGGACTTTGGGTTTGTTGTCTCTGTTTGCTTTTCGACACTGTGTACATGCATTCTGACATAACATGTAGGCAAACCGTGTCTGTATAACCTGACAATAAAGCTCCTGCCTTCGCCTACGTCTAGACCCTTGATCTACTCCAAACGCACAGCATTTCGTACCATCGTGCTCAACCTGCTTCCGTATCCAAGCCCTCAAACCCTTCCTAATGGTGGACCCTACACCCCAGGCGACCAATTTCATTTTGAAATTAATGGAAAAACCATATATACCAAAGGGTCAAACTGGGTTCCTGCGGACTCATTTCAGAGCCGTATTAGTAGTGAGAAGAGATGGAGGCTCCTGACCAATGCTGTTCAGTCGAATATGAACGTGAGTTTGGCGCAAGAGTTTTCGATGTAAGTGCGAGTTTAACCGCTGTTTATTCGCATAGATGATTCGGGTCTGGGGAGGTGGACTGTACGAAGCCGATGAGCTGTATGATTTTGCGGATGAGCTGGGTTTATTAATGTGGAGTGAACTGCAGTTTTCAGTGTCGCTTTATGTGGGTATATTTTAATATGCGTCTGAAGTCCTGGTGCTCACTTGCCTTCCTGGATCGTACAGCCCACTGACAAAGCATTTGTGGAGAATGTCATTCCCGAAGTGGAGGTATGACTTTTATTTACATTCACCCGCGGACACGTTAACTGATGAACGTCGTGTTCATCTAGTACAACGTTCGCCGTCTAAATCGGCATCCTTCCCTTGCTCTCTGGGCAGCAAACAATGGTATGACATTGTCTAACCGTATCACACGAACTTTTCTGAGATCGCCGTCCACAGAAATTGAATGGTTTGTCGAAAGGGTGAACCAAACATTCCCAAACAATGGAACACATTACCTTGACGAATATAACTATCTTTTTGTCGATACCCTTCAACACGTGGTCAAATCCATCACTCGTAGCATCACTTATCTTCATTCCTCAACGTCACAAGGATACCTATCGGGCCCGGACCCCTGGATTGCAAGATATTTGAATAAAACACAAGGGGAGTTGTATGGGAGTAGTGAAAATTGGAATTTCAGAGTTGAGGTTGCGGAAGATGTGGGGAGGTATCCAACGAGTAGATTTGTGAACGAGTTTGGGTTTCATTCTATGCCTTCTATTCATTCGGTGGGTCTAGAGAGGTTTTCTTCTGCCTTTCGCTTGATGTTTACGCGTTCTCACTTTCCCTGTTGATCTTATAGTGGGATGAGGTATTGGAATCACCAGATGATTTTCAGTTTAACAGCACGGTGATTGTAGCACGTAATCGCAAACCGCCAGCGGGAAGCACTGGTAAATTCACTTCCCGTCTCTCCTATCCATGCAAAATGTGCTCAACTCGTCCCGTCACGTCCAGAATGGCCCAACCCCAATTCTCCACAGGGCATGGGCGAGATGACCCGGGCCGTAATATCACACTACCCAATTCCCAACCGAAGCAATCCCCGCGAAAACTTCACCATGTGGTGCCACGCCACTCAGCTTTTCCAGGCTCAATTCATGCAGTGGCAGATTCAGTATTACCGACTTGGTGCGGGTCGACCAGAAAATAACCTTGGATCCATCGTGTGGCAGTTCAATGATATTTGGCAGGCACCGAGTTGGAGTGGTATTGAGTATAATCTTAGATGGTGGGTAAACATTCCACAACTCAAACATGTCACTTTGAATTCAACTTTTCTTGACTTGATTATAGGAAAGTAGTCCAATATCATATCGCCCGAGTATACCAACCTGTCATCATTTCCCCAATATACAAGTAAAGTACAGCTTTTGATCATCTCTGTCACAACTGAACAAGAACACTCACTTCCCATTAGCATTACGTCCAAATCACTCTCCATATACGTCACTTCCGATCGTCACTGTTCCGTCACTGGGACGGCAAAGAGAACCTGGTACACATGGACAGGCGAGAAGATATCTTCCGTATCAACCGACTTCACTGCACTTGCGTTGAATAACTCATTGGTGTGGCACACAACGGGGACAGGCGATATGGTGCCACAAGGATATCATGTCAGGGATGTGTGGTTGTTACTTGAAGTAACGGCTCAGGATAGCGAGGGGAAGGAATATAAGGTATCAAAGGCTTTTGTTTATTTTTGAGGTTTCTCACTAAATTCTGATGATGGCAAATAGCATGAAAATTACTTTACACCTGTAGGCCTGACATCCGCCAACCTCCAGAACCCACAGCTAACGCTTACACCAAGCACAACAAACAGCAATACCATCATCATTAAGTCAAAGGGCGGTGTGGCCGTTTATGCATGGCGTAAGTTTTACATTTTCCTTTATCCTTCCCGGAAAATCTGGGCATTAGCTGAACTTGTACCCATCCAGTGGATCATCCGTCATGCCTTAAAGGCCACTTTAGTGACAATAGCTTTTTTGTCATTCCGGGCTTCCCGCGCGAGATTTCTTTTGAGGCAGGGGCGAATAATTGCGAGGGGGACTGGAGGGATAACGTCAAGGTATATAGTGTGTGGAATTACAATCATGAATAAGGTAGTGCATGTTGCGTAAGTAGATATAAGAGGACCTGAGGATGGTTAGTCTCGTTTTTTCATGTTCGTTGACTTGACGATGTAGTCGCGTTATTACATGATCCTTATCGTAACGATCATCTGGTACCTTCTGGAGAGTAAAATCATGGCATTTATGGTGGGCATCCGAAATCTCTTTTGGAAGTTTACCTATGTCCCACGTACACAATATTGATTTCAATTCACGGACTGGATACATAAAATGTCTCCCAGTGAAGCATGATGACCAGTCTGCCGGGTAACCGGCACTCATACAAAAATTGAAACTCTTTCACAATCCAATACCAGCAAACTATCATTCTGATCAAACCAACTATAACTACTAACTACTGTACAATGGAGAAAAAAAGACATCTAGGGGGACCCATCACTCTTTTACGCTGTTGACTTGAGTTTTTTCACCGGCATCCTTTCCGCTGCCAGCAAAATCAAACTCTTCGTCCTTGTGTTTTGCCACATACCCAGCTGATTTGCGCATGGGGACACCAGAGTCAAACATTTGGTCAACGTCTTCAAGGGATAGACCCTTAGTTTCGGGAACTGCAAAGTAGACCTGATATACACACAAAGCTTTTAAAACTACGTATATCAAGTGAGAAACACGATGAAACACTTACAAAGATACCACCGGCAAGAATAAAGGCTGCCCAAAGGAAGGCAATCTTTGGGCCAAGGTTTGCTTGGTCGCGGTCGACAAGGTATGGAGTAACGAATCCAAGGACCCAGTTCCAGAACCAGTTGGACGCGGTAGCAATGGCCATACCCTTTGATCGGTATCGAAGAGGAAAGATCTCGGCAGGAACCACCCAGGCACCAGGACCCCAAGAAGATGCGAAACCGTAAATGAAGACACAGGTGAAGACAATGGTGCAAATGCCCGCAGCGGTGTTGGATGATAGGACGTTGCCCTTGTCGTCGAGGGTGGCAGGGAAAGCGGTTCCAACACTACCCACGATAAGTTGTCCGATAAGCATGATCATTGTGCCACTAAGCAAAAGCTTTCTGCGGCCGATGCGCTCCATCAAGTACAGTGCCGGGAGGGTAGAAAGGACGTTAACGACACCAGTGATGGTTGAGGTTGTGTATGCATTGGAGATGCCCGCTTGCTTGAAGAAGGTTGTACCATAGTAGCTGTAAAGTTGAAGCAATCAGAATTTGATGACGACAATGTGCTGAAAAATGACGAGTTACATACAAGATAAAGTTCACACCGGTGAGTTGTTGGAACATTTGAATCCAGATGCCAATGTGAGTTCGACGGCTGACGGGGCTCTTGAAACAGTCGAGATAACTTGCTTCCCCAATTTGACCTTCGAGTTCAATGGCACGCTGACAGACAGAATGAACGAGTTAAATAGGGTCATCACACATGCAAAAAACACTCGTACACATAAACCACATACCTGAAGGTCGTTGATTTCTTCAGTCACTGAAGGATCACTGGAATGCTTGCCTCGTAGACGGCATAGAGCTTTGATGGCTTGATCGCGACGGTTGAGACGCAAAAGATTACGAGGGGATTCGGGCAAGACAAACATGCCCGCCATGAGGATGCCAGCGAAGACGAGCTGAATTCCAATTGGAATTCTGTATGAGGCACGACCAGGATGGTCCTTGAGACCTTGATTAACACCCTGAGCGACAACGATTCCGACTGAGTAGGAGAGAAAAGTATTAATTCATTCGTATCCTTTTCATCACGAAATGCATACTGGCATACGTACTTGTAATGGCAAGCTGGTATGATGACACCAATGCACCACTATGTACAATGATGATGACTGTTAAATTTTAAAGTTGAAAGAAATGGGGAGTATGCGACTCGACAACTTACCGAAGATGTTTCGGTGCGGCTTCCGCTTGGTACAATGGAACCAAGTCAGACAAAAGGCCAACACCAAGACCAGCGCCAATACGTCCGGGTAGCATCAAACCAAGACTATGAGATGCCGTTTGCAAAACGCAACCGACGCTGTCAAAAGCAAATACATGTGAACGGACAGTTACTTTTAAACAAAAACCAAAAAGCAAAATACATACCAAAAGATCATGCAGGAAATGATGATGGCCCAACGACGTCCAGCGGCATCCGCAAGGTGTCCAGCACTCAAGGATCCAATAAACGTTCCTACAGAGAGAATTGAAACAAGCAAACTCTTTGTGGATGACAGGAGGTCGCGTCCTTCGCCTGGACCAAAGTCATCCTTGAAGACTGCCATCTCCATGATACCGGAGATGAGTCCAGTGTCATATCCAAAGAGAAAGCTTCATTTGAAAAATGTAAAGAATATCATTAGTTTTTGCGATGAAACTTGGATGGATTTTATGATTCTTGACAGCACACATACCCTCCAAAGGAGACAAACAAACAAATGATAATTGTGCTAACGTTGGTCATGATGGAAAGCAAGACTTCTGCCCGTCTCCAGCAAATCAAAAAAACAAGAGACACGGAGCTGGATAGAAGATGGCGGTGATCAGCGTGGGGGCTGAAAGGGCGGCAGTTGAGCTTTAAATACAATTTCTATTTTTTTTTTTTGTTCCCTTCGTTGGTTTGGCTGAGAATTACAATAATTCAAAAAGAGTTCTGGGCACCGTGGAGTGTCCAACTTTTTATTTTTTCGTGGGTATCAGTAGGTGATTTAATCGATGGGCCTTGTTTGCTCGTGTGATCAACTCAAAAGGAGGATTTCGGTGGTCGGACGGAGCCTCTCAATGGGTTGTTTGGTTTCTTACCTTTTGGTCAATCTGCAGGAAAAACGGTTCCTTTTTTTTGTCGTTGTTTCCAACTTTTCAACTCCTGATTTGGGATGGTTGTAGTTGCAAAGTCAGCTGCACTGCGGCCGACAATAATGACGACTTTTATTTTTTTTATGATTTCCAAATGTTGAAAGCAGCAGTAGCCCAACCGTGAAAAAAACAGTACCCTTTGAGGAGTGCCGTTTTGTTTTGAAAATAGGGTTTCCGCGGATATTGCGATTGACGTAGCGCTGTGTCGCCGTATCTCCCTTTAACAGTGTCTCTTACGCAGGGTAAAGCAAACTACAACGAATCGACGGTCGAAAGCGGTTGGTTGTGTCTTTTGTTCTTAACGCCAAATGGCACAAAACCCACTCATCCTTACAAAGCGATTTCATTTGTAACCCCAATGTTGGAAATCAAATTCCGTTGGAACACCCGCAAGACAAAGGGTGGTACGAGGGGCTGACAGAACACTCTGTACCCACCGCCGTGTCGGTCGTTGGATGTTGCATTGTTATCCATTCTTACTTTTTCCTTACGCTAATTACTCAAGAGTCTTTACACAACCTGCGAGCTATTCCTTTGCACAATGTAACGTTTGTTACTTTTTTGCAATAACCAAATCAGCAAAGGCCCCATTAGATCTTTTCCAATAATTCTCTCAAGAATTTGTGAAATTTTCAAAGTCAGCGGCAACGTCTGCGCGCTACCGCCCTTTTGCCAAATCAGGTATATGACGTTATACAGTACCCCACGATTAAATCAGCTCCGTTTCGTTAAAAAGCTACAATAGTCACACGACCGGAGCACAAGCACGTTACCTGCACGCCGCCACGTTTTAGTGTTCGACCCCTGATGGCTTGTAGACGTAATTGTTGGCCGCGGAGATTGCGATGGAAGGAAAATGGGAAGAAGAACACTCGCTTGTTCAAAAGGAAGGCCTTATCGATATTTGACTTGGGGATCTGGCACAAAGTAAAAGGACACAATGAAAGTCAGCAGTTTTTTATCTAGCTGGTCGTGGAATCTCTAAAATCAAATGTTTCACAGGATCTTCCTTGATTTCTGCATTTAGCGATTGTAATTCCTGCTGAGATTTTGTGTAAAGGAAGGCTAGAAGGTTTATCTCGCATCAATCATCATGGATCCGAGAGACATGATTTGCAGGTAAGTGATTGATGGGCTTTTACAATTACCTAGATCCCTCCGAATGTCTAAAGGATCAACATGATTATCGGACACCAAAGATAACACTTGAAATGTTTTTATTATGCTCCTCGACATTTGCTGTCACTAAACTTGACGCGTACACACACGTATAAATAAACCACCTCTCATCTACAGCGATAAATAACCAAACGTCAAGTCTAAGGAATCGACAACATTTTTCTACACTACCCTATTCATCTTTTTGTAAGCAAATCCGAGTCCAACGGGCCATTCGGGATGGTATACGATAGGACAGTCCATGTGGTTTTCAAAACCTTGTTCATCCAAGACGCCGAGCGTCACGTTTCGACATCCAATGATTTTGATCCACTCAATGTTTTGGCATGCCTCTGCTAAAGCTCGAATACCCGAATTGGTGATGCTCAGGCCGTAGTGGATAAGGAATACTTTGAGATTGGGGCAACCTTCTCCGAGGAGCGCCAGACCAGAGTCACTGGCATTCTGGTACTGCGAAACGCAGAGGTATTTCAGGTTAGCAGCGCATGGAGACTTTGTGATTGCGATTAAACTGTCGTCGTGAAGCATGTGGCAGGACGACAGGGACAGAGCTTCCAGGTTGTGGCATCCCGCAAGAAGCGACAACAGTCCATGCTGGTTGATCGGACTGTTGGTCATAAAGTGCAATTCTGAACCCGACGAATGTGTCACTGTTATTGACCCGCATTACACAGTGATACAAACCTGAACTACATACCTCGCAGGTTCACGCACGAAGTTCCAATGAAAGCCAAAAGCGATCCGACAGACTCTGAACTCAGTGTCGTCGCCCGGTAATCCTCCATCGTGATATCAAGCCTGCGAAGCTACAAATACAACCATTATTTCACAAAGTAGCTCTCCAAGATGTCTCCAATCCAAATGGCATACCTTAATAAAGGCACCGCCAAGGCTCAGCTGCTTCATTGCGCTCACAAGCACATCACCATTGATTCTTCGTAGAGCAAGTTCGCTCAAATTCCGGCATGTAGAAAGGTAGGCCAAACTGTCCGAATGCAGCCCACTGTATCTAAAAGTCTTTATAGAGGCACTACACTCTTGAAGAAGTTTATGCGTAAACGTCCGCAACACTGATGAATCGTCATCTTTTGTCACGCGGCGGTTTCCGTGCGGATCAAAGATGTGCCACATGGTGGGAGTCCAGAAAAGTCCCTCAAAAAATCTAGAGATGAGGCGGACTATTGGACAACCACAAAATGAGTAATGTAATGCATAAGGCAAGATCGCAGGCTCCCAAGCCGCATATTCCCACTTACTCTTGGCCCTATTCTGCACATCGAGATATTTGAGCGACTCGAGGAGGATCTCAGGAGGCAAATCCAGGATGCCCGGATCTCGAATGGTGGTTCGCCGAAGCTGTTCCTCCAGCATGTCAAGGTCCAAACTGTTCTCATGAGGTGACATTTCGTAGACGCTCTTCTCTTAATAGGATATAAATAACTGCACGGAATATCTATGCTCTACTTTACAAGTCTTGCGCTCACACGCCTAACCACATTCCCACATGCCAAGTACTTCGAGAAGGTGGAGAAGGGGGCGGGGGTGGAGGTGGTGTCTGCTTACCGCAGCTGCTTTAGTGGCTTAGTACAATAATTTGGATAAGTTATCAAATGGCTCACGTAAGCACATCGTCACGCGAAGCAACCCCTGACGATCCTTTCTTTTGCGCACAAGTAGCCAATTCCCGTCGTTTGCTTCGGACGATTTTCAACGATGCCCACCATCGCTCCAGCACACCATATCATCCACTCCCCATCCACCCCTTCTTTTGGGGCCCGTCGACTCTTGAATGCATTCAAGTTTAACCGTCATCGACGACAACCAGAGTCTTTGCACGCCGCATCCCTACGCAAAACCCAGCGCATACTCGTCTTGGACACCGTACGCCGTCGATCACTCCCAAAAACACCATCCACACTCCCATACATTAGCACACAGCAGGATCCGATTACATTCTTGACGTCCACGCCACTCACACTTGACCCTATTGCGAAAGAAACCAAATCAGAAAACAATGGTATTCCGCTCGTATTTCATATTTCGACTGTAGTTTTTTTGGCTGGGTGGGGACTTGCTTGTCTTCGTGATGGATGGGGGAAGCGGAAGGTTCAGCGTGGGTTTTGATGGGTTGCAGCCCAGACGATCTCCTATGATTATGTATTTACATTGTAGCTTAGCGGAACTTGACGCGACTGACGTGATCAGACGAATCCCATGTCAACACTTGGATGAGCAGGTGGTAGTTTATGCCTTGTTCTTTTTGTTTTTAACAAAGGTTATCTCGGAGCAAACGGATGTCATCTGCTTTAAACCTGCTTCAGTACTTACATATGCAGAATTCGAAGCGACACAGGAAACCGCTGTGTTATATACTACAGGAGGAACCCTTAGCTCTTAAAACTTGGCCATGTCACGATGATAAAGTACCCACCTGTTGAAAAACATCGGGAAGGCCAAGGGAAAAATAATCCGAGAGACAAGGACAATGGCATGCTAAACGGTGGTATGAGACCGACGATTTGAACGATGGAGCACGCATCATTGCAAACGCTCCCCACCGGTAAAATGTCGACCATCACTTCATCGTCTCTCCGGTTCGCTTTGTAACACTATGTAGCAGACATTCGCCTGAATGGTGGAGCAGGAAATTTGAAATAGCAGTGTCATAAGTCTATCTATGTCACCCAGCGTCATGTCATTACGAAACATCTGGATCATATGAACCACCCATAGATCATTCGCCCGTGCTTTCTGGAAAGCATGAACCATTTGTATATTTTGCAATGGACCCAAGTAGTCATCCCGTTTCTCCACCGTTTCTTACGGGGGGAACGTGGTTGTCCAAGCTAGACGCGCAACCCACAACATTTTTACAGTGGCCATAAACCCATGGCCAAGGCAGGGACAAAGATGATTGGAGTGATCCTCCGTCCCCAGGGGCCTGGGTAATGGCACCCGGCTGGATCGCGGACTTGGTTGTACACTGGTATGCGTTCATGCACGTGATCAAAAAGCGATTGCCAATGTCGCTTATGATGAAGGGGACAACTGGTTGAGGCATCCAGTTCGTATGAAACCAGGAGTCTCATCACCAGTTTTGTGCTTAACGATCGCTCTCACGATCTGGAGATTGGAGATTTTGGGACGCAACTATGGACATTTTGGTTTTGGATCGACGGTCGATCGAGAATATCAGCCGCCTCCTTGTATGCGAGCAGGCGTCTATGCCCGTCATCAAAGCGCAATAGGTTGCTTATCATCAAGGGGACAACGGGTTGGGGTATCCAGTTGTATGTAGCAATGTGTTTCATCACCTTGTTGTGCTTAACGATTCCTCTAATAGAGGTATTGTGAGACAGGATATCTGTGAGTCGTCCATGTTGTATTCGTGGTTTCATCTCTAGACAAACATCAACATAGGAGTCAAAGGTCTTTGGGTGTTCCAAATGGGGGTTTAGATCAGTGGTAGATCGTCCGCTTTGCATGCGGAAGGCCGCGGGATCAAGCCCCGCAACCTCCAATCACGGCCAACAAAAGTACGTTTTTTTTTCCCGTTTATTCCCTAGTATGATTGGCACAGTGGGCGTCATTTCTATCATAAAGACTTTTATGAGTAGACTCGGGCAACTGATTCCGTCATGTCCTTTCAAACATCAAAACCATCAAACATGCCGCGCAATGGAGTTGTCGTGCGGAAATCATTAAGCGCAGAAAAGTAATGAAATGGTTCATATTTGGTCATGTCATATCTATGAATTGAGGACCCCACCCACTTGATCATAAAGCAATTAGCTTTCTGGTGACGGGCATTGTCGCATACAACAAAGTAGGCAGCCCGATATCCTCGCTTTATCGTCGATTCAATTTCCAAAAGTCCACCCCTGAGGCTCCAAAATGTCCATCTACGTCTGCAACGTCCCATAGAGAATGTTTGTAAAGTAGCCATCTCGGGCAGTTTCTAGGGGTGCCCCTTTGTTATGCAGCTAATGGCGTAAGGGTGCCGCCAAGAGGTGGCTAAAAGTGGAGATAAAAGTCTACATCCATAATTGCCACCTTTCAGTGCCCGTTCGTAACCTTCACCAATAGATGGGCTTTTTGCATCCAGGTTGTCGACTCTGGTAGGTGTAATGCCTGGAACGGGTTACTGGTTTGAAACTTTTGTGTATCCAACACTCACACTAGTGAAACCACCACCCAATGTTTACTTTACGACGACTGGGTGGCCGTCCATATCTTGCATCTTGTCCAGCTGAGTGAATACCCGTCCAGCTAGTCCAAACACAAGAACCACAGACTGTTTATGAAAGGAACGTATCGGAACTCAAAAACATCAACAAAAAAACAAACAAAAATTAAGTTGGAGAAACCAAGATGTAAAAATTTTGTGGCAAAAGCCTCGCCAGACCCAGGAACCAGGCACACGCTTTTCGGAGTGATGAGAGGCGCGGTAAGTTACAGAATTCGGGTCTTAATTTCCGACGAGGGATGCGCCCCAATTATTTACGATGGTAAGGTACTTTCAACAGAAAGTATGATCAATGCAAAAGTAGTCAGAAAAGTAAATCCTATCGTCGTCCTACAGGATAATAAGGATTAAAGCACGAATGAGCAATCTCCCATTGCACGCCTCTGGGAAGTATCCTTTGTCGTATATTTCCTAACTACAAGGTAGCCCATATGTTTGATGAAAAAAAAAAAAAAAAAGATCCCGTATACAAAGGATCGATCCCCAAAAAATTCCCCAGTTGAACGTGTCCGATATGAGACATAGCAGGAGACTCTGCTACATGGGGCTGGGACTAGGCGCATGTTTCATTCTTGCTCAGAGGTATTCCAAAAATGACAATGACCACGCCCACACAAACACATACCAACAAAGCATTTTTTTCACTTGGAAGGTATCTGCCGCTTTCTTCTTTCTCTTCCTTTTCTTCCGTCCTGACGACCAGTTACTTTTTAATTTGAAGAGTTTTTGCATTTCTTAACTCACCACCGCCAAGGAGTTGCCTTTTGACACGATCATCCACAGAATGGCTACGTTGCTGATAACTTCGTTACTCCTCTTTCTATTGCGTTGCACGCAGGCTGCCGATTTGAACCTTGGAATTCCGCGGGCAGGCTTCGTTATTATCCCATATTCAGATAAATTCGTTGCTTTTGGAGGATCACGGAGTATACTCATCACCAGTGAGTCTCGAGATAGATTTAAAGACCGCCAGAGTAAAACTCGAGCTAAACTCATCCTGTTCTATGCTATTAGATAATGCCAGTATTCTCCAGAATGACGCTGTTCTCGCGGGCACTGGTACAGTTGTCAACTATAAAGGCTGGACGGTTTCCCAGACCATTCTGCTTCAAAATCAGCCGCTGTTGACTTTTTCCTCCTCATGCGCCCCGTACGGAAATTCTACGATGCTTTGCTCCGGTTAGTTACAGTGGATTCTACTAGTTATACAGTTGTCTAACAACACCGTAACTGTTTTACAGGGGGATTGGATCACGATCATTATTGGTCCAATACGTTTAACTTGACGGTATACAATACTTCAAACTTGGCTGCAATGGATATAACTCAGTACCCAATGCCAATAATTCCGACACGTTGGGATCATGGCTCTGTGATTTTGGAAAACAAACTGTACATTTTTGGTGGACGAGGGCCTGTCAACGTTACGCAACCACCCAGTAAGAGATAAGTGATGCCTTTTCAGTCTACAATAGTAAAGCTGACATTTCTCGTATCAGTTGTTGAATTTGACGACCATTATGTGATCGACTTGGCTGCGGCCCCCTACGGCGCAACAAAGATTGTGTCCACGAAAACACCTGGTCCCCGAACGGGCTTCTGTATGGCAGCGCTGAATTCCACAGCCTATGTCTTGTACGGTGGATATCGCGAAACATCGGCAAAGTCATACTACGATGATACGTGGATTTATCAACCCTCAACCGGATGGGTTGATGTGACGTCCCGGACACAGGGAAATCCTTCGCGACGTGTCAGCCCTGCCTGTACTACTCTGAACGGCCGTGTTTACATGTTTGGTGGATGGGGACCGAGTGTCAGTGGCATGAACGACGTCTGGGTCTTTGATGCTGAAATGTTGCGATGGTGGCAACTCTCAGCCGATTCCCCGAAATTGACAGGTGGTCGGCCGCAAGGACGCTACTACTGTAGAATGCATGGTGTTGGAAAACATCTCCTTATTACCGGTGGATTACGTCTGGCGCCGGCTGGTAGTGGCGTCGCGGACGACTCTGCTCTCTACATTTTCGATACTGTGGCAAATAAATGGGTGGAGAAGGTATCCGATATAGCAGATGTTACCGCCGGCACAGCTCCTCCCCCAAATAGTGTTCCTACATGGGCGATGGACGTAGGATCCCGAAAGGCCCAGACAGTAGGCATTGTACTCGGTGTGCTTGGTGGGTTGGCCCTTATAACTGGCGGAGCTTATTGGTATCTAGTGTATCGACGCAACAAATCGAACGATGGCGCTTTTACCGTTGGTCCCATGCAGTATGCCCGTAAGGATGACCTTGGTCCCAGGGCTTTGTTGCGATCCCTTTCTGGATCGTCTCGGTCTACAGGATCTACTACATTCTCTGGGTCCTCTCGGGGCTCCAACGGTCCTGGCTCCCCAGTACCTCCTGCCCGTACGCTATCGCTACAATCAACCCAATCACGCACGACTAGCAGGCATAGTTCTGGATCAGCGACACAGCTACCTGAACCTGTCCTTGCCACACGTGCTGTAAATCCCGTCATTGTCAACCGATTCGAGTTTCCAATCAGCCCGCCTGCCTATGAATCGTTGGTGGGCTCGAGCGGTCTGATGCTTCCAGAACTCTCTGCTGGCAAGAGTAGCGAAGACGATGCGGCAACAAAACTGAAAGGGCTTCCGCACGTTGGAAGCACATACTTTAAGCCAGGAATACATCAAGAAAACCTCTCAGGAGACGAAATTGTTATTGCACCCGGAGATACAGTCTATGTCCGGTATGTTTCCGCTGCTTTCACTTGTATCTTTGATATTTATACTTAAACGTTTTTCCATAAAGGGAACTTTATGCTGATGGTTGGGCCTGCGGCTGGAACGCAACCAGTCAAAAAGACGGCTACTTCCCTTACAAATGCGTTAAAGGGACCTCATAGACCTTGACTTCACCTTTTGAATTGTGCTTGGTCTTGGTCGAGCACTACATATTATATTTGTATATATTATCCGGAGCGCCTTCCATTGTATTTTGTCAAAGCATGTAAATGTAAATGACATGTATTCGATCACTGTTCAACTTGAAACTATTCGATCGCTGATTTTGATCGACGATAATAAGAGTTTAGGCCATATAGGCTGTCAATAATTTACATTACACTGATGGCATATCACATAACAAAAAGGCCTTCTTAGCATAGTGGTAGTGCGTCTGCCTCGTAAGCAGAAGGTCGCGTGTTCGATCCACGCAGGAGGCATAAGGGGGATGATTTGTTGTCATTTTTTGACATTAATTTTCATTTGGGGTTTCCTGCAGCCCGCCAAATGTTAGCGGCACGCAACACGCCAGCCACTAGCAGCCAGTCGAGCAGCCATGGCAAGCTCTTCGTGTTCTATTCGTCTATTTGTAAGATTGCCTCGTGCACCGACAAATTCCACGTCATCTGAAACCCCATTGCATTGGGAGACAAAAAGCGGCCGTATTTGGTTATTTGCTGTGGGGGAGCTGACACGTGGCTCAGCTGAGGCTTTTCTCTTTCTCTAAAAGTCAAGTCATTAAACCCGATAAGATTAGATTACCACTGCGCCCATCCATTATGTTTGCTGATGACGTTTTGCGACTTTCCCAATTGCTGGACACAACGAAAAGTGTTTGGGAATTTGTGCGGAGAAACTGAGGGGCTTTAAAGTGTGGTTACTTTCTGATGGGTTGTGCTGCAAGGGTTTTGTTGTGCTTGCAGAGGCGTTTTTATTATAAAGCCAGGCTTTGGAACACTTTCCCCCGTCGGACCTTGTTGTTGACCCAGGATCCATCTGGGTAGCGAAGCTGACTTTTGAACAAATGCTTACGCACATTACCGATTACAATCATCTCATGCCTGTGCTATCGAAACAGACCCGCTCTGACAGCGGTATAGCGGATAATATCCCCATTGTCGACTTGCGAGGTGCGACTCCCTCGTCCAACACGGGGTCCAACCTTCAATCGTCCATTATTCAGTCCCTTTCCAACAAGAATGTAGTGTTTCGGCACAAGGGTGTTGATACACTGGTGCGATCCATTCCTACCATGGTGCTGTATGATGACAAGGGATTGGAGATTTTTGATCAAATCACCTATGTGGAGGATTATTATCTGACTGAGGCTGAGATTGACGTGTTGAGAAGTCACGCTGAGGAATGCGTGAGCAAAATCGTACAGGATGGAAGCGTGCTTGTGGAGTTGGGCTGTGGGTGAGTCAAGGTGCCATGCTGAGGCACGTGGTTTGATGCTGACGTGTTCCTACCCAGATCAATGCGCAAGACAAAGTACATTCTTTCAGCGATTGAGCGGCAAAAAAAGCGGAATGTCACGTATTATGCTGTTGATCTCTCAGAGTCGTCCTTGCGTGAATCGCTTGGTCCGTTGACTCTGGCGTTTTCCACAATCAATTTTGTTGGGCTGCTTGGCTGCTACGAAGACTCTATCCAATATATTCGGGACACGATCCCGTCATCAACACCAAAGACATACCTCTGGCTGGGATCATCTATTGGAAATCTCAACCGGACCGAGGCTGCCGCCTTTTTGAGACACATTTGTGACGATGGCATGCAAATCGGCGACACGTTCCTTTGCGGGATTGATCGCCGAAATGAACCACAAAAGATTGCTTTGGCGTATAATGACACGAAAGGTGTAACAAGAGAGTTTATTCTCAACGGCTTGGATCATGTGAATGCAATTTTCGGTGCACATGTCTTTGACCGATCGGCATTTGAGTATGTCTCCATTTACAATCAAGTGGAGGGACGGCATGAAGCGTACTATCGCTCATTGAAGCAGCAGGCGATCGGCTTGCGAGATAACAGCGCCAGCAATTTCACTGTCAATTTGGAGGAGGGCGAGCTGATCAACGTAGAGTACAGCTACAAGTACGCGCGGGAGGAGGTCGATGAGTTGGTGGAACAAGCGAGATTCTACAATGTTGGCAAATGGACAGATGCAAAAGAAATGTACGATTTGCACTTGTTCCAGAAGCCTCCGTTCTTTTTTGAACAGCATGTTCTCGATGCGCCTTTGGTTCCCACCACTCTGGAGTGGGAGGAACTCTGGAAAGCCTGGGATACCGTCACATTGACAATGATCCCGTCAAGTGCACACCATCTTCGTCCCATCGCTCTTCGACATCCGTACATATTCTATTTGGGTCACATCCCAGCGTTCCTCGACATTCAACTGACGCGCGCCCTCAACACGAACTTTACACCGCCGGAACACTATCCTCGCATCTTTGAACGTGGGATTGACCCGGATATGGATGATCCCACTATTTGTCATCCTCATTCTGAAGTCCCCAATGAGTGGCCACCCGTGGAAGAAATTCATGCCTACAAGGAGCGAGTAAGGGAGAGATTGCGAGGTCTTTTACAAAAGATCGAAAAGGGAGAGAAATTAGACAAAAGGGTCCTCCGTGTCATATGGATGTGTTACGAGCATGAGGCGATGCATTTGGAGGTGAGTTACCATGAGGCGGATTTGAAGATGAATAATGCTGATGGTGTGGTACTCTTAGACATTGCTGTACATGCTGGTCCAAGCGCCAACAACCCTCCCTCCACTTCATTTTCTTTCACCGATTATAAGCACTTCCGCATCTCACAAACCCAAGCAACCGGCACGGATGCTATCGTTTACAGAACCTGATACCATTCAGACCGGTATTTACGATCCCGAAAGTCAAGACAAGGACGACTCCACACCGTTGCCGTCAGTCTTTGGTTGGGACAATGAGAAACCTGTTCGGAGTTACAGTGTCAAGCCTTTTGAGATTCAGAACCGAATGGTCACCACTGCCGAGTGGATCGAGTTCCTTGATAGTATGGACTGGGCCGAAGATCTTATTCCAGCCAGCTGGGGTATTGCGGAGCCTGTTAACCCTGATCGCCCCATCTATTGCACCAAAACGCCGTTTGGTCTCATTCCAACCGATCGGACTCCACACTACCCGGTCGCGGTCTCCAACGACCAAGCTCTTAAATACGCCAACATTAAAGGAATGCGTCTTCCCACCGAGGTAGAACTCCGCTATCTTCGCCTCAAAGAGATGAGCACTCATAAGCTGCGGGGCAATTACGGATTCCGGTCGTGGGTTGCAAAGGGTGTGGAAGAGGGCCAAGACGGCCCCGTCATTGGGGATTTATGGGAATGGACAGGGACGCTGTTTGATCGCAGCGAGGAGGATGGATACATTAAAAGCGAAGTGTATCCAGGATACTCTAGTGACTTTTTGTAAGTCCTATTGGTTTTTCAACTGTTGCAAAATGTTTCTCTAACCGGGGAATTCAACTTTGTAGCGACGGGAAGCATAATATCCTATTGGGCGGCTCATGGGCCACTGTGCCGCGCATTGCCGAGCGCGAGAGTTTTGTCAACTGGTACCAGAGGGGATATCCCTATGTGTTTGCTGGCTTCCGGTTGGCGAGGAGTTTGTAAATTGTAGATGCGGGGTGTACAGGATAACTTTCACATTGGACACTATTGTTTTTCAATATGACATTCTTTCCAACTATCTGATTTGTAGAAATGTTTAAGCAACTTTTGGCAATGATGAAAAACGCAGCGAAATGCAAAAGTAGAACGTTCTACCGCGCCCAAGACCTGCGCCTGCCCCTTCACCAGTCTCCTAAAGGATTGCCCTCCATGGAACACACAGCGTATCCATAACGCATGCTCTTTTGCTTTCCTTTCACTATTCATGGGGGCGATCTTTTTGGGATCCATGAGACGCGATGGCGCAGTTACGACAGGCATGGGTGTGGCACAGTAACTGACAATCAGACACCTTTTTTTGTCTTCACTTTCCCACGTTGTGGAACGAGTTACAGGAACGTTTGGTAAAACTGGTTCCATCAAACTTTCTGCCTCAACCCCCTTTTTACATACGGCCATTTCTCATCAATTTTGATGCCGTATCGCAAAAAAAAACTAATGGAGTGCAACCGTCTGGGGTGGGAAAAAAAAGTTGAAACTGTCGTCGGCAAAGTAAGCGATGGAGAAATTCGCCAAGTTTTTTTTTTCCCACAGCCCAAAAGATGGCTTGACTGCTGCAGATGCCAAGGTTTATAAAGGTCAAGGGTTAGAATCTCCCCTCCAGATTGTGTTTGACCTCCCATCCTTCTTCTCAACATGTCATCCAAAATTGCCATCTTTGGAGCTCTGCTCGCTTGCCATGCTGCCGTCACTAGCGCCCACTTGATGATTTCAAATCCCGCTGTTTGGGGAGGACGATCTGATGAGTTGGAAAACCCATTGCAACCCGGGAATGAAAACTGGTTCTGCCACGGTCAATCTCGAGAGTCGGCAAAGGGCCAAGTTGAAGTAAAGGCAGGAGGATCTGTCACTTTCCCCGTTCTTTGTGCCGCAGCTTCAAACAATCCTGGAGATGCAGCCAACATTTGCGGGAACGACCCGAATTCCTGGCACAATGGAGGCGGATGTGCCTTGTCCATTGCGTACAAAAAGGATGGAGTCAAACCAGATGATTTTGTCATGTTTTCTTCGAATCACGATTGCCCTACGCGAAACTTTGGATCTATTGACTTTAAAGTCCCCGCCAACCTTCCTGCGTGCGACGATTGCGTCTGCTCTTGGACGTGGATCCCACAAACCGCTGCAGACGAAATGGTAAGTGTGCATCAATCTGACGTTTTTGTGTGCACATTATCCCGAATAACTCATCGTCAACTTTTTTTCTGCAGTACATGAATTGCTTCAACTGCAAAGTGCTCAGTGACACCAATGGCACCGTCACTAGCGGTACCTACCTCAAGGACCATTATTTCGCCGTCCCGGGCTATGAATCCAAAGGTGGTGCCCGCCCCCTCTACAAGAACGTCCTTCCCAACGGTGAACTCAAAATTCAAGTAGCGACACCACCCGCGAGCGCCAATTTCCAATCCAACACGACCACCACGGTAGCCACTGTAAAGCCTTCCTCTACTTCTGCTGCCGTCGCTACAGGTCAAGCCACTTTTACGCCGGCCCCCACCCCAGAAATTAAGAGCGCTGGTCTCGTTTCATTTTCCCCCGTTGCATGGGGTTTGCTTCCTGTCGTGGCCATCTCCTCCTTACTCTTCTTCTAAACGTAGATTCTAGACCCAGATATATACAATACATAGATAGTCTTGCACTGCTGGCCAGCAAGACTGCACAAAAAATACAATCTCTAAATATAAATTAGATTAGCTACTACTGCTTCCCGCTTAAAAACTTGGTTGCTGAAAATGTGTTGGAAAATTAATTGCAGAAATTTACAGGGAGAAATTGGATCATAATATAAAGATATGAGCCGTAGTGAAGTGTTCAGCCGGCCTGCTTAGCATAGTGGTAGTGCGTCTGCCTCGTAAGCAGAAGGTCGCGTGTTCGATCCACGCAGCAGGCATTCGTTTATGAGTGCACTTACTTTTGTTAACTCGTTGCATGCGGAAACAAAGTGTAGAGTGTCCAATTACTTTACAGCGCTCAATACGAGGAATAAACGACCAGCTTCAAGATGGTTGTTTACTGGTTGTTGGGTATATCTTCCAAGTGAAAGGAGGTTACGCTCTTAACTGAACTCGCACGGCTACTTCGTCGTTGCCGCACAATAATTCCCTATTGCTCGATGGTTTTCCTGCCAACATGGTTGACCTTCACATTCATTTGTATTCGTTACATGTTGAGGCAAAGTTTAGAATTGTTGATTTATTTTACAGTGCTCAATACAAGGAATACAGCGACCAGCTTCAAGATGGCTATTTAATGATTGTTGGGTATATCTTCCAAGTGAAGGGATGTTACGCTTTTAACTGAACTCGCACGACTACTTCGTCGTTGCCGCACAACACTTTCCCATTGCTCGATAGTTTTCCTAGTACCAAATTTGTGGGTGAGATTTTCTGTAATATATTCACAAATCATAGGTTACTTACTCGAGGATATCTCGAGAAGCAGGTTTCAAAAGGTAACCGTCTGCACCCGCTTGCATACATTGTACATAGTCTTCGTGGAGCTGTAATGAGGATTAAGCAACGGGCAATGTTAGTCAGCTACCAACCCTCAAGCAGAAAGTCCATGACAGATGCGCTCGTCGGTCGTATTGTCCCGAGTAAAGCAAGTTACATACCGCGTTGGCTGTCATGGTAATCACAATGGGTCGAACCTTATCCGGGTACAGCTCCATAATCGCTCTCGTGGCAGTTAACCCATCCATAACGGGCATACAAACATCCATAAAGATAATGTCCACCAGAGTTCCTTTTTGATAGCACTCGGCTAGCATGTCGAGGCACATTTGGCCGTCGTGCGCGACGAGTGGGACTTCTCCGGTGATTCGGGAGAGGAGTTTGGCAACGGCTTTCTGATTAATTAGATTGTCTGTGTCGATGGAAAGATTATGAGTATATATGTGTGATGGTTATGCTCATTTTTTAACCTTTCACGTCCCTACCTTCGACGAGCATAATTTTACTTTTCCATTGTTGACCGTTGGGATGGAGGAGTTGCACATCTGGTATGGTCCTCTGAGCTTTTGATCGCCGGGCTGTTGCGTGTCCAACCGGTGCTGGTCCTAATTGTAGCAAGATGTGGGATAATTCATCTTGCAGCCTTTTCGTCTTTATCGGATCTGTTACTGCTATGACTTTCTCCGGAATAAGCCGATGTCGTATTGTTTCCATCTTTTCCCTTGACACGACAATGACCACAGGCATCTTTTCGGAAATTTTACATAATGCTTCATCATTTTCTTTCTGTTCAAGGTCGACATCTAGAATCACCGCAGCGAGGCCACCCTGTTCTACTAATTGGATCGCTGTCGGAAGATGCATAGTGTCGACTGGGATACCTCCGATGGCTTCTACAGCAGCATGGACGACCTCATATGTTCGATCCCATGCGCTCACAATCAATATACGCTTGTTATCAATTCGAAGGGGTGAGATCATGGGCGGTCCATCGTCGAATCCTGTCATATCGGCCAGGAACACGGCGGTAAAGTAAAAGGTTGATCCTTTGCCGATTTCAGATATAATACCGACATCCCCGTTCATCATATTAACCAGCTGGCGGACAATGGATAAACCTAGCCCTGTTCCACCATAATGACGACTCGTACTCGCTTCAGCCTGCGCAAACTCTTTGAATAGTTTTCCTTGGTTTTCTTTGGATATTCCGATGCCGGTGTCTGTCAGGAGGAATCTTAGGGCCACTTGACCTTGCCCATCCGTTGTAGGCGAACCAGTATATTCGGCATCCCTCTCTACTCGTAGGAACACAGATCCTTTTTGTGTGAATCTGCAGAAAATTGACAAACGTTACAATTGAACAACCCCATTCAGGCGTGATGTGCTATGAGACTTACTTGACGGCATTGGTAAATAGGTTAATAATGATTTGCCTCAATCTCAACGGGTCGCCTTTCACCAATGGATTAATGGTCGGATCCACGTATCCACCGACCCGAAGCCCCTTTTTATGGGCTTGAGGTGCCATTAGATCTAACACATCTTCGATCTGTGTGGCCAAGTTGAACGGTATCGTTTCTAGATGCATTTCTCCGGCTTCCAGTTTTGCCAAGTCTGAAGAAAGGTTTATATTAGCAAGTGGCGAGCATCGCAATGGTATCTCCAGCTAATACCAACCAAGAATGCTGTTGATCAGCGACAGCAGGTTATCATTGGAGGTTCGGATAGTTTGCAGCAAATCCAGTTGCTCTGCCGACAAATCCATCTCCAACAATAGATTGATCATCGTAAAGGTCGCAGCTAATGGGTTCCTAATCTCGTGTCCAACCTGCCGCACCCATGAACTCTTGTGCTGAGACTCAATCTCCGCTTGTTTTTGCAGTGATATATCTTGGAAGACGCCGATAACCCGTTTTGGTGTGTGATCTCTTGCTTTTGGTTTCACTAAAAGTGATCTCAATGCAATATATCGGAGCCTCTGGTTGTCAGCGAGAGGACCAGGGGTGACTCGGAAAGTGATATCAATGGGTGATTTTTGACGCTGTGCAAAAGCCTTGGCGACGGCTTGTTGATCTTCCGGAGCGACCACCTGCAACCAGGTTGTAGGATCATCTTCGAGTTCCATGGCAGATATGCCAAAGAGCTTAACAAAGGCAGCTGACATGTGTACCCATTTTTCAGGCAACACACCAGCATCGTCATTTGGTGGGGGACTCAGAAGGGAGCTATATTCACCCGGGGGGAGGATCTCGAGGATAAAGAAGGCATCCTGCGTTGTATCCGTCACCTGTCGAAATTTGTCCTCGCTAGCGCGGAGACTTGCTTCAGCACGTTCAAGTGCTTCCACCTTGTCTGCCAAGTCCTGATTAATTCCCTTCAGATTGATCTCTTTTTCGACCAGCGTAGATACAAGTGAATTTAAGGAATATGACAGCCGGGCGATTTCATCATTTCCGTGGACAACGGGAATTTGCGGCATCGCCGATCGTTTACGGATATTATCAGCGGCCCGAGAGATGGCCAGTAGTGGCGCCGTTGTGATGTGAGCAACGGTGTAGGAAGCTCCCACAAGGATAATGGCAAAGCCAAGATGAGCTAGTCCTAAAATCAACACCAGGCGATTTGGTGCCGCGAATGCAGTCGCTGTTGATTGTCGAACGAGGATGCTCCAGTTCATATTTATGCCTTCGATACCGCTGCATTGGCTGAATCCTGTGAGATACTGAACGCCTGATGGCCATCGCTCTACTCTCCATCCGGTGTGGCCAGCTCTGGCTAACATCAACGCAGAGTCGGGAGATTGTGAAATCCTGTAGATGGCAAAAATTCAGACAATTATTCTTTAAAAGAGTCATCGGCAGCCTTACCAGGCTGTACTGTTTTCAGTACTTCCCACTGGCGCTTGCACAAGGCCGTCCGTCCCTATAATGAAGAGCTCCATCGTTCCTTCCCGAAATGTTCCCAGTACATCCCGCTCGACCTTTCGTGTTACGGAAGCGTTGATGTGACTTCCAAGAACACCAATCTGCGTTTCGTTCATCGCAAAAAGTGGGAGAGCAACGTCCAGCAAACGGAGCGGCTCTGTAAGATTCAGAACTCTTTGCAACAGTACTGCACCGTGCACGTCCCCAACGAAACGGGGCGGGTTTGCAAATGGTGCATTTGCACATGCCTTGAACCACGGTCGAGCGGACACGTTTACGTTGGCTAAAACTCCGTCCGTTGCTGCCTACAAGATTCAAGGCAAAAAGTTCGCTCTGAATACCCGAATATCAACGGATCTCTTCCTAATCGCAACCCTGACCTCAGCCCGCTCAGAACACTACCTTCACAGTTCCATCATTCGTCGTAATCCCTATCCACGAATAAAGCTCGTACGTCGCTTTCGTCTCATCCAATACCAATTGGAGTGTAGCCGAATCCGTGCTTGGATCTCGCACAAATGGCAAGGTCGAAATGATGCGCATATCCCGGTATCGCGCATATATCGTCTCATCGATCGTCCTGGCCGTGGTCATTGCAAATTGCATAAGTGATAGGCCTGAAGATTCTCTGAGGTTGTTGATGACTGTGAAGCCCACAATGCAGGCCGATGTCAGGAGGAAAAGAATTGACACGCAGAACATTGCTACCGCCAAGCGGGACTTGAACCTCTACCTATTAAAAATGATGAACAGCGAATGCTTCAAAGTTTATATTACCTTTATCGACCGCCGGGGATCCAGCAATCGCAGAAACCTCTGAGTTCGTGTTAATTGCTGCTCGGCTCTGCTGCTAGTTCCCGTTGAGATATTGTTAGTTGACATGAGTTGGGAGACTAAGATATAGTTAGCGTACACATGCAGAGTTGTCCGTAATACAAGGAACCGAGGACGAGGAGCGCCATGGCACTTACACAGGACATCGGGTGCTATGGGCTTCCTAGCAAAGTACGCGCACGACGACAGTGAGCAGAATCAAAATTTGATGTAGATGCGCCGTGAAAGCACCATGCTTTACCTCGATGGCGTGGCATTACCCGACGTTTTTCCAGTATTCAATAATCTAAATCCCACCTCCCCCCGAATCCTCTCAATGGTGTCGTCCTTGTTCATTTGTCCAATGTGATGGAATGGTAAGGTATCATCGGTATGAGCGTTTGATAATGTTTCGGTCACAGTATGCATGTAGAATTTTGGCACAAACGGGAAATGACTGCAGAGCAAAGGGCGTAAGACGATCCCCTCGCGGTGTACGCCAAAAGGACAAGAATGCGTTCCCGCGGGATGTAAACCTTGCACGCTTTTGCCGCCCGCGACTGGGCGAGCTTCACAAGGGTTTCGCAGATCAAAACACAATTTCCTCGTCAGAAGCGTGACATCAAAATACCCTCAGCCAAATTGAATGCAAAACAATAAACTTGAGGGACTTGAGCAATGTCTCCCCTCTGCGTCCCTTACATCCATGGGCCTTAATTTAGGAACAAACGCTTCAAGGACGCAAGAACATCAACTGAACTGGCGCGATGCGGAAAAAATTCTGGATGATTATCTAACATACTCGGATCTACAGCCCCGACGGTCAGAACTCATCCCAAAAAACATTGCACTTTGTAGCAAGCCAATGAACGAACACATGTACTTGGCCTTGTTACCCGTGTTGAAAAGGGACGACTTTCAATTTGTGCGCACTCACTGCGTGATATCCAAAAGATCCAAATGGACAGCTACATGACCGCTTCACAGCATTGTAATCTTTTTTTTTTTTTTTTTTTTTTTGGATCACTTTTAGAGGGTGTTCACTTGTTGATTCTTCTGCCCAGTAATACAAGAATTCAATTATTCTTGGCTTCTATGTCATCTATTTAAGTATCATGCAATAAGTAATAGTAGATATTTACGTTGGTTTATGCACTGATCGTCGGCGTTCTTGTTCAATTTTTTCAACAGTCTGGCTAACAGATCCTTCTCGCACACCATCTCCACTGAGAAACTCTCTAACCAAAACATCATTGTGTTCCTTGTATCCCCCTGCACCTGGGTAAAAAGGAAAGCAGATTAATAAATGGGCAGCAGTTGTTACATCGAAACTGCCACATACCTCTACCTCCGCCGTGTGAGACCACCCGGTGGTGAAGACCAGTACTTTCACGTCTTGCTGGTTCAGCAGCTGCCGCTGCTATCACATCAACGTCAGGATTATCATCACGCCGATGTTCCTTCTGGTATTCGTCCCCATGCTCCGGCTCAAATCCTTCTCCAGCATGATAAGGGACTGGATAGCCCCCAGATGGCTTACGTCGGATCTTGTGATCCGTTGGCTGTGCAGGAGGATTGAATGAACCCTGTACATCAAAGCTGACCGTTGCAGGTGGGTCCCGGCGAGGGAGAGAGTGTCCTGGTGCTGCGTGCTCCGCCTCGGTGAAATCGCGGTCTTCATGTTGAAATGCAGCCGACACACCGGCCGCTGCGGCTGCGGCTGCTGCGGAAGCAATTCTTTTGTAGTGTGTTCGGGATCGAGTCTCGACATTCATGTTCAGGGGGGGTGTTTGCGTCCCAGTATGTATCAGACGGCTGGCATCGCTGCCGATCCGCTGCATGTGATGCTGTTGCCTTGTCCTCTTGATGTTCTGCACCACGGCTGGCTGAGTGCCGCTATCAATCGACATTCTGCGCTGCTCCTCAACCCAGTGTTCGATGCGGCTATTGTCAATTTGTACCTGCTCCATTATGATGGGTGTAGTCTGCTCATGCAAGACTGGTGTGCGATCTTTGTCTCCAAGACTGGCAGGCATTTTGCCTTTTCGCTTTGATGCGTTCCTTCTTACGTCTGCATCTCGTGCTTCAGCTTCTTCTGCCTTCTTCTTCTCAGCATCACGGCTCGCCTTGATGAAGTTTCGCAGCTCAACGGACGCAGAAGACGAAGGGATCCGAACAACTGCTGGATTGTATGGCGGAATGTCTGAGGAATTGGCAAGTCCCATAGAAGGCAAGTGGGATCGAAGCAATGCAGGAGATGTACACCGTTTTTGGCTAGGCTGTGGGACAGATTGGGAGGTGGCTATTGGCTCGTTAGCGGACACAATAGGGTCCTTCAAAACCGGGTTCGGTAGTGGGCCCCTTCGTCGAGGAGGAGGGACTGGATGGCTACCGTTACCACCTCCATCAAACCGTGTATCGTCGTTGCCTGGCTTACGGGGGCCGCTTGCTTGGTCAATAGCTGATATGATCGCGCCAAATATATCTTTGAAGGATTTTGGGTCAGTTATTGCATCCTCCAACGGTGAAGCGATTACTAAGGATTCCAAAGGCCGCCTTAGAGGTGGAAGGAGGCGACTGTCAAAGGACGGATGGTGGTGACGCTCAAAGTTAGCATGCACAAGGAACGAGTAAGCCGTGTTGATGATATTTGCATGACCCTGCGCGCATAGACCCCATTAGATATGGAAAACCGCAGCTGGACTATGAAGAATATAATACCTGGACCAGCTCATGTAAAGCCCCTCCAACTTCTCGACTATATTTAGCAGCCTTGTCTACAGCCTCTTTTGCCGCGGAGACTCGCGCGATGCGCTCTCCTACTGCAGAATCGGCGGCGGATTGAGGAGCAGTATGCATGTGGGCAATCGCCGTAAACATAAATGTCTTAGATTTGATATGATCTGACCAGTACTGTAACAGAAAAGTACACGGTAAGCACTTGATGCGCTCTGTGATAGTGCTGAGCTTCTTCTTCCAACAAAGCAGACTTCACCTTTGGAAATCGTGCTTTGCAAAGTTCTGTTGGGGCATCAGCAGCCCGGCGAGCGACTTCGTAAAAGTCTGCTGTTTGCGCTGCAATTTTTGCGGTTACCCCAGAGCTCGCTTTTGCTGAAAGGAACCAAGCAACAACAAATCTCCGTTGAGCAATTTGTTGCGTACATGTTCAAAACAATACGATATTGTAACATACTGTCATTTGCCTTTTCGTAAAAGCATTCCATTGCTTGTGCCAGCATGAGCTCGGCCGCTGCCGTTAAGGTCGACTCGTTGAGGTCACTGGCCCGATCCAGCTTCGGTTTGAAGCGTGCGCACAATCTGTCCCGAATATAAACCAAGACGCCGGCACCTTTCTGGAGTCTCGTTTGAGAGATAGAAAGCCAATTGCCATAATCCGTTCTGAAGTACCTGAAAATAGGCAGCTGCCTTCCTTTTTCCATCAGGAGTCCAAAGGCTCTGCGCGGATGCCAAAATACTATACACGGCGGCTATGTTGAACAAAACGCTTGCCTTCTCGTACTGAATGCAATTCGTGACAACTGCGTTGATCATGCTATCAGAAATTGATTTCCTTTCTTAAAGCCCTAGAGTGCGGCGCTTACCTTTTCTATCGGGCACGAGGCTTTCATACCAAGTGAAGTTCATTTGAATCTTAGATGAACTGAGATGAGAGGCCATCATTTGTCAGACTTTCATGAAGCAAAGTGATCCTTACTTCGTCCGTCTCAAACGGAAATTTGGGCTCTAAATACAAAAGTTGGGCGTAATAGCTTCGGGGTACCTCGTCAGCTACTCTCGAACGCCAATGATCAAAAGAAGCACAAGCTTACTGGGAGAGTCTCTCAATTCCCACTTCAGAGCGTTCGGGAGCGCCAGCATGTATTCGGAGCTCGTTCAACGAGTACCAGTGTGCTTCGTTTGGCAAGAGCAATCCAGTGGTATAGATGGCCTCACGACGAAGATGTTCCTCTGCATCTCCAGTGTTGCCTATTTGTTCCTCCGCAAGATAAGTTCCCGCTTCACTCAACAAAAGTTTGGCCGGGGCGGCCGGATCGGTTTGCACATCCATACGTGCAGGGTTGCTCGGTTCCAACGTTGTAGAGTCTCTTTGGGCCGTATTTGACTGCATCAAATCTTTGTCTACGTGCATGCGACTCAATAGTGCTAGCATAGAAGGAAGCAAGGCCCTTTTGAAATTCAAGTATTGCATGGCCGATGCTTTCAACCCCCCGATAGATCCACTAGAGCCAGTCGTACTGTTGGTGCTCTTGGATTTAAGAAGGGATATGAATGAGCCAGGAGCCGCTGGATGAGGCCCAGATGCGACTTGAGAAGACAACAGCCGATCATTGCGCTTGACAGGAACAGCGAGAAAGGTCGAGACTTCACCATTGAAGGATATGTTTGGACCATCTTGGAAGGGAATATGCTCGGAGTATGGGGCTTCAAAAAAACGAGAAAACGACGGATGTATGACGGCCTCAATCGCCGCTTGCTCGGTCCGAAGCATGCCCTTTGCCAGTTATCCGTATCCTCCCAAGCGTCAATGTCACTAGATTATGTGTCGCTGCTCAGTGGCAAAAAGTGGAATCAAAAGCGTCATATCATATGTCGGAAAATAAATTTAAAGGTCCGCACGCATATTCCTGGTTCTTGATGACATTTTATGGGATCAATTAGGGCAACACATTATTTGAGCCCGAGCAGCCAATCTTGGCCGACTTTGGGGGAAAATAGAATGGATATCCAACCTGGACGAGTTCTGGCTGGTCCATCCGCAACCTGCGCTGCCAACAGTCCATGGCCATCTGTACTTCTATCTTTGTCTGGACTCGAGTGTGTTCCTCGATCGCCTGTGTATAGAAATCCCGGCTACTTGAATGAGTCCTAAACGGTATTCTATCACAGCTTGGATTTGAGAACCGTCGACGCATAGCTAAAGGAGAATAGCTCAGGTGTATTGATGTGATAACGTCACCCACAAAAGGACCAATACAGTCCTTTTCATGGCTCTAATGCCGTGATCGACAGACTCGGATAGCCCTTGATCAACGGGAGGACCAGATCTTACCGACATGGTCAATCGAATCGAGGACGTTTTCAATAAAAGGTTTACCTTTGCAAAGCGCTCATAAAGGTCCAAGCGCGACGTCGCGACGTTTGACAGCTCATCGACAACACCATGGCAACGAGTTCCCGTAGATCGTCGTCGTTTCCCCTCACGACATTTCCAATGGGAATGCCGCCGAGTTGGCAATGTGGCCATGTCGTTCCTTCACCGTACAAGAGACTCTCCTCCCCAGAGCTCTGCGCGCGGCGGCAGTTCGTCAGCTAGGCGTCCCGTGCACATTCGGTGACCGGCTCCATTTGGGAGTCCGCGAGCCTCTGTTTGCCCGAAGTATTTCTCATAGCACGGCTCACTCTTTACTATTTGTACGTCAACAAAGAGCTACATATACCACATTTCCATCCCCCGCTGCAATCAATATCACTCCTATACCGCCAATTTCGCAAGTAGACCAAGAGGTGTGTAAGCTTCTTAGAGATCTTCTCCTGCAGCTGTTCTTTGACGGCCAGCATTTGAGTCACAGAAAGTTAGTAATCATACGCCTGAAAGCGTCTCCGCTGGGGGCACGAGGGACGAACATGCGGGAATCTCTGATGGTCCGGTAGATAGTAATGAAGCTTCGCGCGCAACGAGCCCCCCAGTTCCGGGTGAGCCTATGAAGTCTGGTATAGTATTACCCACAAGAGCGCAACCCGTCAAGTATGAGACAGACTGGGACGATGGGGTCTTGGACTTGATAACAAAGTCTGTGGGTGGTGAGAATGCAAACGCGGACATTGCGGATGAGATCAGTCCGGCAACTGCGTGCGGCACTATTGACAAACAAGCGTCAGATGTAGGACAGGGCGACACTAGTGTCCGTCCCGCAACTGCATGCGGCGAAGATGAGAAGCAAGCGTCAGATGTAGGACAGGGCGACACTAGTGTCAGTCCTGCAACTGCATGCGGCAAAGATGAGAAGCAAGCGTCAGATATAGGACAGGGCGACACTAGTGTCAGTCCTACAACTGCATGCGGCAAAGATGACAAACAAGATGTAGGACAGGACGACACTAGTGTCGGCCCGGCAGCGACCGCTGATTTGGAGTCTTCTTGTGATATTACACATTTGGGCCCTACGATTACAGTCCAGGAAGTGGATTTGGCCTCTGGTGATTTACTTACAAGCTCCGAGGCGCTTTTGGGACGGAAGTCTTCAGAGCCCGTTGATGTAAATGTACTCGACATCTCCGAGGAGAATCGGACTGCAGAGGCCTCTGCAGATAAGTTCAGCGGTGCAACGCCACCGCAGGATCCGCTCTCCGTGGCAACTGCCGCTCAGTATACCGGGGCCGAAACCGCAAAGGATATCCCGACCAGGGATGGGCCATCAGAACCAGATAGCGATTTGAACATGAATCGCTTGAGCCGCATGGAGATCTCGATGGCCAGTTTAGTAGCAGAACAGGAACAAATTGCGTCCACATTAAATGGTCTAGCGACAAACATGACGGGATTAGCTACGGATATGGAGGCAACAAAGGACCAGCTGCATGCGTTCAGACATTCCGCAATTCACCGGATGGACTCCAGTGATGGTGGCTGGAGTAAAAACATGAAGCAGCTTGAAGACCGGATAGTTCAGATAGAGAGGAAAGAGCAATATCTTTGGAACAAGCTACTCCAATTGAAAGGGGAGACTGACGCAAGCCTAAAGCAACTACGTGCACAAGTTGACAAGATACCTGACCTGCTGGAGCGGCGGTTATCTGAAGCACAAGAAAAATCAACAACGCCAGCGGTCTCCGACCGGCGCTCTATAGGCTTTAACCCCACAAAGGCAATTCGAAATAAAGTCAAATCAATCCGCAACCACACAATTACGACGGTGCAACGTGTAGTTGGTGTTGCAGATTCGATTACTGCCAAAGTTTCCGACGCCTGGTCAAGCGCCAGGCGAAAAACAGCAAGGGTCTTTATTTCTCTGGGAAATAAGGTTTCTCCATTAACACCGGAAATCTCTTCAGTGACCGAAGTAGGAGAGCGTAAACTGGATGCCGATTTACTTGTCCCAATAATTGTGAGACGCTTGACGACGGCTGGCATTCGTCCGTATACGACGGAACCTTATGCCATCTACCTTATCGACTCCATCTCCGAAGCTGAGACTTTTATGTCGATTGTAATGGATGAATCAGGAACCTCTCCCCACCATCGCATTCGGGTTGTAGGATTTGACACTGAGACTGCCTTTCGGAACGATGAACATAACAATTTTGGACCGACGAGCATGGTGCAGATTGCCTTTGCGGAAGGCCTTGTTGGTATATTCCAGGTGTGTGAGCGGACATGACGCTATTGGCCACGGGAATGTCATCATGCTGTTTACACAATGGCTTTTTCAGATTTATCGTATGTGCGCGGCGGAGACGTCGGGAACGTTGAAAATTGACAAAAGTCGGTTTCCGAAATTGTTGAAGGCATTTATTTCCAGTACCATTACTATTAAAACTGGCGTTGGGATATGGGGAGATTTGAAAAACCTCCAAAGACACTACGACGTCGAGGTGAGTTTTCTATGTGTTGCAGGCCGAGAACGGTTTGTAGATGAAAACTTTTCGACTATAGATTCCTATCGAAGCCGTGGTATCGTTAGACTCACTTGGACGCACAATTGGCGTTCAAAGATGGTCCCTCGCGGCGCTCAGTTCGCAGTATTGCGATATGGAGCTTCAGAAGGGTACCAGCCCACCCAAAAGGTGGGACGCGCCACGAAATCTCATCTCGAGAAATGCGGTTTTGTATGCTGCCAACGATGCTCTAGCTGGTCTGAGAATATACAAGAGTATGGTCAGGCCACCTAAAGAACGGACATTAGTCTCGGATGACACTTCCGTCGAGCGAGTGCAAAGTCCCGTTATTCAATCGGGTGGCACCGCAACTACGGCAGCGTCGTTCGATGAAATTGCCGATAACATTTTTCCGAAAATGAGAAAAGCACTGTTCGGACAGCGACAAGTGGTGCCACGTCTCCAGGCTCAGAGATGGATGATGGCAGCGGTACCTGCCTGGAAGGAGCTTTCAGATTTTGAAAAGCGAGAAAATGCACATCGATGTGTGGATATATTTATCAAGGACAGACGATTACTTCAGGGCCGTCGCGGCCTAGCGCTGGCGTCGCAGCATCCCACCTCTAGGTTGACGGCCAAAAATTTACCCTCAAGTCAATATGTTCTTATTGACACAAGTTCGAATGATGTGGGCGACGACAAGCTTATATTTGAGGAGATTTCAACGTCGAATACATCCAGTCCATCAAATGTGGGACGTGATACGTCGGACTCTGCAGTGAAGACTGTTCCATCCAAGCCCGCTGATCAACGCAGTGGCGTAGTGGATACCCCAGTGCAAGCAGCAAGCGGCAAACCCACAGAAAAGTCAAAGTCTACAACTGTTGACAAATCTCCTCCTGCAAAGATCGCAAAGGAAGAACACGGCGATGCAGTGGATACCCCATTGCAAACAGCATCGGCGAGCGCCAAGCCCGCTGAAAAGTCGAAGTCTGTAGCCGTTGTTGACAAAACGCCTCCTGCGACACTTGTAAGAGACGAAAGTAGTGGTACAGTGGATAGCTCAGTGCAAATGTCAGCTGCGAACGCGAAAGCCGCGGAAGGAGAGGATGTCTTGGGCAACGCAGCCGCCAAGGTTCAATCACTTCAGGATATTGCTGACCAAATAGCTGCTGCCCTTGACGATGCTGGCGACGCACCGTTCTTCACTATTTACAGACAGTTCTTCGATACACCCATAGCAATAAGTACCATCAGCGCGTCGATTCAAAATGGCATGAATTGGTCGTCGATTCCGAAAACGGTCGATCGATCACTTATCAGCGATGCGTTGATACAGCGTTTACGGCAGCAAGGAAGATTAGTTGATGCCACTGTACCCGACCGCGTACAGCTGGTCATGAAGGCAGAAGATATCCCAAAGGAGGTTCTAACGCAAATCGAAATGACTGCCGATCCATTTGTTGTGCTTTGGAAGGTGTTTAATACACGCGGAACACAGATAGGACGACTCCAGAAACACTTGGTGATGCCCCAACGAGGTCTATGGCCAGATTGTAAGAACCACAGCCAGCGACAGCTTTTCGCAATGGTGTCCGCTTGGCAGCTCTATGTGAATCAGCGACTCCTTCGTGTTGATAACAACACTTTTCGATTGGACCCGAACGATGCTGCGATCCCAAGATTAGCAGCATCCAAGCAATCGAAAAAAGACAGTAGTAAACCCGAGAAAACTAAGAAGGACAGCAGCAAAAGCAATGCGGCAAAGGAAGAGATTAGTGCAGCTGACGGTACGAAGGAGCCTCCCAACGTCTCGAAATCCAATGAGTCGAAGAATACTGGCGCAGCCCCAAAGGTCAAAGAGTCGAACGTTCCTACACATCCGAGCTCTGTTGCAGTCATTAGCGCTTCAACAAGTTCTGAACCGTCAACCACGTGCACAAAGGAATCACATCAGTCTGCCCTAGATGCTCATGCGAGAGAAGATGGGACGACTGTGGCAAGTAGTAACGTGGAGGATGGCATTGCTCAAAATGGGATGACTGCTAGTACTGCGAATACCATTGATAGTGGCTTGCCCATCAAGGAGTCATCTGAAGCGGAAATTAAACATGAGGTTGTGCCCATTGATACTGTTTTGATGACCATGGCGGAGGCCCAGGATCCAGGAGGGGAAGAACCGGATCCGATTGTTAGAAGTGAGGGAGACGCGCCGACGGGATCTGTTGCAACGATCAACGTCGAAAAGCATGAGAAGAACGCGGCGACAGGAACTGTTGCAACGATCAACCTCGAAACGCATGAGCAGATCGAGGCGACAGGAACTGTTCCGATGATCAACCTCGAAACGCATGAGCAGATCGAGGCGACAGGAGCTGTTCCGATGATCAACCTTGAAAAGCATGAACAGATCGAGGCGACAGGAACTGTTCCGACGATCAACCTTGAAAAGCATGAACAGATCGAGGCGACAGGAACTGTTCCGACGATCAACCTCGAGAAGCATGAGCAGATCGACCTTTCTATTTTTGAGGATAAATCAGATACCTTGGAGCCTACAGCGACAGTACAGGCTCTGGAGACAAACAATATGACTGAGCTTGCTTCCGATGACAATATAGCGCCCGAGGAATCCGGTTCAGCACTGAAGATCCCAACATCTGCAAGCGAAGTGAGAGAGGTATCAGTGGAAACGCCCAATGTTGTTGAAGCACGGCACACAGCACCGCACGAAGCACATGCCTTGGTACAAACAAAAGACGTTCTCCAGACGGAGGGGCAGGCAGCATTGGGGGAAATTGAAGAGTCTAAATTACCTGTAAAATCTGATACAGCCCATATGGTAACTGAGCTGCGACAGATCCATGATGCTATCCCGCCACAAACAACGTCTAGTGTACAAACATCAAAAAACACAGCAACGATCGGAGTTCTTGGAGACATTGAGAGATCGCGCAAGCCCGACATGAAGCACAAGGACACCACTGCTCCAAGGGCTGCCAGTACTGTCGATCGGCAGCTAGAGAAATGGATGGCAGCGTTGCAGACGCGTAAGGAGAGGTAGTGCAAGTTTACATGCGTGTAGATAGACATATTCTTGAAAAGTTTGTATATAGCATAGCATCATCTTATCTAAAATTTTTATTTTATTATATACCTCTGCTGGCCCGCCATTGCCCTTTTGTGTTGAACTGTTTGTGTGTTGCCAGCTGTCCAAACCAACTCTGATTTTTTCATCGAAATATTGGTTCCAATTTGCGCATTTTGTGGCTTGGAATCCATCGATGAGATCATGACGTCAGACAGCAGAATGGAACCGGCAATTTGAGGCAGTGCTGTTTTCTCATCCATGGTTCTGCTGGTTTGAAAAGCACGAGGTGGGGCAGATTTGGAATATCTTTTCAAAAATCATCTGGCAAAATTCCAACTGGAAAGTGATTTTTTTGTGCCATGTCATTTAGCGGACTTTAATTTGGAGGAGGACGAAACGAGAGCGTGTTGCTTCTCTCCAAAACAAACAAGTAAATAACCCGCTCGTTGTTGGTTTTTTGCAGCTTGCCCGCTCTCGCGTCTTTGCCCTGTTTTCTGCTGTGTTTACTCCAGGAATTCTTATTGTTGACAGATGGTTCCGCCCTCATCCTTTTGCTAACAAGCGTCGTCGTATTGTTGATGATTACCTTGGGGGGCGGGGTGGGGGGGCGTGGGCGAGGCGGGCTTGTCCATGGGCGATTTTGTGTTTATTTTTGGCCAGCATTACGGCTAAATGTTGGTTTGAATTCCAGGGCATTAGAATCACTTGTGTTGCCATTGCATTCCGGTACAACCATGACACAATGTCATATCGATGCATTGGAACACATTCCAATCTATGCATTCGAGTGGTGAGTGTGCACTTGTATTGGAGGGCTGAGGTTGTTATATCTTTTTGTTTTCCTTCTGGGTTTTCGTTTCCTTTTTTTTTTTTTCCCGCTTGGAGCTTTTTTTATCACCTTCATCCATAGCTGAACGGGGATTGCCACCGCCGTAAGAGGACGGCCTCGTTTCTCCTGGGGGTATCTTGTTTTCCTACTCAGTATCAAACGACCAAAAGGACTTGTTGCTTCCGCCTCGCTTGTTTGTCTTGTTCGAGCAGGATACAGTCTAGCTAATAGCGCAACTTTGGACAAGTTTACCACGAATACCTCTCCGTCCGTGTAGGCTGCTGGCAAGTTCTTGCATTAGCTGTGCTGCCCGTGTTTGTTGAAAAAGCAAACTCAAAAAGCCAAGCGCAAAGGACGGCGCAACGACCAATCCGGTCGGACCGTCCAGTAGTTGTGTTTTAGTAGTATCCCGCACATTTTTTACTTTTGCATATACCTCGCTCTGTGACCATGGACTGGTCGCAGCAAATGGGTGGATACTCTACTCAACAGCTAGCAATGGTTCAGCAGGCACAACAAGTCCAGCTGCAACAGCAACCGTCGCAGATTATGAGCAGCTATGCCACGTTGATATCTCCCACTGCCACTCCACCACCGTCTGCGGATACCGACTTGAATGTTCTTCTCAACAAGCCCGATCAGTCAGCATTCCTGCCTAGCCCTCCGCAGCCGTCACTGCCACAGCCGGCTCAGCAGGCGACTTTCGACCCAACGCCTGGCCCTTCGCCGCAGACCAGTGGGACACTCCCTCGCCGAGTGTCGTCTGCAAGACGGGAGCGGCACGGAGCAGAGTTGGCAAGTTTCCAAAAAGATAGATTCCCACAGTCCTCGAGGGACAATCGATACCCGGATTTTTTGGAACAGCTGCTGCAGGTGTTTGAAAAGGCAAAGGACTTGATCGGAGGAGGAACCTGTGATGTTCAGTTCGCAAGGGATGCTCTTCGAGACGTTAGAGCGCGAGTGTCTGCTGCCAACAGCACAAGAGTACGTTATTTGCGTGATACCCGGACCTCGTTCTGAACATCTCGCTCATAATTGAACTTCTTTAGGGCTGGCGCATATGGCTCAAGGAACCGCTTTTCAATCGCTTCCGAGATGTCAAGCAATGCTGTACGCCTCCTGATACTACCCACGCAGAGTTTGTAGAGCTGTTGCTGGACCTGTATTATCTTGTTCAAGAAGATCAGTGGCAGCAGGTTCGAGAGACGCTTTTGCAACCGCGGACGACACCCCTTTCTTTTGGCACACACGATGCCCAAGTCTCTTTCAAGGTGGAGAATGGAACAGTTGGCGCAAGTGTGGCGACGATGCATGGTGAACTGCTATCGTCTTCTGTGCAGCAGCAAGTGCAGCAAGCGTTACAGCAGGCACTTCAACAACCAGTCGGAAACGCCCTTCAGCAACAGCTATCGGAGCAAGGACAAACACCTGTCTCGTTTTACATACCTGATGGGTCTGTTCAGATGACGCAATCCGCAATGGACAACCAAACGCCAATGATGGATCTGGCGACGGTACCTTCGGGCTGGACCCTACCCGTTTCGACAGAAGCCTTGGCGGCATCCCAAATGGAGTTACATCCTCCTTTGCATCCCCTGAGTACGGCCCAAGCCATGGAGGATCTACAGTCAGGTCATAAACCTCCGCCTGTTGTGACAACTACGCTCCCTGGGCGTCCTGTGCGGAGATCCTTGTCATCCCCAGGCGTTGCAAGACCAAGAGGAATACCGCGAACCCAGCAATTGCCGACACACCAGGATTACATTCAGACCACTTTGAACCGTGCGAAGAGTTTTGGTGGTGGCATGAGGCGGCGAAAAGACGAAACTGGAGGGACCGGTCTCCAAAGGAAAGGTTCTTTGCGAGGGACAAAGTCCTCGGGAACAAAGTCAGATGATGTTCCCACCTCTCGAGCGCCATTTGTCATGCATCACAGACACGGCAGTACTGCTAGCACAAGTTCTGCTTTGTCATGTGCTACTGGTACCTCGACCTCGGCGTTTTATGCAAGGGATTCTCCGGCGCTACAACCAGTGCCAAACAGTCCAGCTCAACATCAGTGGCCACCGGAATCCGAGGCGCTCATGCAAGGGCTGGAAGCTATTAGTCTGAGTGATTCCAAGGACGCTGCAATTGCCGCAGTGGCTGCTGCTTACATCGAGCAACAGCAACAACAGCATCAGCACGAGCAGCACCAACAACAACAGCAACAACAACTACAGCAGCAGCAGCAGCAGCAGCATCATGAACAACATCCTCAACAACAACAGCAGCACGAGATGCAAGTACAGGCTCAAGCTTTCAACGTTGGCGGTGGCCTGTTCCCTACTCAGTTGGTGCAGCAGCCCGTTTCGCTCATGACGTACGGACAAATAGTTGAACATGCTGCTCAACAACAGCAGCTGGCGCAACATCAGTTTGCCGAGCAGCAGTTTGCTGAACAACAGTTTGCTGAACAGCAATTTGCCCAGCAGCAGCTGGTCCAGCAACAGCTTGCTCAACAACATCTCGCACAGCAGCAACAACTCGCCCAACAACACCTGGCTCAACAGCACCTGGCTCAGCAGCAAGTAGTGGAACAGCACCATCTTGCACAACAATACTCACAACCGCCTCCAAGCTCCTCCGTGGCACAACAATCATCGGAACAAGCCCAGGAAGCAATGTTCAAATATACTACGTTGGAGGCGATCCCTGATAGCAGTCCGTATGGTTCAACCTCTAGCTTATTGGATACGATGATTGTCGACGAGAAGGATGAGGGGGTTCATCTATCACAGATCGAACCAGGAGTGCATGGTACCTTGGAGAGTACAAAGGCGACAAATGCGAGTCTGGATTCAATCTTCAAAACGTTGATAGACGGAGACCCTACAGAGTCACAGCAGATGTTTGACGAGCCGCCAGGGTTACTCGGTCAGCAACATGGTGTTATGAGCACAGTCCCGCTTATGACGGACATGAATGGAACAATGGTGATGATGCAAGGAGAGTACCAAAGTAGAGCTCCATCGGTTCAAACGGAACCTGTGCGCCCTTTCCCTGTACGCACCACGTCCGTGCCGACGACCTATCAGGCACACCCGGCGTCTCACGCTCAGCGGCACCAAACGTTCACATATGGTACGATCCCACAACCCACTGCGTACGCCCAGCCGTTTAGTACCCAATCCCAGCGTGTGCAGATTGACCCAACACCTGCTCCACTTCCGCCATCATATCCGCAAGTATCTGTTCAGGTGCCTATCATGCCGGCTCATGTCCAGGCGCAAATCCCAGTCGGACGTAACCGTTCAAAGACCATTTCAAGGTTTATTGGAAGATTGCCATTCATCAGGAGTGGTTAGATTCACAAAAGGACATATGTCATCATTGCTTGCACCTGTCCCCTTTTGATGGCGGTTTTATTGGGATTTTATTCAGGATGATTTTATTATTTTTGATGTACTTTAGTTTTGTGCTATTGGAAAGCGGCGTCGAGTGCTAGTCATAGAGGGCATTTTATGCTTTTGTGAGCCGGTAGGACGCTTTGGCTCTAGATTGTTCGTGCACCTTTTTTTTTCTTTAGAATATTACCGAGATACCATTATAACCTTACGTGATGCGTCTTTTTAAACTTTGTCTTTTTGGTACTTGAGGTTTGGTTTGTTTATATTTGCGGTCTTGGCTTTTGATGATGTGCCAAATCATGAATATTCTGGCGGGACAAGTGTCCCCACCCTTCAGGGATTGTTTTCCATTTTCTGACGTCAAGCTTGTTGGAAATCATCTGCGCGTGCTTTTTCAAATGAATCCTTGGCTTTCACTCTTTGCCCTAACGTTATTTTGAACTTGCGACAAGCCTCGGCAAAAACAGGTCTTGGCCCCGAATTCAAACTTTCTTGTCTTGGCGGATACGGTCAGCACAGTAAAGAAGCAAAATCAAGCCCCATTTTTAGAGTGTGCTGAACATCTGCAATGAAAAAAGACCCAAAGCGTCAAAATCACACTGTTAGTGGCACAGCCATGCTTCTTTCGTCACTATTCATTTATCTCTTTATGGAATGATATCTTTAATCCTTTGGATGCGCGTTATGGGGCTTAGGAGGAGTGGCGGATCAGTTTCATTAGGGCTGAAGCGTTCACGAACATTCCTCATTGCTTTTACATTTGTTTTCTTTTACGCCTCATCGCCTATTGAAAGTTGCGCTGGGTTTCTATCAAGTTATTAGCTCGTCCCATTGTTTGTCAGCGCGTTCATCAGTGTACAGGTCGACTTGTAAGAGTCGTCATTATTCAACAGTGGGCATGGGGGAGATGTTTACGGGCGAGTCTCCCCGCACGTTTGCCATGCAGAGTGCTGGGAACGGATTTCCTCTCTTCCCGAAACGTCCCGAATTGGATGACGTGGGATCTTCTAGTGAAAGTGCAGAAGCGGTAACTACCATTAGTTTGTAAAGAGTAAAGTGGCAGTGACTAATAACATGCACGTTCGTCGACTAGAACGTTTTGTCATGCTTGCGACTGGTTTTAACTCTTGCTGATGAACTATCTCGCTACAACATTGAAAACATCCGGACAGTCAAATTCCGGTACTTTGATACACCCGGCGCGTTGCAGAGTCTGGAAACGGTCGCTCTCTTTTGTAAAGAGCTGGATGCGGCGTTACGGAACTCGTTGGTTTCGCCCCCAGATAGTCCAGATAGTCCACATATTTCTTCGAAAGGGAAAGAGCCAATCACATCGGGCACCGTCGGAGCTGAGGCCGGAATAGATGATGTCGTGGGGAGACGGTCAGCCGGACCAGAGCTTTCGGTCGTATCGTCCGTGCCGTTCCCCCGTCCTGAGTATTTATCCGCGCACGAGCAGGTCAATGCACCGTCATCTTCCTCACTATCTTTAGTGGAGCCTCCTCTTTCAAGCGAAATGGAGCTTAGTCAAGAGGGGGTCTACAGGTGCTACACTGAGGTGGTTGCGGATCCGTCAGACGACATGGCAATCAACATAAAATTGATGGATCGCGTACGGGTAGATATCCGTATGGAGGACGGCGTCACTGGCATCGGAACGAATCTGAATACAGGTGCTATGGGATCTTTCCCATTGAGTTGTTTGGAGGTGCCGAGTGACGTGGACACGAGAGATTGGAAGCGAAGTGGGACATTGGCATCTTCGGTTCTCAGTGGAAATACTTCCGTGTCTTCAGAGTTGGCGGGCGGTGCACTGCGCGGGTACGCAGATGCACATATGCCGCCACATGTTGTTACGCAAAACTTTGTTCTCTCGCCTGTGCCAGAGGACAGACCAAGGGTCCGCAGAGAGTCCGAGCCATTGGTATCACGGTTCAATTCGGAGGATAACCAAGTGATGAATGGGGTGAGCGAGTCATCAAGGCCACCTCAGCGTTCCGACTCGCTACAGCAAAGATTGGAAGCATTGTACCAGTACCAACATGTACCAAGCGAAGCTGTTTCGGAACCGTTACCGCAACCCACGCAACATCAAATTCCTATGCGGGTAGCTTCTGTGCAACCACGTCCACAGCAAGCTTCAGGGCCACCGGTGCCTGCAAAAGACCATCCGTCAGCTGAACCCTCGACAGCACCAGCGATGATCCATGTACCTGGACCATCCAGACCCGGACTTACCCGGGCAGCGACAAAGCCTCTTTCGGCTCAAGTAATTGAGAAACGCAAATTCGCTCGTCAAGTCATTGCCGAACTATATGAGACAGAAAAGAACTTTATGGAGGGAATGGAAGTACTGATAAATCAATTCATGTACCCTCTCGCCCACGCATCCTCGAGCGAAGAAACGACTATCACCAAGGTTGAGCATTCCACACTGTTTCGTAATATTCCCGGGTTGCGAAATTTGAGCAGGAAGATTTGCGAGTTGTTGAAGGCAGCTATGGCTAAGGCGGAGGCAGATGAGGAAGGCGACGTGGGAGGAGGCGCTGTAGCAGCTGTCGTCAATGTGTTTTTGGTGAATGTAGAGTTTGAGGAATGGTCGACATACGTGCGGTACATGGAAGGGTACTCACATGCGAAGCAGACATTTGCACAACTGAAGGAGCGTCCAGAGTTTAGCGAAGTACTTGATGTGCGTGCTTACGGATCAGAGTTTGCATATTGGTTTATGGTTTGGAAACTCAATTTCATTGTCATTTTAGAAACTCGAGAGTGCAAAGGAATGCAATCGATATACGTTTGAACACTATATGATCCTACCGGTGCAGCGAATCGGGCGGTATCACTTACTGTTGGGCAGACTCAAGAAGGTGACGGACGAAGAAGATCCAGTTCACCAGTCGTAAGTTTGTCAAAGGTTGGGTTCAGTTATTGTACACCAACCCTGATTATGCGTATCAGTATTGAAACAGCAGAACAGTATATGAAGCAAATCGGGGATGTACTGGAAAGTGTTCAAAAGCAGGAGGAAGAGCTCCGTAGAGTGTTTGAAGTGTATGAAGCGATTGAGGGATGTCCGGTATGTGAACAAACGCCACTATTCGACGTCTCCAAAACTCTACATCAACTCATTCTGATACTATGTAATAGCCGGATATCATCTCAGCATCTCGCCGTCGTTTGCTGTCATCTTTCGAGGTTGATGAGCTCTTTTCCGGGCGCAAACTCCACATGCACGTCTTTAGCGACTGTTTCTTGCTGTCAACCCGCAATCGCTCTACGTCATCTGCATCCCTACAGCACACGGTATCCTCAGCAGCTTCGCTTGCCAATACCTGGAAAAATCGGAATAAAGATAAAGACAAGGACAGAAGCAGGAAAGAAAATCAAAAAGAGTTTACATTTGTTGCTCGTGTTGAATTGCGCGATGTCGAAGTTCAAAGCGTTGGAAATGTTGAGGATGGACTTGCTGGGTTCCCAGAGCTATCCCCATATCTACAATTGAGCGGTGGAAATAGTGGACGTGTTGCGGTATTACGACATATACCCGGCGGTGGAACGTTTGAAAGACACTCAAAAATCGTTGGTCTACCTTTGATCTCAGCCACCGACCATGAGCGAATTCCTGTCCCTCCTTCCCACCGCCGGAGCATAGACTCCTCCTCTTCGTCTCTCTCCTCACCCTCCTCACCATCGAACCTCTCCCGCCATCCGTCCACCTCGTCTGGCGGATCAACTTTTGGTCACATGAACCTTAGCCGTCGAGGTACAGCGAAGAGCATGAACGGCATCATTGGCCGACCCAGCATGGACCAAGACAGTCAAAGAGGAGACCAAGATTTATATGCGTTCAGAGTCCCCGATTCCACAAGAATGGCCGGGTTGTTGGCTGCACTTGGATTGGCTGGCGTACAAAGACCCTGAAAAGAGAAAGTGTATTAAATGCAACATTTCCTACATGTATATAGCTGTTACTTTTGTCTTTATGAAATGTGTTTTGGAGCGGAAAGGAGAAAACAAGAAAGTGAATACATTTATATGTTTTTACAAAAATGGTTTGGGAGAAAGTATTACACACATCTTGCACCTTGGGTTCTTTGAGGAAGAAGACTGGTCGAGTGATTCTAGATATTTGGAAATATTACGATCTATTTAAGACAAAAAGCTAGACCTCTCATGGTTCCATGGTGTAGTGGTTAGCACTCAGGACTTTGAATCCTGCGACTCGAGTTCGAATCTCGGTGGGACCTGTCAAAGCATAGCTGGTGCAATTTTTGCCCCTGGCTTTTGTACATATTGCAAGTGGAGTGTTTGATTGCCACAGCATTTTGGGGGGTCGATCGCCAACTAGCCAAAAAGACTCGGTACTGCAGTTGTTTTAGAATGTTTGTTGCTACATTTAACAAACCGCCTGGATTTCTGTTCGTCATCCATGGCAGGAAATCGATCATCCGTTAACTGCCACTTGTTTTAGAATGTTGTGTTGCTACATTGGAAACATATGTGGATTTCAGTCGCCAAACTTGTCCCATAGGGACTTTTAGCCCTTTGCCATCGGTGTGCTAATAGTAATCATTATTATTATTTATGCTTCAATGATGGAATGTGGACGCAACTCGTTCTGAAGCAAGTATCAGAAACGGAATGGTTGATTTTTAGGTTCGGGTGCTACATCCAACAAACAAACATTTGCCAATTGCATCAATGAAAAATACTCCACAGATGAGGTGCCATTGACATGTTTAGAAAGGCAAAAATACCAAGGAATAAGCACATAATAACACAGACCGCAAAGGAATTTCACTCCATGGCCATGCTCCATTGAGCTTGCTGTTAAACAATTTGTGGGAGGCGAAACGATATTTGATATCTCTCTCTCTTATTTACAAAATGACGAAAAAATAACAAGGTTTAGACTCAATAAAACACTCCCAACGCTTGCCAACTGTCTTTTCTCCAATGCTTCAGGCCTTGCAAACCTGTTGATAAAGTATCCATAATTAGTGTCAACACATTTGAGGGAGGGAGGCCCACTTAAAAAGAATGGCTTAAACTAACTTTTGACCCGTGTTTGGGACATTAGCGTTTTTAAAACTACCAAAGGATGTTTGGGTTGGTTTTTTTTTTTTTTTAAAACAAAGTATCATACATTTGGATGTAATGACAAGTTTTAACGAGAGGCCCAACATACAACCACCGCCAACAAGTCGCTTTTCAAAAACCCGGTGGAGGTACTCATTCCGAGGTTGCTTGATTAGGGTTACTTTTTTAGTGCAGGCATAAACGGCATATGGTTGGCTCTTTGCTTTTTAGTCTACAAAGTTACCTTGCGGAGGACTTGCCAGATGGACGATGGCACTAGTTTTGGGGGAAAGGAGGTATCCCAACTGGGTTCCCGAGTTTAAACAAAAGCTTGGCAGGATAACAAGGATATATAAAGTAGGAAGGGAAGGGTTTCCTGGGCCCCTGCTTCTTGCTTTCATATACAAGGGAGGTTTTGAAAAAACGTAGAGGAAAAAGTTGCTAGTCGTTCGATTTCCTACCCAGATTTCCTTTATAAAAAGTCATATTGATATCATAGAATATGAGGTTCTCGGTTCTTACAACCGTCCTCCTCGCCGTATCCAGCACGCAGGCTCGGCCTCTGAATAACCAACGGCGACATGAAGTAGCTACCTCGCCAACGCCGACTGGTCCGCCGTCTGGGACGCAATCAACCTCACCAGGTGGGGACCCACCAGCGGTGCCGCCAGCGACTGTACCAACGGCGCCTCAACCCGGTACGCCACAACCTGGAAACGTAGCAGGCGAAATTGAAAAAGCCAAAGCCGCCATCCAAGATGCTGCTGCCACTATCGCAAAGCTTTTAGATGGGTTTGTAGCTGGTAACAAGGCACCAAACAATGGCGCACCTGCACCCGCACCTGCTGCAACTATCAATGGGGCCGACCCCCCCGTCGCTACCACGCCTGCCGGTGCTAGCGATCCCGCAAGAAGTCCTTCAGGGCCCGCAACGCAGATCCCACCTCCTGTAACTCCAGGCGGACCCAATCCTCCTGCCCCGGAGATCCCACCTCCTGTAACTCCAGGCGGACCCAATCCCCCCGCTCCAGGAGACACCACCGGTACTCCTGCCAACGTCCCAAAAGACGCCCCCAAAGCTACCCCAGGAGAGACCACCGGTACTCCTGTCGACGTCCCTAAAACCCCGGACGCCCCCAAAACTGCCCCAAGCCCCGGAGGTACTGGCGACAGCCCAAAAACTCCACAGACCCCACCTCCTGGAGGTAATAAAAATGGAACCGAAACTGGAGCTCCAAAAACAGGCGGGGATAAAAAGACTCCTGATGCTGGAACTGGGAAAAAGGAGACCGGAGCTGCAAAAACGGGCGATGGTAAGAAGACTCCTGATGCTGGAACTGGGAAAAAGGAGACCGGAGCTGCAAAAACCGGCGGTGATAAGAAGACTGGAACTGGGAAAACGGACACTGGAGCTGCAAAAACGGGCGATGGTAAGAAGACTCCTGATGCTGGAACTGGGAAAAAGGATACCGGAGCTGCAAAAACGGGCGATGGTAAGAAGGCACCCGATGCTGGAACTGGAGCAAAGAAAGGAGACGAGACCGCAGGAAAGACAACCGATACTGGGGCAGGAAAGGCCAAAACTCCAGGCGCAAAGATTCCGCTTCCGCCTGCTGGCACCAATTCGACAGGTGCCCCCGCTAGCCAGGAGACTGCTGCTACTCCTACCACTCCTGGTAAAAAAACCCAACCCGTTACTATAACCGGAACCCCGGAGGAAATTCAAAAGAAAATCGATGCCAGTATCGCTACCGTCACCGGTAAGGGAGGAGCTGCCCAAGGCGGCGGAGCGAAGAAAGGCGGAGCGAAAAAAGCTGGAGATGCTAAAGCTGGAGATGCCAAAGCCGGAGATGCCAAAGCTGGAGATGCTAAAGCTGGAGATGCTAAAGCCGGAGATGCCAAAGGCCAAAAGGGAGCCAAGGGGAAAGCCAAGGACGCCGGAGATGCCAAAGGCCAAAAGGGAGCCAAGGGGAAAGGCAAGGACGACGGAGCTGCCAAGGGGAAGGCCAAAGACAATGGAGCAGCCAAGGCGAAGGCCAAAGACGGCGGAGCAGCAGCCAAAACCCCAGATGCTACCCCAGGAGCCGCCAAAGACGGTGGAGTAGCCAAAACCCCAGATGCGAAAACCCCAGGTGCTAAAACCCCCGATGCGAAAACCCCAGATGCTACGCCGGGAGCCGCCAAAGACGGTGGAGCAGCCAAGGCCCCAGGAAAAGCCAAAGAAGACACAGGAGCAGTGAACAATGGAGCAACCACCGATACCACTGAAACAACAGTAGCACCCAATCCTGACGATAATGACGACGGAGATGGATCCAACTTTACTGCCGCTTTCCTAGCACGGCGCAATCCACAAGATCCAAAGACGACGCCTGGAGGAGCAAAGACCGCACCTGGAGGAGCAGATAAGGCACCTGGAGGAGCAAACAAGGCACCTGGAGGAGCAAACAAGGCACCTGGAAAGGCAGAGGACAGTTCTGTAGGAACAAAGGCGAAGCCTGGAGGAGAAAAGGAGGCACCCAAGCAAAAGTCGCCAGCGCTTCCCACTCTAAAGACCCCACCTGGAGGACCAGTGGTAATAGCAAATGCAATCGTTTACTAGCCAAAAAGTCAAAACATTGAGATTGGATTAGAGCGAAAAAATCGTATATCAGAATACCGGAGAGATGTAAATACTTTATGGACGCTTGGAAACAATGAAAAAAAAAAAAATGTAGAGTATAACGAACGAAAAAAAAACTGGAAAGAAATAGGGAGGGGTTTGTTTATAGCGGGCGTGTCATCACATATGAAATGCTGTAGAAAAACGAATGCAAGGTTTTTTTTTGTATAAAAATCCTTTATGTATAAATTCTGTTGCGAAAACGAAATAAAAAATCAACAAAAAAATATCGAACTGGCGAAGCCGAGTATCTGTTCTTTCTTTGTTATGAGTATACAGATGTCTCATCCAAAGGATATGCAATCTAGTCACTCTAAACATTCAAAAAACAAATGGATGATGCATACAGAGATGTGAACGTGTTAAACTTTTTGGTATATTATGCAACTCTTCTTTTAATTACAAGCAACTGGACTACGTACATGACCTAGACTCGATATCACACGCACAGCGTACGATTACGCCGTCGTCTAGCAAACCCGCAAGGTTCTATAAAAACTTGTCGCCGTCATCACATCTAAACGCCGCAACAGGAATACGCCCCCAATCGACAAATGTTTTTTGTCTGTTCCAGAATTCACATAGGTTCATGTCCATATCATCACCTTCTACCAAATGACCCTCCTTGCCCATGTCCATGCCCATGCCCGCTTCCAGTGTCACTCCACCCGCTATTCGATGTTCCATACCCAACACCATATTGATAACCGCCATAGTCATAATAGGCAGGAGCTTGTGCTATATTGCCAGTCATCGCCATTGGCACCGGGGAGGGTGTCGTCGACGGAATGGGTGTTGGAGTCGGTCGGTTGACCGAAAGCTCGCTGTGGATGGATGGTTCATGGACAAGGCGGTCTGCTGTTGTGGAAGGAGAGCTGAAGCTTGCAGACATGCGCTGACGAAAATTGCTGGAGGGCTGTTTAAAATAATAAAGAAAAGTCAGTCTCTTGTACAGTAAAAGATTGGTTTTCGCCAAACTCAGAGCAACCAACTTTAAGTTTCCACTTTCTGAAAGCATAAATGGCTAACGCGGCACCGACGACACACACACTGGCGACCACGATGCCTGTTATAGCAGTGCCTTTTAGTGAGCTTGTTTTCGGCGAATCTTCTAGTGATGAATTTGGTGCCGTTGCTGAGGTTGGACTTGGCTGGAGCGCCGTTCTGCTATTGGACGCTGTAATGTGCCTTGTCTCTGTTACAATTCGCGGCGGGTCATTAGCTCCAACAACCTGGGACGGTTGAGATTGTGATGGCTGGGAAGGTCCAGGCTGCGGCTGCGGCTGCGGTTGAGGTTGGGGTTGGGGTTGGGGCTGAGGTTGAGGTTGAGGTTGGGGCTGCGGCTGCGGTTGCGGTTGCGGTTGAGGATTTGGTGTCGGGTCCTATTCCAAAACCAGAGTTAAACCGGTGACATCTACTGGTGGGTCATCTATGCACCCACCTGTTGCACGATACGAGTAACTGAAGTAACTACAACAGTCCGTGGGGGAGTACTTACCGATGGATCTGGTGCACGAGAGGGAGTCGCTTGGGAATGTGGAGGATTGGTCGGTGACGGACTTGGTCCCGTAGGCCTGTCCGAAGGGGATTGTGGTGACGGCCTGTCAGAAGAAGGCGCCGGAGAGGGCGGTACCGGCGTGCTTCCACCACCAGCCTGAGTGGGGGACGGCTTCGGATCGCTTGAAGGAGGAGGATTGTTGGTCGGAGCGGTGGATCCGCCCCCGCTCCTCGTTCCCTGTCGCGGTACTAGTCCAAGCGCCTTTTCATGATTCTCAAATGCCCGTCGCGTCAGTTCCAAAGAACGCCGTCTGTCGCCAGCAACAAAGGGCGGGTATAATGTAACAAGTGCAATGACGAGCAACAGGTAAACAAATCGCGCAGCAGAGAGAGGTGACATTTGTTTTTTTTCGATTTTCGTTCAATCCAAAGCAGGGGGGAATATATAAACTTGTGTGCCTGTCAAACAGCAGACGCATGAATTCACGGCAAGTATGCACAAAAACAAACAAAAAAAACTGGCAGCGGACAAGGAAAATCAACGACGACGACGACGACGAGCGCAGGGCCAAAAGAAAGACATTTGAAACCCATCGCACTTTTGCCAATGACATCATTAATGTTCTATACCTTTTGAAACAAGTCTTTTACAAACAGAACGAGCGAAAAAGAATACGCAATGTGGTGTAGAATCGATAATGAAAAGCCTTTTGAGCAGCAGGAACTGTTTGCTAAAAGCCGTTTTTCCAGTTTCCGTTTCTTCGTTTGTATTCGATGACCTTTCCAATGCCCCGCTTAAGAACACCCCCAACAGTCTGAAATCGACACAAAAAAAAAGAGCTTTACATCCAACTCACAACCCACCAGCCAAAAACGCTACGAAAAAAAAAAAGCCTTTCGTCGTCGTCTAGCCGCCGTCAATCTCCTTTTCTCCTTGAAATGCCTTGAAGGAGGGGGGAAGATGGCCGTTGGGGGGAGTTACCATGGTGATTCTGTCAGGCACAATCACTGTGCCACTGCTACTTCATTTCGGGATTCGCTTCATTTCCAACACGCGCGGGTGGAAACCCAAGGCAGCCCAAAGCAGCCAAAAAAGCTGAGCAAAAAGCCCAAAGCAACAAAACTTTGGATACATGACCACATCCACGTTGGATGCTCCAAAAGTAACGATACAAATCAAACAATCTGCAGAAAGAGAAAGGTCTTCCGTGTGTGCTTTTCATCGCTTGGCATCTTGCTGTCCAGAATGGAGCGTATCAACTCGTGTTTGCACATGCGTTCTATTCAAAGCACAAGCGCAATACGATGGGGGCGTCATGCACACGTAGACCGTGGAAATGAACACTTCCAGCCGTCATTCAACTGGTTCCGCTTGTGTGCCTTCCAGATGTTAAAAAGCCTAAATGTTCTAAATAAACCCTCTTGAGTACTTTTACAATTTATCCATAAATAGAGTTACGGTGACTGTGACACCCTATTTATGCTATTTATAGAAATAAAGTTACAAGCGCGGCAGGTCTCGCGGACCCTTTCCAATGATGGTTTTTAGCTTTTGGGATGTGACAAAAGAGCTAGAAAAAAAAGAACACTTACTCATGCTGGGGATGGAAGGATAAAAAGGGCGGTCCTAAGTTTCCCTCCCAGACTGAAATAACGACTTTTTAGTTTTCCATTCGATACACAGCTCAAAAACAAAGAACATGCTCAAAGTCTCTTTGGCCACGTTTGCTCTCCTCTTGGGTGCGTCCTCTGCTCGTGCCCAGTCGTGCTCTGTCCTCGTTGACGACTTTACTGCCATCCGTACGGGGAGTTTACCTGGCGAGACCGTCGTGCGGGACTTTAATCTTCTCGGCGGTGACTATGGCAAGAGTGATGGTGCTTCCCTCACCTACACCATCGACACCACCGCCAAGCATGTTGAGCTGACTGCCGGCGCTACTGAAAACTTTTGGTTTGCAAAGTTTGTGAGTATTGGTGGGGGGAAGCGCGTTTTCTTTTGCTTTTTACATGGGTTTTGATTCATATCGGGCTATTTGTTTATAATCAGGATCGTGATTCGTGCTTTGACCTCGTTACTCCCAAATACCAAGCAATTGTCTTTGATTTAGTCGCCCCCGCTGGATCTGACTTTACCATGACCCTCACGCAAAAGACCCCCGACTGTGTAGACCGCGCGGGAGCCAACTCGGACTCGGTCTACGTTCCCCTCACAAAGTACATCACTCCCAACGGCCAAAAACAAACCGTTACCGTCCCCTTTAGCGATTTCGCAACCAACTTGGCTGGTCAGCCTTTTGACATGGTACATTTGAAGGATTGGACTATTGTCGGTGTCAAGCCCGTTGGTACAAAGATGCAGTTGAGCAATTTACTCTTGACCCGCGCGTGCAATGGCACATTACCATCCTCGACGGCATCCACAGTGTCCGCCACTGGAACTGCCACATCGTCCCTTCCTTCAACCGCCACCGGCACCGCCACTGGCTCCGTTCCTGTGTCCACTGGTATCCCATCCTCCTCTGCCGGTGCATCCTCCTCCAGCACCAAAACTGCCACCGCAACCGAAACTCCCAAAACACCAGGATCCAACGTGACGAGCGGTGCGAGCGGATTGGGAGCTAACGGCGTATTGATTGCTGCCGCTGCCCTTGGCGTGGCCGTTGCGTTGTGAAAACCTGGAATAAACAGTTTATGATCTGAATGTGTGATGAATAGAATCGTTTTGTTAGATGGTTGGTTTCTATGATATGATAATCTCTTGGAAAAAAATAACAAAAAATAGATGAATGTCGCAGTAGGCTGTTGAGTTTTATAATGTTGGCTTTCCAGACTTGAAGAGTATGCATAAATGAGGAAAAGCGATATACACTTGGTAACACTGCAACTTTTTTCCAGCATTTTACAGATTCTAGCAAAAAAAAACAAGAACGTACACCATGCCCTTCCCTAGCACTACTCTCCATCTCCTTTACAAAAGCTTCCCTTCCATGCTCTTGAGTTTTTTCATCACCTCCGCCAACTCGGGATACTTTTTTTGCATTTTCTGGGTCTGTGCTTTTTGGGCAACCCTCGTCCCACCGAGTTTTGGCATACGGTTCATGATATATCTGGCCACTTTGGCGTGGATGTGCTTTGGATCATTTTGATATTCGAGATACCCATCGCATAGCCAGCGCTCCATTTCGGGTGTCCAATGTGTAGGATCGCTCGGTTGTTTTACGGGTTGTTTTGCAGAACTTGCAGTACCTTGTTTCTCTGACAGCTTTTCTTTTTTGAGAGGTGCATCTTTGTGTTTTCTGTCTTTGGCGTCGAGATCGTCGGACGTGTACAGTGATCCGTCTTCATCATCCGAAGAGGTATCCAGTGCTATGGGATGGCGATTAGTTGGTGGCGATTTTGATTTGGTCAGAGGCAGATTCTGACGGCGACCTTTTTGCGGCTGGATAACTTGTGGAAGAGCCTTTCTTTTCCGAACTAGAGTCGCCGTACTGGGTCCGGACAAGTCAATGATATCTTGGCTCACTTTGTTGGTTGCACTGTCACCTTCTTGAACGCAAATGACAGCATCTTCGTCGAGTGCTTGGACCGTGGACTGCGGCTCTGCAAAAGGAGGACCTGTCATTTGGATAAAACCGTCCTTGTGTTGTGTGATTGCGATGAAGAGAGGCGGAGAGTAAACGGGACTTAACGTATTTCCAAAAACTTTTGAAGCTCTGGACATGTCAGCTAAAGCCACCCAGGCGAATGAGATCGCTAGAGCATAATAAAAGCCTATTCTAACTCGCCATTTGCAAACGGGGGCTTGACACCAAGCTTCCGGACGAGGGCATAGCGGAGAGCAATGTGCGTAAAACAAGAGTGTGAAAGTCCCCCATGCTCGCCTATTAAATAGCACCTACAACAAGAATTCTCACACCGATAAAATACACACAAGCACTACCTCCCACCCTCCTTCTCCCATCCATTATTTCTAACCCCTCTTACGGGCGTCTGGCTCCTTCCTACGACAACAAAATCCTTTACTGGCGGGGATTTTGCGGATCGAGAGTCCTTTTCACGTTCCTTTTCTGGTATGGAGCGAGGTGTGTGAGTGCGCGACGATGCGGTTACTGCGGATATTGGAGTGGTGGTAGTGGTTGTGTAATTGTACAGAGGTTTTGTTTGGGAGACGTGCGTTGGAGAAGTACGTCGTTGGTTCTCTGTTTGCTATTGATCATGACGTGAAAAAGTAAGACAAAGCCTGAGCTAATGCATCAACGGCAAAAGTCAGATAAAAACCTTTAATGCCAATTCCCTCGCTGCTTGAACTTGAGATCGCACTTCCTTCTCCCTGTCCTTCTCATCTTCCCTTCCAATATGCTTTCTCGGCTGCAATGGAATGGCCATTTCCTCCAACTTCTCGCCTGCTGTTCCACGCATCCTGCCAGCTTCTCTTAAGGCCTTTTCAATCTCTCCTCGTTCTTCATCCAGTCTTACAGCCTCTGTTTCGAGTTCCTCTTGAACGTCGTCCTCCACTTGATCTGTAACTGTATTAGATGGAGGCTCGATCGATGGCTTTGGCCACCGTCGGAGGGAAGGATATGTCGGGGGTTTGAGGAGGGAGATTTGTGGAGGAAGTGTTCCGGATGGATGGAGCTTCCAGAGTTTGGCTTGCATGCTGTGTTGATTGAGAAAATTGTTTATTACCAATGCATCCCGCAAGCAAAATAAAAAGGAATTTCAATCCTACCTCTGTAAGTAATTCTGCTGCGGCCCAACAACACTCCCTGGTCTCACAATCCTCAGGAACGAGATCACTTCCGACGCCGTGAATTTGTAGTGCTTCATCAAATACGCTGCAATGAGAGTCCCTGTTCGCCCAAGACCGGCTTTGCAATGTACTGCTATCGATCCTGTTAAATACATGAAATATATTAGGCGCACGAAAACAGCCAGCAGTGTGGACAGAGTCGATAAAATACCAGGTCGATTCTCGCAAATCTCCAAAAATCTCATCAAAACACCATCTGGCGGTGTTGTCCCATCCGGAAAATACAGCTCAACATGCTCGATCCCTGCCTGCACAAACTTGGTACGATCATACGTCCGATTATTCAACCGAATAATTGTCGTCACTCCCCGCTCTTTCAAGTATTTTATCAAATCATCGATTCGATAGGCTGGATGGAATTTACTGGGTTTTGCTGCTCGCTGCGGAGCAACTGCATTATTCCTCGCCAACAGCCCCGCAAACCCGCTAGCCCACCCAGTTCCAGTCCGAAGTGCTGCATGATGTTGCTGGAATCCACTGGACGTACGTGGAGCTGGATCATCCTTGGGCGAAGCAAGTGCGATAAACTTGTTGGTAATCCAATTAAAATCACCATTCTCCACTTTTTCGTAAAACTCATATTCCTCTACATCTACCGAATCCAAATCTAGGAGACCAAGGGTGAGGCCCTTGTGAAGACCACGGAGACAGTCGGGGATTGTGATATGATATGTCGCCGCACCGTACCCAGCGTCACGGTACGGCAGAAAGGGCGGTTGGATGCCGAGAAGAGGACGAAAGGCTTCTTCAGGGGTTTGGCGATGGACGATTAACTGGGTTTGCAAGTATTATGGTTGTGATCCGCCATTACACTTTTGAACACGCCGTTCCATACCATGTATGCACAGATCAAGAAGGCTGCATTCGCCCTCTTATCACTATCATGGGAGGAATAGAGCACCAGCTTCTTGTCGGCAGTTCTCGGATTCTACCCAGACAAAAGGCCAACTCAGCATTTTCAACTCCCATAAACAAAAAAAAGGTACCGCTTACAAACCTTCATCTTTTCAACAATCAAGTCACAGAACCTTACGACATGAGCCAAATTTGATGGTCCAAAGTCCGAGTAAAAGTTGATGTAAACAAGTACATGATCGATTGTGAAGAAATGAACGGACGGGTATTGTGCGGGATGCTGAGAGAGCCAAGTAAAGTATAGCTTATCTACATAGACGCAATGGTTAATACGCTGGCCAACGTTTAAAGAACGATAAACGAGACCTTTTATAAACTCTCGAGCGTTGGCCAATAGGTCCGCGGGAGAAGTGCTGCTCGCGTGATGAATCAATCCAGTTGTCGAGTAGGGCATTTTTTGGAGATGGTAGTAAAGGGATTGAAGAAGGAAGCACAGATATTTGACTTGAAAAAAAAAGGGAGGAAAGAAGCAGCCCTAAAAACCTCACTTTATCAGGATAAAGTATTGCTATAAAACCCAATCGTCCCCCCCCCCTCCATGGCAATTTGACAGCCCATTGAACAACACACCCTCAAAACAAACACACTCAAGACAAAACGAAAACTGCCAGACTAACCTGTCAAAGCACACACACAAGAGAACCAATCCGTACCCCAAAAACAGCTGAAAAGCCCCAACCCCAAAAAGCTTCAGAAAAAAACCTCACACTGGGCCCGCCAGTGTCTTACGAAAGTCAGACCCTCAAAAATGGGATAACTATAGATCTCAACAGCCCAAAAAGAAATCCCCGACCTTACAAGTGATTTTTCCTTGGATGTTTCCCTTGTGCGCAATTTGATTATGGTTTTTTTGAGTTTTTTGTTTTTGAATGATAATCAAAACGTCTTTCCAATTGGGATTGTTGTTGGAGGTACCTTAAGTTGTTGGTGGATATTTCTGTTGGTCGGCTACTTACTATAGATGGTGACGCTGCCGACACTTTGAGAGATCTATTAATAGATCCGTGGATAATGTTCCAGCCACTGAGCCAAGTTTGAGCGGGGAGCCATAGAGATTCAGACATGAAGGGCGAGTGTTCGCCAACTAGATAGACATCCGATTCGCCGAGTCAAGGATCTGACTATAGTGGACAGATGGTTCCAAGTACTTTTGCATATGCCATGCATTATTCATCTGATAAATCAAAGGTGGTGCATCAGGACACAAGGTCCAGTACAAGCTGTAGGGAAGTGATATGTTCCTCATCCTCGGGGAGATACACAAGGATTCATTCGTTCTTGTTGGTGTTTGCCTGAACGATCCACCCAATATTGATTCAATAATGAAGGCTCGAACTTGGCCCTTTGGCCCCTAGCATACCGGGAATACGCAAGAGAGGATTTTAATTTGGCGACATGCGCTCAGCGTTGTAGCAGACTCGATAATGTCTCAGATGCGTTCTGCGGAATGTGATATGTCACATTGGGGCCGCACATACTTTACAAGGAATCTACATTAGCCGAACCAAGGCGGTTTTTGGAGGGCATCTGTTGGACATGAACCATGTTCTAGAATAAAAATGGGACCCGAAAGTGCTAGTGTGTTGACAAGATCAAAAACCATTCAACTTCCAGCAAGAGTCGGCTAGTTGATGGTCCATACAAGACTCCACATACGCCAATAGCATGTCTCAAAGTGTCGCCAATTCTTGACTATATCTGGGCAAGGTGTGTTTTTTCAATTGCAGCGCTTTATGTTGTGTCAAAAAGGAATATCCCAATCCATAGAATCAGTCCAACTGGCAAATGCTTGAATCCTTGAGGCCTCGTCAGTCCTTGGAGACGCGCATCTCCAGAAAACAATTTCCGTCCCAAAACCTCTCAAAAGTCTGCTTTTCCATCCCATGTTTTTAAAGCCTTTGAAGGGACCAGAGTTTACATGTCCCACCCCTTCCTCCCATTCCCCTTCATCTGTCCCAATAGTTACATTGAAACCTTGCACACCTTTATCCAGACCCACAAGTGGTTATCCGAGTTTTATGCCATCGCCTTCATAACCACCGACTACTGGAACACGGGACCAATACCTCCGCAATGGAAGATATTGGAATGGGAGAACGATGATACATTATGCCGGGTTGCTAGTGAAGGTTTTATCAAGGTGAAGTGAGTATTATCGGGTCGGTGGTTTGGATCGTAATTGACGTATTGAATGTGTACAGGATGAGTGGCCAGAGAGCTTGAAACAGTTTGTGCTGGAGGCCAGTAGATTGGGAATGAAGCGGGATGCAAGGAATTTTGAAGATGTTGAATGTAAGTTGATGGCTGCTCATTGTTTCCGGTCCGGTTTAAATGACAGTTTCCAGTTGCAGACATATCTCCAAGGGTGAGGGCTCATATGCGATATAGATCAGCGGAGCAAAGTCGAATTCCTTTGCTCACGTATCTGAGACTTTTCAGATTGCAGTTGGAATGAACACAAAGAAAGTTAAAGAGGTATGCCTGCCTATTACCAGCCCAGATTATGGTACTCAAGCACCCCCACCTGCTAGACAGGTCCGCTAGCCTCCATCATCAGAACGCTGTCGCAAACTCAGCATATATCGCATATTCTCGACCTTGGTGCTGGGCAAGGCTATCTCTCATCCGTCCTCGCCTACCAATACAACCTAAATGTGCTCGCCATTGATGGGTCGTCGTCACAAATAGCAGGAGGACGCCGTCGTGCAGAAAATATCAAAAAGAGGATTGGAGATGGTCAAGGCCGTTTGGTGTTCCTGGAGAGGAGTGTACAGGAAGAAGAGGATTTGGAGAGGTTCATGGGAGTGGGCACCAATTGCTTTGGGGAAGGACGGTGGGGCATATGTGGGTTGCGTAAGTTTGAACTCTATTGAAACACAATTGCTCAAGTTGGCTGGTCGTTGACTCTTGGTGGTCGGCCCCTAGATACATGCGGAGATCTCGCCTCAACAACAATACGAGGGTTCCTCACCAGCCGTGCGAGTGTCCTGGTAAGCACTTATCACTGCGTCCCTTTCTGTGCATAGGCACTAGATCTTACTGTGCTATCAAGGTGAATGTCGGATGCTGTTATAACAAACTTACGGAAAAAGGTCACAGTCAGTTTTTGTTCCCAACGTTCTTGTTCTGTACCTGATATTTCTTGCATCACTAGGGTTTCCAATGAGCCAACACTACAAGTCCCGTAACTGGACCCTCTCGGCCAATCTTTTGATGGTGGCTTGGTACGTCTACTTCTAGCTTCTGCGTATCAATATTATATATTAAAGACACCCTAGCCAAGCACCCAGCCGGTGGACAACAACAAGTACTACCAAGATGTCTTTTAACAACCTCTACTATCGCGCTCTCCTCCAAGACATCCTCGTATCCAACAACTACCCTACGATAACATCTCTCAGATCTCTCCCGCAATCCGCATTTACGGATTTTGAAACGTACATCCGAACGGCACTCAACCGCCTCCAGCTTCCTATGCCTTCAACGCCCCTCCAAGTATACCTGGCAAAACATCAAAATGCCAGACGCCAAATTGCTGCACTGTGGACGTTGCGTGCTCTCATCGCGGATGTGGTGGAGTCCTTTATATTGATGGACAGATGGAGTTTTGGGAGGGAATTGGATGGTGTGAAGGTTTTTTTGGAGCCAGTTGTGGATCCTGTTGTAAGCCCAAGGAATATGGCGATCGTTTTTATCAATGAAAGAAAACAGCAAGAGTGAATAGAAACTAAAGCAGAATGGCGAGGCGTCATTCGCGTAAGATCTCGCTCCCGCATCTGATCTGGTCAATGTTTATGCTAGGTGTCTTTTTGATGCCGGAAAGTAACAGTTTATGAAGACCATGTGTAATTTAACTTGTCAAAACTCTTTGGCGTACTGCCTTTGACTTGCAAGACTGGCAGACCGACATGGCCACCTGTATGCGCATGGTCCAGTCATGCTTAACCTGGCCAATCAACGTCATTTTGCGGAAGATTCCAAAGTCATGTCCGCCATGAACAATGGTGAGACCCAGAGGTCAACCCTGTGCAGTGATGGAAAATCCAACAAGATTCCGAAACCTATGATGATCGGTATGAAATTAATGTTGGTCGCTGCATGTCTACATGGTGAGAGGAGTCTTGAGATAATAGCTTGGACTGCGAAGATATTCGGACTATGACCGACACTAATGATCGGCAAGGTGGAAACAAAGGCTGAAGCTGCAACTTCAGAGAGGGGTTCCTGCTTGCAAGTTGGTAAAGATCATGATCCTCGTTCTTTTACTTCCGCTCCTGACTGTCTTTCGCCAGATCCTTACGCGAGGACTGTTGTGGAGAGTGCAGTGGTGTGTATGTCTACCATTATATGGAGCCCTTGAATACCTTGCCTGGGGAAAAAAAGATATCCATCTATTTGTAGAAGGTAGTTGGGCTCATCATGTGCGCATTTGCTTTCAGAAACGTATTTCCAACTACACCGAAGCCTAGTACCATGCGTTTCTTTCCTCTATTTACAACTCGTATCGAAGTGTTTAGCGATCAGACAGAGCAGACACATAACATTTGAATTTGATGTACAACTAGTATCGACTATTGCATCAGACCGATAACGGGAACACAGCAGAAACACTTGTCCGATGATAAACTCGATACTAGTTTTATTTAAATGACGAATATATGGTAGTCCACCCAGTTGCTGCGTGCCCCTGACAAAATCCGGGCAGTTTCTTCTATTAGGAGTTGTTGTGGTTGCTTTCTTTTACTCGCCATTTTATAGCTGTTGCTTTGGCGGGATTAAACCTGGTTAACGCCAATCCTTCTGTGGTTTTGCTATGTTTCTGGACCGTCTGATCGGTAAACACTTCGACTCGACTTGTAGTCCTTGGCATGTTTTGATATCTGCCTCATGTTTGCTGCCAGTCGGACCAACCCATCTTAATGCATATCGCACGGATATCCCCGGTAATTTCACCAGGCATTGGGCAGTGACCAAGACTTGCAAATCATCATGCTTGCATTGGCTGCTTGTAGAAAACCGTTCAACCGTTATTTGCAGTATGAGTATTCATCTAGTAGGCGCTGCGTTATTTCATTGCTCTAAACTCTGCCCGTTTTCATCGTTAGTGTATTGGCAATAACAAATGTCACAACACAATACACCAGGGAATAAACCAGCGATAACTGGTTCGGAAAAGCCAATTCCCTCCTTACAACCAACCAACTACGACTAGGCCCAATTACACTAGCAATACATTACGGTTGTTCTAACCGGGTAACTGAGCCCATCACCACAAGAGAAATCCTACTAGCCCTATGATTCCGAAATTCTCAGTCAGAGGATGTTTCAGATACTAAGGTAAACCAGAATAATTAGACTGGGAATACGCGTGGGAAAATACAAAGATAATGCATACCTGCGATTGTAGCAATATAGTAGTAGCAGCATTTGCAAGGGGTTATGTTGTCTTTGTAGTCGGGAGGGCGAGGTCCTCGGCACCACCACATATGCACTCTCATGATGGACTTGAGACTTGAGCGTTGGGCAAATGCTTTGAGTCGAGGGATAAAGAAACAAGAGGGAAGAAAGAAGAGGGGGGGTTTATATAGAAAAAAGAGGGGATAGATTGAGTCATGGAGCGTCATGCAGGTGGCAATTCGAATATTCCTCTCATAGATGGCCGCAAGGGATAGTAATTGCAATGCGTTCATGTTTTGTATTGGACCCGTCTTTTTGTTTATCTTCGTGATGTTCACAATAAATGTGGTTAATTCAACTGGCTGCAATGCTCCGTGGCAATTTTCCCACACACTATGTCACTTGAGTCGTTCGATCAGGGACAAAGCGCGCAACCTTAATGACACGGGCTGTGTCATTTCGCAGGGTTGGAGCACTTTCGCGCCCGTCATTTCGCATCTTGCGCAACCTTTTCACCTTACTTGCAGCATTCAATCTCAAACAATGGGCCTTGCGAGCAAACTCGCTGGTGGTGCTCGACCACTCGGCGGCGCTCCTCATGGCGGACAACCTTATGGTGCTCCTCCACCGACGCAAGCACCTTACGGAAGTCAACCACCCTACGGCGCTCCTCCTAATCAACCGTACGGTGCACCTCCGCCGAATCAAGCTCCTTATGGGGGTCAACCACCATACGGCGCTCCTCCGAATCAACCGTACGGCGCACCTCCGCCGAGTCAAGCTCCTTATGGTCCTCCTCCGAATCAGTCGTCTGGTGCTCCACCGTCGAACAAACCGCCATATGGAGCGTCACCAACTGGCCAGGCACCGCCATTCCAACAACCACCGTACGGAGCTCCTCCTGGCGGTCCCGCTCCACCTTTTGGTGGTGTCGGGATGAACCAAGCCGGCCCGTATGGTGGTCCTCCAGGTCCTTATGGAGGCCCTCCACAAAACGGGCCATACGGACCACCACAAGGATCGTTTCCAGGGGGCTTTGGACAAAGTGGTCCGCCCGGAAATGCACCGTGGGGAGCACAGGTATGCTGCAATGCCGAAAATATTCTTAAATTACCTCTTGAAAATTGAACCGGTCACAAGTCTGCTCCACCTTCAGGATATCCTGGAGCTGCTTATGGTGCTCCACCCCCAGGTGCGCCGTACGGTCAGGCTCAGCAAGGTCCACCAGGCCAATCCGGAGTGGTAGGATTGCAAGTGGAATAACATGTACAAACCGAAATATAACATTTGTATATCACAGGGGGGAATATCTCACGCCCAACCGCATCCGGCAGCAGCACAACGCTCCTTTCCTGTCATTGCGGCCAAACTAGACTACATTGTCAATACAAACCAGCTTCAAAACTTTTACCCTCCCCAGACTATTCAGCAGATCGCGGACCGAATCTCGAAAACAGTGGATTTTGATAGTTTGACTGCACACTGGAAATTACAAACGTCGGAACTGGCTTATGATTTGGCGAGTTTAGCGCTATATGACATTGTGATTTATTCGTGAGTTCCGTGATTTGCCTTTTTGTTATGTTTTTGGAGATACCAAACTTTCTCCTTGATCGTAGGGACGATTCTGGATCAATGAGCGCAGCCGAGAATGGAGAACGAATCGATGATCTCAATCTCATCGTCTCCAAAGTTGCAGAAATTGCATCGCTATTTGACCAGGACGGCATTGTGAGTAATATCTCGGTGACCTCTCGCTAGTATCTATTAATAAAAGTTTTATTGCAGACGGTCCGATTCATGAACTCTGAGCAACAAGGCAACAACCTTCGTTCTGAAGCTGAAGCCACCGCCCTCATCCGCTCCATACGCTATATGGGGGTGACACCTCTCGGCTCACAGCTCGATGCCAAAGTTATCCAGCCGTTGGTGATTGGGCCTGCCCGATCGAACAGTCTTCAAAAGCCCGTATTGGTGATTACCATTACCGATGGTGAACCGGTTGGTGAACCAAGAGATAAAGTCCAAACCGTAATTGCCGGGGCGAAGCAGGCCCTCACGTCTACTCGTTACGGAGGTGGTGCCGCTGCATTTCAATTCGCACAAGTGGGTAAAGATCAGGGGGCTCAAAGGTTTTTGGCCACTCTTGACAATGACCCCAACATTGGACGCATGGTGGATTGCACATCTTATTTTGAGCTGGAGCAGATGGAGATGGCGAAGAAAGGCGTGAATCTAACACCAGAGATGTGGTTAGTGAAGTTGATGGTTGGATCGATTGATCGTACGTATGATGAGCAGGATTAGTCGATTGGTAGGATGCGCCTATATTCAGATAAGGTAGGGGGGGAGGGGGGTATGAGGGATAATTTTTACTTCACTACTGGTGCTGTTTAGTGCGAATCCTTAGTTAACGGGAGGCCAGTGATATTTCCCGCACAGGGCTTATGTTTAGTTCTTCCCATTATGTATTTTGACAAGAGTTATAATCCAAACCATGCTGGTTGCAGTATGTCCGGTAGGATGCTGTGGCAACGATGTTTGTAATGCTTCATGTTTTCCAGCAGAAGTACAGCCGGGTAAGTGAGGTTGTCGATTAGAATTGGAATCTGCAACTACGTTTGTCCCGTAGCCAACTATGCGGTGCTGTTCGCGTTCCTCAATAGGTTCACTGATCCGCCAGAAACAGTAGATCGACCATTTCTTCCAGCATACGAAGATTTACCACTTTGCAGATACTAATTATAGTATTGAGTGTGCGTTTAGAATGAATGCGGCGCTCATGGTTAGCTTCCTCGAGTCCTTAATGAGAATTATCCTAACGTGTAATTCGTAGATACAAATGTCATGACGGGCAAGGTGTTTTACAGCACCACTCTTCGGTTTAAGACTACTGGAAACAGTCGGTTATCACAGGCAATTCCTGCTAAATGCAGCAAAAGTGTTGATCTCTCAAAAGTATCAAACAACACAACAAGTTTAGAATGGGCTGTGATATCTTGAGTGCACGATCGGCTTACCTAACGGATGAGTAATCAAGTTCACAATTTTTTTGGATTACGTCGCGTTCAACTGGCAGCTACCAACTCCGATATCTCCAAAGAATTGCTCACATTGGTTGGAACTGACTCTAGACGGCAGCACCAGAAGGTCCCAGTTGACGACAACATAATTACGAAGCGGCCCCTCCCGTCTACTGCTCTGCCAGACAGTAATAATGGGCAAACAGCGCCCACGTTACAATGAGAGGGCACGAGCTTCGTCTCACTTGGCAAAGACAGCCAAACCACATCCCCATGCTCGAGACGGAGGCTTGAAAAAGAAGCGAAAGAGTGCTACTGAACCCGCGGCGATATCTGAAGCGTCTAGCGTCACTCTCATAACAGAAACCTCTACTAGCAGTATCACAAACGAAGACAATGTCGAGTATTCTGCCTCCAAGACGGACGTTCCTATTGTGCTCGTTCCAGGAGAGAAGGGGCCATCGGGAGAGGAAGACAAGAAAACACTAGACCTGAGCTTGCTAGAAGAGGAGCCAACCGGAAAATTAACGTCCAAAAAGCGAAAAAGATTGGAAAAGTTTATCGAGAAGCAATTGAAGAAGGAGGAGAGAGTAAAGCTACTGCAAAAGTTGAGCGAGCAAAGCTTTTCGTCGGAGCTTTTACGGTCGAGTAAGGCTCTAGGACAGAATGTAAGCTTGAAGCTCTTGGATTGGTGTCTGAGGTTCAATGACGCAGTGACCAATATCTGACGTATTTACATGTTCATAACAGAAATTGACTGCTCGTGAAAAACTGCGGCAAGCGCTCCTAGAAGAGCGTGCTGGAATCTCTCGTTCGGATTTAGGGGTGCGCCTTCTCGTAGAAAAGGACTTTGACGATGAGGCGGATGCGGCATTGGACGGAGTAGCAGCAGATGTAGTAGATAGCAAGAAGGACACAGTCCTGGCTGTAAACGATAAAGCTAGCCACGGCCAGACAAGCGCGGTAGATGTCCCACTTGCCAGAGAACAACCGGAACCGCTTGGAATAGTGTCGCGAGCGTTTGGAAAAGTCCCACCGGCACCAGCGTCCGTGGAAGTTTTTGAGGAATATGGAGGTGCTACGAAAAAAGATGAAGAAAATCCCTCCGCTGGATTTGGAGCTGCGCTGAAAAGTTCTCAAAGCACTGCCGTACTAAGCTTTGGAGCCGCATTGAAGAGAAAAGCTCCGGAAGATGGTGTAGAAGGTGAGCAACCTGAGCTGACGATACCCAAGCGGAAAAAGAAAAAGCAAAAGAAAAAAGCCGTGCCGGTCAATAAAGAGCCACATGGTAGCGATTCGGAAGGCGAAGAAGTAAACCACACAGAGGAGGAAGGCGCTGGTGGTGCGAAAAAGGATATCTGGGCGGCAGACGTGGTGGTGGGCGAACATTTGAACTCTACAAAGTTGAATGGCTCAACACAAAAGCAGCCTATTAGTGCAACTACTTCCAACACCCCTAAAACAACCTCTAAGCAGCAAGAAGCACCAAACACTTCGTCCAAGCCAATATTTCATGTCCCGGTCGATCGCCCCGAGTCTGTACAGCTTACCCGTATCTCGCTTCCTGTTGTGATGGAGGAACAGCCTATTATGGAAGCTATCCTTAACCATGACGTGACAATCCTCTGTGGTGAAACCGGTTCCGGAAAGACAACGCAAGTACCGCAATTTCTCTATGAAGCCGGGTTCGGTGACCCAACGCATCCACAATTCCCTGGCATGGTCGGTGTGACACAACCTCGGCGAGTAGCAGCTGTTTCAATGGCCCGGCGTGTTGCCGATGAGATGGCCTTGAAGAATGGAGAAGTGGCTTATCAGATTCGATATGATAAAGGATCTACGGGTCGTAATACACGGATCAAGTTTATGACAGATGGTATCCTGCTAAGAGAGCTTAGTGTCGCTGCTGGAGGGGAAACACAATCTAAGAAGAAAGCGGCAGATGGACCAGCGGATCTCCTTCTATCAAAGTACTCGTGTATCATTATTGATGAGGCCCACGAGCGAACAGTTGGGACGGATGTGCTGATAGGGTGGTTGACACGCATCGCTGCTCTACGAAATTCGGGGAAGGTGGCAGGTGTCAAGCCATTGAAACTAGTCATTATGTCTGCAACCCTTCGAGTCGAGGATTTTACCATGAATCAGACGTTGTTTGCAGCAAATGACAAACCACCCGTGGTAAAAGTGGATGGACGACAACACAAGGTATTGTCCTATTACATATTGACCCGCAAACCATTTTTTGCATGGGGCTGACGATTACCCCTACACCCCAGGTGGTGATTCACTATAATAAACGTACCCCCGAACTCGATTATGTTACTGAAGCATTCAAAAAAGTTTCCAAAATCCATAATCAACTCCCACAAGGCGGCATTCTTGTCTTTTTAACCGGTCAACAAGAAATCCAAGTACTTGTCCGTAAATTACGAAAAGCATTTCCTCTCCATAAGCCAAAGGAGGTTGAACGAAATAGACTGGAGGAGACGTTCGCAGAGAAGGGTACCAAGGGAAATGCAAACATGTTTGATGAAGCGGATGGAGATGTAGACATGGAAACGGGGCCGGATGATTACAACGAAGGCGAGAGTGATGTCGAAAATATGGACGAGGATGACGAAGAAGAGGAGGTTGAAATTCTTGGGGGACTGAGTGATGACGAGAATGAACCTGAACCGCTCATTACTCCAAGAAAGTTTGGGGAGCAAGCTGCACCATTGCATGTGTTACCCCTGTATTCACTGCTGCCAACGGCGGCTCAGATGAGAGTGTTTGAGGCACCCCCGGCTGGGTCGCGGCTTGTTGTTATTGCTACCAACGTCGCGGAAACGTCCTTAACCATTCCCGGAATCAAGTATGTAGTAGATTGTGGGAAAGTGAAAGAGGTAGGGCACACCCTCGGTTTGTAGTATGTGGGTTCACTTCTAATCTAATGGTGACTTTCAGCGCCGGTACGATGCAAATTCTGGAGTGCAAACATACCAAATATGTTGGACATCTCGTGCCTCAGCTGACCAAAGAGCTGGGCGAGCAGGACGTGTTGGCCCAGGCCATTGCTACCGTCTCTTCAGCTCGGCAGTCTTCAACGATTACTTTGAACAATTCTCTCAACCTGAAATCCTTCGGGTCCCAATTGAAGGCGTGGTCCTGCAAATGAAGAGCATGGGAATAAACAACGTCGTCGGTTTTCCTTTCCCGACCCCACCAGGCAAAGAGAATCTCAAGGCTGCTGAGAAGCTATTGTTGCATCTAGGAGCAGTTGACACTGACTCGAATATTTTAAAGATAACTGAACTTGGCAAATTGATGGCAAAGTTCCCAGTTTCGCCACGGTTCGCAAAGATGATCATTGTCGCTGCTTCTCAAACCGAGAATATCTTACCCTATGTCATCGCGATTGTGTCTGGGCTCTCCGTAGGTGACCCGTTCATCAGGGACGAGGATATTGTTGGGAAAGAGCAAGAAGAAAGCGATGAAGATGATGACGATGCAGAGGAGGAGAAGGAACGCCGCTCAAAGAAACGATCTGCATTTTGGAAGACAATGGCAACATTTTCCGGGAACCCACCGACGTCTGACGCGCTTCGACTTCTCACTGCCATTGGTGCTCACACAGCCGAATATTCCCGATCCACCTCCCTCGCCGAAAAGTTTTGTGAAAAGCACTTTCTTCGTCCAAAGGCAATGGACGAAATGCGTAAATTGCGCGGCCAATTGACCAATCTCGTCAAGATGGCTTTGGGGGATAATGGTCGTTACCCATCTGTGCGGGATTTATGTGTGGATCCACGATTGCCGCCTCCTAATCCTCGACAGGCGGCTGCAATCCGACAGGTGTTATTGTCAGGATTTGCGGACAGGGTTGCTAGGCTTGACGATGAGGCCAGCAAGGGCTGGGGCGGCAAAAAGTGTGTTCCTGTGTACCGCACAATGTGGGGAGGAAAAAATGAGGTGTGCCAGATTCACCCATCAAGCTGTCTCCATCGGGAACGGCCAGCGCCACGGTACGTGATTTACGACGAGCTTATTGGGAAGGAAGAGAAGATCTCTGCCGACAACGCCGGAGTGATTTCAATGCGTGCAAATGCGAACGTGACAGCTCCGGACGGTACCTCAATCAAAAAGCATTGGTTGAAAGGCGTTTCCTCGATTGAAGATATATGGATATCCGTGGTGGCTCCTCGCCATCTTTGTCGAATGGGCAAGGTGATGGAGCAACCTGAGCCACGGTATGACGGTGCCATGGACAAAATTGTAGGATACTGTATTCCAAACTTTGGGCCAAAAATGTGGGATTTACCTCCTCGGGAAATGGAATTACCAAGGTTGGAGGACAGATGCAAGTGGTTTGCACGCAGCTTGATGGAGGGGAAGGTCGTCCTCATGGAGCAAAAGGGGAAGAGTAAACGGAAGGGCAAGCGAATGAATGGGGGACAAGAAACAAGAGAAGTTTTTGCAAAACTGGCTCCATTTGTTACGACAAAGACTGTCACAATAACAAAGAGCTGGGGAAAGAGCCAAACGAAGGTTGGGAACTTGGTTGATACGATGGTGACGGCCGGTATTGATTCCAAAGCAAAGTTGATTTCCCAATGGTACGTCCTTCACCTACTGTAGTTTCATGCATATTGTTTAGTTCTAACCCACCTCTACCCACAGGCGCCAAAACCGCACCTTTTTGCTGACCCAATACCTTGCTTTCATCCCCGACGACTTTCATGCATGCCTTTCCCAAAATTGGCCACCTGCTGTCTTATACAACCGAGATGAGGACGACGCAGCTAGTGATGCCATTAGAATAGGCGAGTTGCTACGTGGGGTTGAAGAGATTTGTGCGGTTGCTAGAGGACGTAGGGATGAGAGAGATTTTGGGAGAGCCGAGAGTGAGAGTGAAGGAGATAGCGATTTTTAGAATGGAAGTATTTATATGTGTATAGGTTGTATTTAGCATATAGCTTTTTCCTTAATTCTGATACATGATTGTCTGACAAACATCTCAGAAATTTCTGGCTAGGGATAATTCTTTTGTTTTTCTGGGGGGCTGTTTCTGCTGGCATAGAAGCCGTCAGGCAACTTTCTAGTTCAAATTCTCAAGCACTGTATTTTTGATTGAAAACGCTGCACAGCTGGCACCGACAGTTGCCGATAGGCGCCTGATCATATTGGCTTTTAGCTTCAAATGAAGGGTTAAAGGTTTGTGCATCAACTTAATGTTCAGAAAACATATTGTTTCATGTGTGGACAGAGAACCGTTTCTACGAAACACCCGAGAGCAAATGTTTTGCGTCCGTTACCGCTCAAAAATGTGAGGCCTGCCAACCCTTTGATCCAAATCCCATTACGTGTAAATAACGCTCCTGCTTCTCTTGCACGGGATATAAAGGGTTGTAGCAAGACCCGTTGTGTGGACAAGAAAGAGAGAATCACAAAACAGTTCCTTGACAAATGATCGTTTGTAGATATATTCCAAAAAGGAAGAACCCAAAAAGGCCTGCGAGGAACAGCTAGCGTAACATAGCATCTCCTTGTCAGACAAACGTAATCGCAGACTCTTTCCATGAACTTTGACATGCCTAGTACGTTACAAGCATTCGCTTTACCAGTAAGACTTCAGGACGGATTTCACACCCTTGACCAAATTCTATGCAACTTATCAGGACGATGTGATACTCCTACGCAGGTGATGCCGATCGCATGCTTTCTTTATCCTCAGAGAAAGTGCTTCGCTCTCTGTTGGGAGGCGGTTGCTCGAGACCATTGACAATAGGGCACATGGCCCACAGAGTGGAAAGCAGAAGACGTACTTGAGACTCTCAGGGTATCAGCTGAGGACAACAGGAATCAACGATATCAATCCATTGTTTGCTCAGAGGGTTTCCTCATTACCTGATATGTTTTGATCGCTGCGAGGAGTTTGGATGTCAAGAGGGTAAGGCACCGTGGCCAAATGGATTTCTTGGTTGAAAACGTCCCAATTCGAAACAAAATGCGGGAAACAAAAGGCCATTGACTATCCATTTCAAAGAAGTATTTAAAGAACAAGCGCCGTCTGCATTAAGTACAAATTTATTGAAAATGCCAAGGATGGAATTCTCGCGCTTCAAAAATACACATTCTCGGACCAACACGTATCCTCACCACACTTAAAGGTGCCCTCTGCATTCCCATTTCGTAAAGAAACGAGCCCCCGGCTTGGGACGGGTTCAGCTGCATTACACCTCCACCGTTGAGAGAAAACTCACAACGGCCAAAGTGCTCCCGAGAGTCGTTTTTGAACGCCCAAAAACGACTACCAATTCGATCGCCCAAACGTACAATGCATGGCGCCACAGATTCGCCCAGCCGCTAGGCCACTGCGCTGTGAACTTGCTACCATATTGCACGATTGAGTACCGAAGCCCCTCAGCGTGGCCCCACAGATTCGCCCAGCCGCTAGGCCACCGCGCTGTGTAGTTTCTACCACGTCCTCTTCGGGCGGGAATACGGCGCCACAGATTCGCCCAGCCGCTAGGCCACTGCGCTGTGAACTTGCTACCATATTGCACGATTGAGTACCGAAGCCCCTCAGCGTGGCCCCACAGATTCGCCCAGCCGCTAGGCCACCGCGCTGTGTAGTTTCTACCACGTCCTCTTCGGGCGGGAATACGGCGCCACAGATTCGCCCAGCCGCTAGGCCACTGCGCTGTGAACTTGCTACCGTATCGCGCGAATGGGTGTCGATCCCCTCAGTGTGGCCCCACAGATTCGCCCAGCCGCTAGGCCAACGCGCTGTGTGGTTGCTACCACCTTCGGGAATGACACCGGAATACGGCGCCACAGATTCGCCCAGCCGCTAGGCCACCGCGCTGTGTAGTTTCTACCACGTCCTCTTCGGGAAGGAGACCATACTTACCTGGAGGATGGAAAGTCGGGGGACTCCAACGATCACGGCCCGAAGGGGTCCTCCGCTCCACGAGCAGCGCCTGGGCTTTCCGGTTGGCTAACCTGAGAAAGCCAACCTTGAACCTTGGCGGTGGTATCGAGGACCGGATCTTTCCCTCCGGCGCCATGAAGCCGAGCCCTCTTGTGTCGGCGCTTGGATGACCGCGCCGACCGCCCCGACCGCGACGACCTCTTGGACGATCTGTCGTCGTCCTCGCTCTCGTCATCCTCCCCTCCCTCCTCGGGATCAGGGCCGGGCATGTCGTCGCCATCAACATCGAGACCTTGCAGGTCTTGCCACTTGATGGGCGCCAGAAGGTCGAAGAGTCGTAACCCTTCCTCCCTCACGGCTACCATCAGAGACATGAGACACAGCACGTCTCGACCATTAAGGATCGAGTAGTCTCCGACGTGATAGGCTATGTACTGCAGAAGAAGGCATTGGACGTTAATGCCGCACCGAATCGAGTGGGGAAAGAGCACAGAACTTACCATGCCTGTGCCCCGAACCTTTTTGTACCCCATCACGTACAGGCTGAGGTGATACCCCACGAGGGTGGTACCCACAACGGCAATATTCTGCCGCTCGAGCACCAATTCCCAAGCGTGCATGACAGCCCTAAGACCAGCAAGCAGCTGGTTCACGCACCCGAACTGCGCCGCTCTGTCCGATTTACGTTCTTGAACATAAAAGGGGAAGGGGACGCAGTCGGGATCGCCACATCGGGCTCGAAGCGGCAAAAGACTGTCGGCCAACAGCGTGTATGGGTTTTCTGGCTCCACAGGGGGGTCATCAGTACAATACCCAACGATGACGTCAGGTTTCGGCCTTGTAAGGCCAGCGATGCCCTCCGGCAAGGCCAGGATGTGGGTGTCCCTGTAGCAAGTTCAATGCGTGAATAACGGAAGCGACTCAATGCTAGAGTCAAAAGTTACTCACGACACATAAGCGAACACCTCGCCGTGATTCATCACGGACAAAAGGGCCGTCTTCAACGGCGCCCACTCGGCCTCGTGATTTCCTACAGCCGCCTGGATGAGCATCCTTATCACTCGTGCTCCAGTGAGGCTATTGACGTACCTTCGAGGCTGTCAGCTTTCCCGACCACCTGAAAAAGGTTGGCGCTAAGATGGTCTGAGACAACCGGGTTGTCTCCAAAATACTCCGGCGCTTTCCTTTCCAGCTAAATGAATCAATCCCAAAGTGGTCAGGCGCAAGTCCATGAGAGCGCCAGATTGTAAGTGCTCGTTGTACTTACGTTAGGTCGGGAGCCAGCTCTCAACACTTGGCGTGGTGCCAAGAGCCGATTCACGAGAGCCTCCACAACGGGAGACGGGGCGAAAACCTTCTGATGAGCCGGCAAGTCGGCGGTGTCATTAAAAAACCCTCGGCACAGCCGCATGCCGTTGGTGTTGATCTGCCGCCGATACTTGCGGCTATTCTTGCTATCAAAACAAGACATCATGCTTTAATGAACCAATTCAAAAGACGGCAACATTTTGCGGGAAATCTTACAAGGAGGCATTGGATTTGCTGGATTTCACAGAGTCAGACATCGCGAATAAAAAACAATAAGATGCAAATGCTCTAAAGTTCTATGGGAAAATTCAGAGCAACGAACCGGGGGGGAGGCAGGAGGGGGCGTCTTTTATATTCGTGTATATTGATTAGATAATCTACTCCTTTCCAATACGCTGATTGGCTGCCACACAGCGGTGTCTCTGCGTGTCTCTGATTATGTGATCACTCATGGGGATTTGGATTCCGCTCTAATAGCAGTTTATCATTCTGGATGCGAATCATCGGTAAATCATTGTTAAGTCTTAAAATGATAGATTTGGTATTGTGCTAAACGCCGTGGTAAAAGACCTTGTCGTCTTTAGGATGGACTTCCACTGTTGAACTTTTCATAGCTCTTGATGCGAATTATTTTTGGCATCTCTGATTATCCACTGCAACCATGCGATGCACCCTGACCATGTCAGTCAACTCGACCACCAACAGCCCTCTCACGTTCGAGTCTTCCACGCCCAAACAGCGGGCGCCCACGAACAAAAGGTCTGTCCGATTCGCTTCACTCAGGACTGGATGATGCAATAGGCCTACAAGGAGATACTGCATCGTTCTCTATCGAGATGGTTAGAAAGGCTTCAAGGACTGGTAAAAAGCTTTCTTCGCTGTTGCTTCATGATGTGACACCACTATTCATACCACCGACTACTTCAAAGTGCTGCCAAGGTGAGGAGGAAGCCGATTTACTGCCAAGTTCCCTTTCTCCTTCTTGGGTAGCAAGGTACCCACCACGGACATCTAACATACTACTCCCATATCTCATTGCCAGATTTGTCGGACCCTTTCGGATGTATTTGTGTACAGTGGGCACTCAACACTGGCTAAAGGGAGGGATGGAACAGAAGTACTTTTTGGAGAACCCGCTATGTGGACCTTCCAGTATGTACATAAGCAGTACCTTTTCAGCCTCGCCATGAGTCTTAGAGCCGCAGCGAGTTACTGTAAGAGTCATTTCAAACACAATTTTTTAACTTGCGCACCACGATAGTTTCTTCTACGACAATTCGCAGATTCAGAGGACCCATCATAACGAATATGCGGCAGGACCACTGTTCTGCCCCTTCGCGCTAAGCAACTCCCTATAAAGGTGCGCAACTTTCCGCCGAATGAACGTTCCTCTCAATACTTTTGCTCGTGCCCAGATCTGGCAAAGTAGCTGGACCGCAACTCGAACACAATGGGAATATCGCCTTTGCCAGATCGGTACATCCCACGTAGCAATGGCTTCCAAAACGATGGTAGGCTTCTTCTCCTCCCCTTTGATCTGCCCGTCGCTAGCAGTGGGAATCTTCATTCCCATGTTAAACCAGCGAGCCCAACATATCGGGGAAACTTATTTGCAGATTCACCACCAAAACGTCGGCGACAGCTTGATTAGGTGGGATATGTTCATGATGGGAGCGCAATAGATTTGCAAGCATTCTAGTGACGTGGACTCTCCCACCCGCGAATACACTCCCACGTCTGCAGCTATCCCGCACGGGGAGGACGGAAGGCAACAGGAAGATTGCTGAAGCCAGGCCTTTCGTCGCACTAAATGACAATGTGCCTCTTCTCCAGACCGCTAAGCAAAGGCTCGACTATCAAAAGTCCGTGTCCGCCTGCAGGCCATACTCTGCCCAAAACTCTGGAATCAATTGTCTACGAAGACTCCAAGAAGGCGACGGAGAGCGGGACAGAGTTGCTCACATCTGTATAGAGACCGCATGACTGTGCAGGTCAGGACGGTCACAGACATCTCTCCTATACATCAGATATTCTGGTTGCTCTAGCAACGTTTGGAAAAAATATGCAATTTTTCCATTCGCAATGCAAACAGGAATATGCGGAGAGTCTCAAAGGCGTGGCCGTTCTTCGTGCATGACCAGTGGGGTTGCCCGGCCATTGGTATGCTACAGCACCCCAGACTTCAAACTTAACATTAATGATGTTCATATACAATGAGAATCTAACTGGTGAATGCTTTCACATCAGCATTGGTGGTTTAGTGGCATAATTACCGCCTGCCACGCGGTAGACCCGAGTTCGATTCTCGGCCAATGCATTCTGTTGTCGGCCGGTTAATTTTTTCCTCCGCCAAGAATGGCGATCAACTTTAAAAGTTTGGTTCGAGGCAGATAAAAGGCGTTGGCTGCGCGATAGGTATCCCGGTCCAATATTACTGATATAATGCAAAAATATGTAAAACCAGTAGAAACTTTACAGATATCACCATGATCCCCTCCCATCAAAGCATAATATGAATACCACCCAAGTCGGTAACAAGCATACTCAACCCCCACTCTCCACTCTGTGTGTAAGGGCATCAAAGCGTGCCATCCAAGCCCTCATATCCTCATCGGTTTCAGCCCTCAGTAAAAGTGTTCTTCGTGCTCCAGGGTATAACCGTAAGACGTGCTTTCTCTTGGTGTAATCCGTCGCGGGTATTGCCAGTCCTGACGATCTTGTCAAGGGAATAGTTTGAAAATGCGGGCGCATAGTTGGAGACTGATAAAAAGTAAATATTAGCAGCTGTGGAGTTAGAAGAACATATTTAAATTCTAGGTACCTGACTATCTCCATTGCCGCTGATACTCGAGCGGCCAAGAATCCTGCTGGTGCGCGCCAATCTTGAGGCGGTGGATCCGCTTCGACTCCTATTTCCTCCACCAAATAATGATGTGGAGGATACGGATGAACCCCCCATACTCCGCCATATACTTTTCTTCCTTGTTTCTTTCGCGTCGGGAGGACCGGGAGGAATGGTTGGGCTCATTGGGCTTACTGTCTCCGCGGCTTTGGGAGAGTCTTCTCCTGGTGTCATGGGCGGTGTCGTGCGAGGTGCAGGACCCACCACACTCTCACGAGCGCTATCGTCATCTCCCCCACTGCTACTAAATGCGCTTGCTTGACTAGCCCTTCCTGCACGACTAGATCGTGAGAAACGACCCAATGTTATTGATTCTCGCTTTGTGCCGGCGGGTTCATTCGGATCATCAGAACCCCGCTCCCTTTCAAGGCCTTTTTCACATCGATAGAGTTCCAGTCGGGGCGGTTCAGCATAAAGGGCCGCCCAGACTTGCACCCACTTTCGAACAGGTGCTCGCAGACCTGTCTCGAGGAGTTCATCTTTCTTGTAGAGCTGACCCTCGTAGACAGGAAGGGCGCCAGCGGCGTGGTCTTGAGAAACTTGTTCTAAAATTGTGGTGCCTGTCTCGTGCCCAATAGATGGACTGTCCTTGCTTCCCGGACTGTCAGTTTTCTCAAAGTTGGTAGGCGTTCGTGCATCAACGTGTATTGGGGAAGCCGGCGTTATCATGAATGCTGGTGGGGATGGGGAATGTGGGTAGGAAGCTGAGATGGCAGTGATAGTATCAATGTCAACCGAGAGCCGGTCGTCTGCAGCGTCAACATTGTCGACATCGTCCATTAAAGAAGGCAACACGGTCACATAGGCTCCTTGGCTATCGGCATCGACACTGTCTGGCGAATTCATGTCAATGCTGCTCTCTGGTTTCTCCAGCACGGATCCCTGTTTCCACCTCTCTCTGTCATCAGATGTACCGGTAGATTGTTCATCAATACTTTGACGGTTCCATCGATCGATCCTGCTTGGTGTAGATTTTGAGCTACGGCCGCTCAGTGACCCGTCGGAATTTACCAATGCCCTTCCGGTCAGGCTTTCAATGACTGCATCACTACTAAACACCACATCATCACTTCCTGCCACTCGCCTGCTCGCGCATTCCGAACTACCGGTATCGTTCCCATGTTCATCACGACCCTCTTCTTCGTTGAGCTCATCCCAATCTCGCGATACCAGAAAGTCTGATATTGATCCCGTCGAAACCCTCGATGGTAAAGAATTTTGATCTGGCTCAACGGCGTCCTCGTGCCTCCCGTAGAGCATGACGGCCGATCCACTCTTTGTTCGACGATGACCTCTTGTGCCCGAAAGGGCACTTCGGGACGCCGGCATACCTGTGGTTCGCTCCCGACGAAGTCGGCGTGACCCTAGGCTGGATGGTTTTGGGGCAAATTCACGTCGATTAAGCTGGACATCGGACGAGTTTGACAATGGGTTTGCGCTGGCGGTGCTGACTGATAGATTATGTCTGTCCAGACCACTTGCGGTGCTTCCGCTCACCATTCGCTCGGTTTCAGCACCAATGTCGATGCTGAAGGCCCGTCGCCCGATCTTTTTGGACAGCGCTCCGCTGCCGTTTATTGCTGCCGTTGAGCCACCTATTTTGCCGGACCCGGCCAAGATGTCACCACTATTCGAGACCGATCCTTTACTCGTGTCCATGTCAAGCAAGCTCTGGGCAACAGGTGCAAACTTTCCAGATACACTGTGACCTCTGATCCTGCTCCGAATTCCCTGTTTCCCACCGGTAGGTCCCGTATTTGATCCTTGCGGACTGGTGGCCACCGCCCCTCGTTTCTCCACCAGACAGCTCCGACGATAATGGTCCTCCTCTATCCAACTTCGGTAGTCGGGATGGAACTTGACAGAGAGCACCGCCTCTTGAACGGCAGGAATAGGTTCGAAATTGTACACGCTTCCCTGCTGATAGCGAGCGATTTCGTCGAGAAGGGCATCAATCTGTATGTACACATAAAATGGGTACACTTGCAAGAATAAACCGAGTTTCAGACCTAAATGTAACCTCTCACCTGCATCTGCCGATCTGCTGCCTGATTAGCGCGACTAGGATCATTCTTTTCCTTCTTTAGACACTCGGACAGGAACGTTAGATCGCTCAACCATGTCCCTAAAGTATGGATGAGCATTGTAATGTCTCTCCATAAGCAACCTCAATCGTACCCAAATAAGGGACACAGGGCGGCTTGCACTCCGCTAATCGTCTCCTGTATGCTTCGCTGTTACTGAGAGGTGACATTAGATCACACATTTTATCAAATGTGGACCTCTGCCGGCGCCCTACAATCTGATTCCAGTATCTTAATCGGATATAGAGTAATGGCGGCGGTCGTTCTTTCCAGGCTTACCCCCCATGTTCTCGTCAATCGGTGCACCGGAGCCGATTGCAATCCCGCCGTAATACTTCGTAGTCCGTTGAAGTTGTTGATCTCCATCGAACACTGTATAACGGTAAATAACACATGTTTTCTCCTTTCTTGAAACATCAAAGGGAGCGTCTCACCTTGGCCACGCTAATAAAGTGAATCAGCAGGTTATATCGTCGTTGAATCTCTTCTGAGGCAACAATCTCTTCCGCAACCCATAATGCGACCTAATAATTGCGTTTTTTTGCGAGACATTCAACTTTCCTGAACATGCTGCGGCGATAGGGTCGCGAACGATACCTGATTGAAATGCTGCGTCGTTGCGGCAATAGCAGGTGCTCGAGTGTACTTTTCCGAACCTGTCCACGCTACAGAAGCCAGCTCCTCTCGAGGAATTGATCGGAAGTAATTGCTGTCCATGAGCGCCAACTGGCGCTGCTCAGAAAATCACATTATTTGCGGTGAGATTCTTGACATCCAAAGATTGCTCGAATATGGTCATACATACAGCAAGTTCTTTTGGCGCCACATCTAGAATGTCAAATACTGGCCCGTCGTACTTGCTAACCCCGGATGGCTACGGAATATGCTAGCCATCAGCCCTCGGAGCACAAGTCTCACCAAAATTCGAAATTTCCAAACTTTTAATCCTACCGTTCTAATATGCCGTATCGCTTTATCTTTTATCAATGAGCTTGTTGATGCGATTGTGGCAGGAATCTTTGCAGCTTTTGCACTAGATATACTGGCCAAACTTTGCAAAGACATTCGAACCCCCTCCCCTGGTAATCGACGTTTCGGCTGCGCTGTCCATGCACTAAGGTTTCCTGCGCTTGGACTCGCGTACATTGATGATCTTTGCCGTTTTCCAACGTCTGGAGGTGACATATCTTCTACGCTACGCCCAAAGGAGCTATCTACAGATGCCCGGCGAGGGATGAGATCCTCATCGTCATCAAACTCGTCATTGCCATTTGCCATTGCGGTTATGGAAGGACTAGATGCTCGCCGTGAGTTAGACATACACAATGTTGGGGTTGACGGTGATAGATGCTTTTGGTTCTCCCATTCCCTGGATTGCTGTGGGACGATAGGCTTATGTGGGGTTCCACTTCGTTGACTTTTCCCAGAATTTATAGAAGGCATGCTTTCATCCCTACATTTTCCCCCGCTGAACGCAAGGTTCCCGTCCGAAAAGTAGTCCCCAAGTCCATCTAGTGATTGCGCGACATTGTCAACGGACTCTGCAGTGATCGATTGACTTAGTGAGCGCGGCAGCTCGGTCGCCAGCCGCGCAACTCGAAATGGAGGCAAGGAAGGGCCCGTCCATGCACGCGGACGCGCGGATAAGGGAGCAGAGGTTGGTGATCTGACAGGGGCGTCATCGTACGAACCTCGTGGGGACCGGTATGAATGGAGAAGTCGTTGAGTTCCCGTTGGCAAGGGAGCTAATGGAGGGCGTGCGGTGGTGAGCTCGGTACTTTCAGATGCGGTGGGGGATGTGGTAAGGTTACTCTCGTCAGTCGCCTGGCGCGATCCACTGCGAGATCCAATTGAAAGGGTGCGGCGTTTGATGGATAAAGGAGGAGGAAGCGGCGGTGCCTTACTGTCCATTAAAATTGTCATATTCTATGAATCATCAGGATACATGTAAGGCAATATGAGACGGCATATCTCTTCTTTACTGACCTAGTCATGTCGCGCCAGACAGTGTCCCAGCGAATCGTAACGCGGAAGCCCGCAGCAGCGAAGAAAGAAAGAGCTTCAGCCAATATGAGAGAGAGTATCTGCTGTTTGCGCCGGCTTCTCATCCAAGATTTCATTCAGCAAATTCAGGTGCTCTCCTGCGGTGTGCTGCATCAAGCCGTCGACAACGCTACTCAACCCCGCCTTGGGATGCTCTCCAAGTCGGGAGGATTACATAATCAAACCGACCCAGGAATTCGGTTGAGTAAACCAGAATTAACAAGGCGCTTTTGCAGGCAGTTGCCATTTATCTCCGTCGATGACTTCTGGCATATTAAAGTGTCGTTTCCGCTGGAGGTTGGATTTTGCAAATGTATGGATGTTAGAAGCATATTTAGATGGATGCGAAACTGGAGAAGCTGCGATGTTGGCAACGACAGTCAAAAGATCCATTGGCAAGCACATAGCTTCAAAGGACAGACTTGCAATAACATGTTTCTCAAAAAGGCTGCGGTAAAACTCTTCATATTGCCATCCTTCATCGTCGGGATAAGCTGTCAAAAAGCCTTGATGATGGAGCGTGACGTGACGGGGAAAAAATCCGCAGGTGGAAAAACAGGCGTCACGATCTTATCCCACCCCTCGACGTTCGTTTAATAAATGATGCGATTGCTACGTTTTAGTTTATTGCAAAATGATGTATTCTTGTAGTCAGCGCTTTCGCTGTCACTTTACAGCTATGGGCCAGTCTCCCCTGACTTTACCTCCAGGTCTATATAAAGGGTGAGAATCACTTCTCCCCTCCTCGCAGTATTCAAGCTTCAAACTTTCGACTTTTTGCTTTACAATCTAACTCATTCTCACGAATCATGTCGTAAGTCTCATGTAAAGTTTTCACCAGAGAGTGCATGGAGCTGATCCGCGATAATTGATAAAGTTCTGGCCAATCTTACCACCCTACCGAACACGGCGGCGTCAAGAAGGACGGTAACCCCGACCGCCGTGTAAAAGGCGAGCACGTCTCCAGTGAGACTGAACCTGCGGATCGGACTCACTCTGCTGGGCAACAGCATAGCGACATTTATAAACCAACGTGCGTACATTATTAGGAGGTGGACTTGCATGATACTTTACTCATCTAGTGTATTGCGACAATTTAGTGAGCATGGGGGAGTCAAGAAAGATGGTACGCGCGACAGGCGTGTGAAGGACGAAAATGTCACCGAAGAGGATGCATAGTTACAAAATTAAAGAAAAAGCTTTGAAAATGTGTAAAACACCGCTGTGAAAATAAACACTATTCAACAGAGTAGCTTTTTTTGGAACACTTCTGTCCCTGTATACAGTCACCTTTGAATGGTAGAACCAGGTGCACAGCGCGAGCACATCCTCTTTATCGCGCCCCATCTCTCAGGAGAAGGCTTCGTTGGCAAGCCGCGTTCAAATATGACGAGGCCAGATGAATGATAGTCAATCTAGTCAACTTGCACCTTGAGTAAGCGCCCTGCAAGATGCATGTCTTCAAAGTTCGCTCCGTAGAATGATCGGCATTACTCTTATTTAGGGATTTGCTGTAAAACCTGCCCTCACCCGTCAAGCTTCAATCTTCAGCCTCAATGAAACTTGTCGTGAGTCCAAATTGACGTGGCTGTCAGGGCTGGTTTTAGGAATGTCCGAGTTGCTCACCTTCGCAAGACCGAAGAACTACGAAGTTTTTGAAATACATGTGTGATACGGTCATGAAAGTGACATGTTGCTCTATTATGCAGTTTTGACCTGATATCCCAGATTCCCGTAGCTACTACTACTGGTGTGCACCTCTTGACACAAGATTTGCCACCCGACATATAACGTCCTAGATAATGAGAGGCCGACGCTGGCGCACGTATCGCATGCCATTTGTCAGTATCTAGGTAGTGTCTGAATATACTACATAGCTCGGCAATAGGACATCCGAAGGAACTCCTTTCCTTCCCGAGACCCTCACCACAAAGCCTTCCGCCTAATTCTATCGATTCTCGTCTTTTTCTTCCCTAGTGGCAAATTCTCAAACTCTGTCTCCGCCTGCTTTTTGAGCATGTCCTTTCGGTCTTTGGGACATGGGGCGATTCGCATGATGAAGCCAGGATAAGAATTGTACTTTCTGGCAAGTTCCTGTACTGTCCACGTATCCGGATCCTCCTGTCGCAGTGTTCTAGCTTCCTCTATTTGTTGTTGAGTGAGCCATGATCGCTTGGGATATGTTCGAAGTCTTGGAGGAAGGTCCTTTTCACTGGATGGTTTGACGGGTGCGGCGTGTCTGTGGATTAAGGTACTTCCGTCGTCGAGAACCACACGCGGAGTATCCGTAGGGATATTCCATGTGTAGAAGGAGCGACACAGGAGGCTGTTATGCGACCGCACTATGGCCCGAGCAGCAGTCAACATTTTGAGCAAGAGGTTCACCAGCTCTTGCTTCCTTCGACATTTTTTGGTCACGGAGGAATGTCACATGTTGTGTAGCACGTGACTACGGGATATCGTCAACTTAATATTACAATGCGAACTCGTCCGGTATGGCATGTATGCATACGGAATAGAAGGATTCTTGCTTGCGATATAAACATCTCACACATAGAATGAAAGTAACTATGCCAGAAGACAGCAAACCGCACCTGGGGACGATCGTTGCCAAACTCTAGACCTCCGAGGTAAACTCACGTGCCTGATCAGGTAATCCGGGCAGTGATCATCATGGGCAGGACCGCCAAGCGACCTTCCTTCCGCATTGCCCTCGGGAAGACCGAATAACCAACGTTGGGAAGCAGACATTATTGTTACGAATGGACAGGGACGAGGTATGTCTTGAAGAATGGGGACGCTTCTACAACTGCCCTTAGAATACACATAACCTAAGTTGCGCCTTCAAGGCCCTCCTCCTCGAATCCCTCGCACTTCTCTTCTCGCTTGCAGATGAGCTCCGCAAGCTCGACATTACAAACGGTAAGAATGGAAATTGGATCTTATTGGCACGGGCATTCTGCGATCAATGATTGAATTTGGAACATTCTTGTCACAGTTCGGGCCAGCGAGTTACACTATGACCAGAGTGATATGGCCTTGGAGGCGCTCAATTTGGTGCGAGATCGTTGCAACCAACTCGAGGATGCCATCAGATCGGGCCAATCAAAAGGAAAAGGACGAAGCGCGGCACATGCGCACGGCGGTGTTATCTCGTTCTCATCAACGGCAACCCTAGCAGAACCTATTCCATGGGAGAGTGAATTGCCAGGACCGAACGGCACTGGAGACTGGGAGATACATCCGCCACCGATTGGTGGCTCCCATACCCCTGGAAGTCTTGGAAGGCCGCGTACTGCGTTTGTGAAAGCTGGTTTTGGCGATCGGCATGAAGAGTATTCTCACACCGTCACTGGCCACTTGGCGAGATCCCCGGAGCGAACCGTGGATGCCGCAGATTATATGGAATCAAGTTCACGATCGTCAACCCAGCCGCAACCGGTCGCATATACCGCCTTATCAACAAGCTCACCAGCAAAATCGTTTCCATCTGGAACCTCTTGGCCTCCAGAAGATATATACGAAGCGCACCCGGTTAACCCAATCCCACCTTTCGTGACGCGTTCAATGACTAACGGCGTACCGCCTGCATTGTCAAGTACTTCGTCCCAGGTATGACATGCCTTGCGTTGAGCTCATGTGTTAAATGCCGGCACTAACACTAATGTAGCCAACACCCAGCGCTTCATCATTGACTGCTGCATCAGCCAGCCGTGATACGCAGCTCGAAACTTCACATTCCAAAAAGTGTATCGAAATCACGCCCAGTGATGTCGACACGGAAACGGTCTACGTCGCTTGTAAGGAATATAAAAAGCCGGAACCAAATTCGATGGACATTAGCCTAAAGCCCGGGGACCGCGTGAAGATAACCTGCGTAATGGACGATAACGTCACCGCCTTGGGATCGAATCTGGTAACAGGGGCAGAAGGAACTTTTCCACTTTCCTGCCTCACATTCAAGTTTGCGTGGGATGAACTTCAAGCTGATACCGGTAAAGTACCAGCTGGCACCGCCCAGTCAGCGCCAACATCACTAGTTACTCCGGTCAGAAGGAACGAGCCGCCCGTAGCTGCACCACCGCCTCTAATGCATACCCCTATACCATCTGCGTCCACGGGCCCGTTCCCGCCATCTGTAGCAACGTCTGGGGGGCCGTCTGGGGGATCATCGGGAGAGTCCTCTTCGTCACGAGTAAACAGCATGATGCCAGGACGATATCTTGCCATAAAGAGCTATCCCGCAAAAAGCGAACTGGAGATATCATTGAAGCTTGGTGACGAGGTCGAGGTCATATGTTTTGCTGAGGATGGGAACACTGCTTTCGGGCTGCACATGCCAACAAAGAACCAAGGCGCTTTCCCTTCATCCTATTTGCGCCGGCTGCCTGACGACGTAAAGGACAAAAAGGACGTCATCCCGGAGTTCATGACAAGTGCTTTGGCTGGCATGATGAGTAACGGCTCTAGTAGTAGTGCGGCCATTCCTATCCCTTACGAGGCTGAGCTGGCCAATCCAATTGGTGGATCCTCATATGAGCTTCCATCAAGGAGTTCGTCCCTTGCCTCCAATAGCCGAGCAAGTATTGCGTCCAGCGCGTCCGCCAATGTTTCGCGAGAAAACTCCTTTAGCCGTCACTCAAACCCCGAGCCTTCAGGTCTTTCCTCCAATGTGCAAATACCACCTAGACAACTCCCTGCGTCTAGCGTACCGTCTTCGGAAGCATCCCCTATTTCTGCCGTGTCATCGCAGCTGCGACCAGCCGACTCTCTGTCGAAAGAAACCAGGCATAATCGGGATCGTGATTCCGTCATGGCTGCTATAGCGGCTTTGGAAGAGGAAAATGCAACTGCTTACAAAGTGTACTCTGATACTATCGGGCGATTTAGAGCTGATGGACGCCCTGTACCATTAGCTATGGTAATGTCAACTTGTGGGATCGTTTAGTCTCACGTACATGATTACCACGGGATGCATGAACTGATCAGTTACATATGCTTATATTAGAATCTGGAACTCATGAAAGCTTTGACAAACAATATGGCGCAATATAACTGGAATCGTGAAGAGCAAGAAGAGATGCTTAGGTATGCACTTTCGGTCGAATACTTGAGTCTTCATGTCCAGTATAGCAATCTAACCCTCTTACCAACAGGGAACGAGCGGAAAGTACCGAAGACGTGGATCACCAACAACCTCCCCAGCACCCGCCAGCCCCGATACGTTCGGAATCGTATGTGGGTACGCACGAGGTTTTAGGCCAGTTCCAGCAACGCGTCAGCATTTTCCGAGAAAAGGGATACCATCCAGCGGCTCCACAGGTGTTGGGCTCGGTAAGCCGGCTGGTGCTGGTCATTAGAAACTAGCTGTATAAGAAGTGGACTGAACCGTCATGCAATTTTCTTCGTTTGACAGGCGGCTCGAGGAGGTCAAGAGGAGCACGTCGTCCCTCCGCGCCAACAGATATCATCCGAAGAAGCTCAGAAACAGCGAGCAACCCTCATATCGATTGTACTGGAACTGGAATACACGGAGACCAATTATAGAAATGACTTGCATGCGTTGATAGACGTACGTTTCTTACAATTGGTAGCGACCTTGATTCTTATTAACCTGCATCGCGCCACAGCATATCATGAAGCCTATGATCGCCGAAAACATTGTCCGAAAAGCCGACATCGATCACATCTTTAAGATCATTCCTCAGTTATGCAGCCTTAGTGATATCCTCGCTGTTCAACTCTCGGAGGCAGCGCAGAACTTTGATAGAGATCCCTTTGCTGTTGGCACCGTATTTCTGAATCACGTTAGTAGCCGCGTTTGCACCTGTAGTCTTTGTCGACTTCTTCTGATTGATTCATCGCTGTTATCTCATAGGTGGAGGAGTGGAATATCTACATTAAATACGTGGAGAACTATGCAATGGCCAAGAAGACCATACGGCGACTCGAAGACTCTAAAACATGTGGTGAAGCTTTCAAACAATTCTTAGAGGTAATTACATGGATTCGCCATTCTTACGAATCCGTTACTGAATTCAGGAGGGTTTATCTCAGAAATGTCGCCGAAAACCCGAATGCCACAGAACCGATATTCACGGATTCTTAATATTACCCATTCAGAGAATCAGTCGTTACTGGCTTTTGCTTCAGCGTACGTGCAATTGTGCGGTGATTGCTTCTTTGTTTAGTTGTTGATGGAAGAATTGCTGCAGGTTTGAGGAAACATAGTGACCACACTAACCCGGCGTGTGAAACGTGAGTTAACCCAGTCTGTATTGCATGAACTGTGAGCCAGGATTAACCTTTCGGTCTGCAGTCTCGAGGTGGCTGGGCAGTACATGTTCCAGATAGGTAGTATGTTAGACTATGTCAAGCGAAGGGACGATGAAATGCATCGCATGTTTGAAATTGCGGGCGAAGTCAAAGGGTTTCCGGTGCGTTTCTCAATCTCGTTGGGCTTTGAAAGACCAGATAATTGAATAATCTCCCGTGCCTAGGCGAATATCATCTCCTTCACTCAACGACGCTTTATTGCCCAATACGAAGCGGATGAAGTGACTGGGGCGAAAAGGCTTATTCTCTTCCTATTCTCGGACTGCATCCTGGTATGCACATATCGCAAACCGCGGGACATTGCAGCAGACGGTAAGAAATACGAACTGGCCTTAAAAGTGGAATCCAAAGGCATGGTTATCGAAGACGATCATGGTAGGCATCTGTATTCCTTCTTTGCAGTACCCTGGTATACCTTTTAATTGGGATTACCATCATAGACGATCCGTCCATGATCCGGCTTCGTTTTACGGAACACAACCCACCAACGTCACAATCAAGCGCCAACTCCCGAGACAGTTCCACATCGGGTGGTTTCCGCATTTCGTGGGAAAGATCTCGGTCCTCTGTAAGCCTATCCGATCATCACGGACACGGCGGTCGTCGCCTGTCGTCGGACTTGGACGAACCAGTCCATTTACTACTGGTCTTGCGATTTGCCGATAGCCGAACGAGAGATGAGTTCATTTCAGATGTGAAGAAAGCGGAAGAATGGGGATTGAGAAGATTGAGGGAAAAGGAAAAGGGTGGTGGTGTCCCTGCGGAGGTCCCTCCTGTACGAGAGAAGAGAGGAAGCTTGGCAGAGAGGGCGTCGGTGTTTGAGTTGACAAATGGGGAGGACCTGTTGAATGAGTTGTATTATCAGGGGAAAGTTGGATGAGACGTGATAGATGTCGAATGTTCGGTGCATATAACTTTCTCATGGGACACTTGGCGGCTATCTGTTGTACATAGGTTGTTGTGTGGGAGATATTCTAAATAGTTGGGATTCGAGGTCTGTGATCCGCCGCCAATTGGACGGTGAATTCAGGCGACAACCAAGTTTGAAGCTGAGGGCACATGTGACAATTAGAGACATGGAAACGATTTTACTATTCATCTGTACTATTATTTACATATCAATTACAAAATTTCATGAACCTTTTGGCTACGTAAATACTCTGCGAGGCGCCAACTGATGCAACCCTTTAAACAAACGAGACAGCTCTTCCTCTTCCAAAAAGTGGACAGGAAAACGGACAGCATGCCCCCTCACCCTCTTCTCCAAAATCTCTTTTGCCAAAAGGTCACCGTCACTTTCATTGAGAAGAACATCACCGGTTTCGGTAGTGTCTCGAGCAAGTTCCTGGTCATCCATTAAATCTTTTACGCGGAGGGTAAGAGGTACTCCTTGCTCTTTAGCCATGTCGTTCATATGCTTTTCCATGTTTTCTTCCACTTCTCCACCGCGTGTTCGAAGGAAATCTTTGTAGTCTTTCCAATTTTTTACAGTGTCATCTGGGACGACGTGAAAGACGTGGCGCAACGTTCTGGTATTGATGTCCAATGTTGTGGTCCAAAACTCCCAGCAGGCATCAGAGACAGGGTCAAGGAGGGCGGGTTCAGTGCTGTACTCTTCTGGCTTGTGCGTTTCGTCCGCGGAATACACATCGGTCATTGCTGGAGGGAAGGGAACTCCGAGATGTTCATGAAACAGGCGGAGACGAAGTGAGTAGACAAAGTTGGAGGCGTTCGGGTAGGGATTGGATGCCATGGTCGTCGTGATACCCTTTGTGTCCGTCAAAAGAATGGCGAGTTCAGAGTCGCGGGAACCCATTTGTGAGCGATCATTGATGTTGGCGCTTCCAATGAGTGCGTAGCGGTCATCAACAAGTAGGATCTTTATTATGGTAAGTATTCTTGATTTCAGTGCGCATCAATGTGCAAGAACCTACCTTTGCATGCACATAGACCTGTTCAGTTACCAACCGATTACCCAAGACATCCCATTTTCGAAGTCCCACAAAACAGATATATTTGCCAAGTTGATCCTTGCTAATGCCTCCCTTCTCCAGCTCGTCCAATAGCCCTCGGATGCATTCCGTTTGGGCACTGAGAACATACGGCAATGCGGGATCTGAATCGCCTTTAGTCACATCCCCGTGAAACGCAGGAAAAAGAGGTATGATAATGTAGGCCCTATATTGCTCGCCCTTCGCGTGCGCTACCAGAATACGGTGAGCCAGGGTGGATGCGATCGGGTTATGGACTCGAACACGGGAGATAGGAAGCTTTTGACCGCGGCGATTGAAATGGGGGGGCTCCTTTCCTTGTGGTGACTGGTGCTGTACATGCGGAGAAGGAGAAGAAAATTTCGTGATAAAAAACTGGTTTTCGATATAGACATAATGTTTAGAGTTGCGGATAAGGTCAATGTACGCGTTGTTGATGGATTTCTCCCGAGGAGTTCCCGCCGACCATTGCGACGCAGATCTGCATTAAGATATAAGCGACCACGTCCAGTTTGTAACCGGCAATAATAGCATGCATTTGAAAACAAAGCTATACCTCAGGATTTGTATCTGAAGAGATCCAGTTGCCTCCTCCGGCGTCTGTTGAATTAAGCACTGACTGGGGTAAAGCCACGGAATGACATGGTCTGCTTTTTTCTTCTCCCACTACGGTAGTAACGTCCAATATAAGTACAACGTGCACGATTCGCTGTCCGATGGACATTTTCAATTCGTCTTTTGTACCTTTGCGAAATTCCATCGCTGAATAAAGTGCCAGACCAAGTCATCCACAGGGCCTTCAATGTTTTCCTCTCCAGGACGTTTACGGAATGTACATGCGATGTCGTGCCAAGGCATTCTGTAACCATAACGGTCACACACATGCAAAGTGTAATGTCATGACCATCAGTTTCTCACCTGGCCGTATGGTCTCGTGGAATGATATCCTCAAAAGGTTTCTCGCCAAGTTTTAAGAAGTCCTTAATTCGCGGATTGCTGTAATCCTGCAGCCCAAAATGTTAAAGGGTTTACAAAAACAACTACGCTCGCAAATCATATCTCAATATCAACCAACCTGCCCAGGAAAAATGTTTGCCAGCGGCTTGGACGGCAAATGATCTAATGCACGTTTAGGTGCATCTGCATTTTCATCCTGCCTTTCAGTCATTTTGCCCTCGGTGGGCATGAAGAGAGAGGTCGGTGGAGTGCCTGCTTGAATGTTAGTTGTGCTGATGACACCATTTCTTTCGGTTTCTGGTTTCTTGCTGTCATCTACGTTCTCAGCTGACGGGGCGATAGAGTCTTTTGCGTGCTCGCCATTGACCAAATGCAAAGCATCGTGCACAAGCGGGGAACATTCAATTGTGCCGTGTTTGTGAGATTGATGTTCATTGAGAAGATTAGAGTCCTTCTCGGATGCTTCAATCTTGTTTGATATCTCATTGCCATCTGTTCGAGGTTCAAGGTGGCCTTGACTATTGTAGACCAGATCGTCCCGCAAAGTGTGTTCTGCAGTGTCGTAGCGACCAACGCACAGGTCAATTCCGCCGATGAACGCAATTTTCCTGCCGATTGCCGTACAGCTTGATCAGGATGCTGTGTGCTAAAAGACAGTAAATGTATAATTACTTACCGATCAATGATAGCCGCCTTCTCATGGTGTGCCCACATGACCGTATCGAGAACTGGGCCGATAAACCCTCTCCCTTGATCCGGATGTCTCAATACTACGATATTACTCCTCTCCTTCAGCTCCAATTCGCCATTAGGGTCTTCCACAGCGGGATCAAGAAGATAATACGGCATTTTTCTAGCCATGAACGCCTCCTTGGCGTGTAAGGACGCGTTAGGAAGGTTCATCTCTTTGTACAAGAGAATGTAGATGCGAACGCCTTCGTTTGCTTTCTTGAAGAGAAGGCGATCAAGTCGGGTGGGCAAGTGCTCGTTATGTATGCCATCAGCACCTCGACGCAGAAAGATTTCGGGAGTTATAAACCAATCTGCTAGAAGGATCAGTACCTGCCATCCGTGACAAACCACATTCGACGATATACCTGCAATCAAGATTTCCTTTTCCGCGGACACAATTGCATCATAGACTTGCTCAAAGTGCGCACTTGCATCCACCATCCATTTGACGCAGTCTGCATGAGTTCCTAGGCGAACCGGCGCGAAGGAGTCATAGCGGCCAACGTCTGCCTGCACCTGCCTGAACCACGTCGTTCGCTCTCGCCGCAGTTCAAGCTGTGCTACCCATTCTCTCGCTACACGAGCCCGTCCACGTCCGCCTATTTCATAGTGGAAATCGATGAGGAGATCACGAAAGCCATTGAGGACGGCCAGTCGGTGCTTGTCCTAAGAGACGTTATGTTATTTTCGTGGTTGAAGCTGTGCATCCTGCGGCTTTAATTCTTACCTTGACCCATATTTCATTGGTGCGCTTATTGAAAGGCCTCAATACCAACGCGTTTCGTAGAGCATGATGCTGTCTGCCTCCAGGGCGCACTGATACACGATCTTCGAGATTGCCGGTGGGATCCTCATCACGTGGGTGAAAGTCCATCTGTTTACGTTGAGTATCTTTATGCAGGACCTGAAAGTACCCATCAATTAACAACACTTCTTGGGGGGTGATATCCATTGGGGAGTAAAAGTACAATAGGTAGTTTGAACGCAGAGCCAGCCATCGCTGTTGGGACGTCCGCGGTACAAGAAAATCCGGGAAACAAAAGACCTGGACAATGAAGGTCAACAATGAGCTCAACCCTGTTGCTATATGCACGGACTCTTACATCGTTCTTTCTCCCTCCCCGCCGCTTTTTAACCCATCCCTCTTTGCCCTTCACACCGTCGTGCCACGTTCCAATCAAACTCGTCCGAGATAGCTCAATTAGCCCGCATACAATCATTCCCCTTCTTCTCTCTTCTACAGCAGCCCAGGTTTCTCCTAGGATATTCCATGGTTCTTTAACCTCCTTCAAAACGCGTCGCAAGAACTCGACAAGCTCTTCCCCTCTTCGTTCGCCTTTTAGCAATGGCTTCGGGACTGGCCTCTTTTCTGTTGGAGTCCAATATTGTCCATTATCTTCTTCATGAACATGTTTGACTTCATCCTCATCGCCATTGCGTGTCTTCTCAGACAATTCATCCCTTTTAATTGGGGAGATGCCGGCTCTTCTCACAAGGCGTTTTTGTATTCTTTTGAATCGAGGGTCGTTGTTATCGGGATCTGACAGGAGCACAGAGAATCGATGAAAGTCTTTGGGGCGTATGCTGAGAGTCCAGTGCGTTCCGGTGGGCTTGTGAGTGAACTCAATTTCGTGGGCATCTTTATAATGGGGCCCCTGATGTGTTCGGAAGGAGCCATGCTTGATGTTATCCCAATCGTACCAGCGCTGTTTTAGGAAAGGTATTGTTCTAACGAGCTTGATCTGTTACAATCATGAGAAACTAATTGGAAGGCACGAAAATACACTGCAAATGGTACCTCCAAGTCCTCGAACCTCGGCTCAGGATAACCAGTATCACTAGCCGATACAAACATTCCCTCCGGGCTCTCACCCACCCTCTCCGCCTCATCGTCTGAATTTCTCCTTTCCTCCGACTTTTGAAGGCGGTGCCTTTCCCGCCATTGTTTTATCCTTTCTGCAGTTGCAGTGCGACTGAGGAAACGGAAAGGGGACCCGTCCGTGTCCATTTAATTTCATAAAATAGGTCTCTTGGTTTTTTTGTTTTTGCACGTACGTCAGGAGTCTCAAGAATGTAATGGGGATTTTGGTGGGAGGATTTCGCATGTCGAAAGAACACTTTTAAACTGGATCTGCTGTGGAGGCTTAGTCGAATGGGCACGTTCTCCAAAGAACTCAAGCATGACATCATTCATTTCCTTTTCGTGGCGGGAAATAAAATGAAATGTATATGCATTGCAGTCGATTCGCTCCATTGCAGCCAGTTTATCCTGGATTAACCTTCGTGTCATCACAAATCCACAGATGCAACTGGCCCAATTGATGATGCCCGCAATCCATATCCTCCACACCGACATCCGTCAACCATTTATCGACAAATTCTTTTCGCTTGATGACGCTCTTCCCAAAAAACATTATCCGAGCCTCCTCCTCGCTCAACTCTACAATCTTTGTTTCCATTTCAACTTGTTTCCGAACTTCCCACATCGCGCAGCGAACCAGATTGGTGACTGGCTTTTCTGCAGTTGAAATAAAAAAGGGCGTGTAGACCTGGATTATCTGCTTGGTGTCCATCGTATGTTCGATAAACCACCAGCGCACTTCTTCTTCGCTTTGCTCTTTGGTGTCAGGGGGTACTGTCCAGTGCAAAGTCCTAGTGAAATGGTTCTGGTCGGTTCCAATGACTTGGTGAATGGAAGGCATCTGCAGCGAAGCGTCTGTTTTCAGGTCCGTGGCAGGCATAGCTTGCGAATCCGGGCAACAGTGCAGGGTTGTGCTGGAATTTTGTCTGGGAAGTAAATGTGAGCTGACGTGTGCTGTCACGTGAACGCACGTGTGATTATAAACAAACGGTCAAATACACATCTGGAATCCAAATCATCTACGTTCCTTCTTTGGTATACAGCCAAAACCCAATGCTTCAACCCTCTTACTAGGGCCTGTTTTCCAGCACCTTTGTTGAACACCTAACAGCAGACACCAAAACCATCGCATCCACGGTATCCAGACTTGGCAAGAACGTTTTTGTGGATCTCTCATCAGCGCTCTCCCACCTATTGCAGCTATCGCATCGCAACCAGGACATCCGTCACATCCGTCACAGTCACATCTGCTTACAGTATCTCCAGCATCTGCAAAGTCTGCACTTGTGAAACCGCACAACTCTGCACCATAAAATACACCTCATCGTTCGATTTGCACTAGGTGCCTCCTTGCCAACTTGCGCATCATCACCTCTCATCCTCCAGTCTCAAAGTGATGCCAAGTCTCTAACATAGCGGCACTGATTCGCGACACTATCTCATAGCTCTCTTGGTTCTTTTGGTCCTAGCAATGGCTAGGCAAAGCGTACATTCAGGGATACTCTTTTTGATCATAGTACGCATGGCGCCCTGTGACCCGAGTAACTTTCAAAATCGTATTGGTAGCAGACGCCCGATGCACCCTGTCGATGGTAGTGTGGTAATTGGTATCAATGGCTATAAGAAACGCCAGGCACTGGAGGAAGCCACGATTCTAGGCCGGATGACCAACAGCATGGTTCCTTTATCTGCTCTACAGCGCGGCTTTTCCACTGGCATTACTGGTCATCATTTGTTCTTGACACGACGGTTGATTCCATTCATGTCTGCTGCTTTCAAAGAATGCGGGCTATTAAACAGCGAATGTGCATGATAAAAAGTTAGATCAAGAGCAGAGTCGGCTACTGCTTGTCCCAAAACGAATAATCGTTACGTGACGAGGAGAATCCAATAGCCATTGTCACATAGCAAATTGCGCACTTCATGATGCCATCACTGTGCTGACAGACATTGCACGTCCGAATCTTTTTGCTTGTTGTCTTGTGGCAGGGAGATAAAGGGACATTACCGCATCTTTGGCAGTAGCATGGCATCCTCTGCTGGCACATCAAAAGTGCGTACAAGGAGAGCATCATCTTCCAGTAATATCGGCGGCCATGGTTGCATCGTGGCCATGACAGATTGATGTACGCTTTTAAATATCCACTGAGCGATTAGATCAGTTATATTTTTCAACATTTTTTCGCTTGTTCCCTTGCCATAAAGTAATCAAAATATCATATGTCCCACATTGTTGTCACCTGATGCCATGGAAAGGACACAAAACTCCTACCAGCCGTCCCTTATAGAAAACTAATCTCTACCAACTGTCGAACACGCCTAGCCCCACTCTGATGACAGAAAGTGACTCGCTCCGCTTTCAAGCAAAAGCCAATAACCTGTAAATGAAGTGAATGGCGAAAAGCGCAGTTCGAGAATTGAGTTGGAGCTGCAATGTCTGAACAGATAATTGCATTGCTGGGGACACAAAGCGGCTTCCGTTTAACAATTTCAATTTTTTACCATATGCAAAAGTGCATATCTTGTTAAACATGTACCACAACGAATGCCGCTATGCAAAATTCCGCTTTTCATCGCTTGCAAGGAAAATTATGGGAGAAAATAACAGCAATGGTACGAATTGCCATTCCCCACTTCAACAGTGGAAAGGTCGAGGCCTTGTGGAGAGTTGTATCTCTAACACGTGGCCGCATTTCTGTGTGACGTCCCCGTACGGCAAACGCGTTTGTTTCATGTTTCAGATGTTATATCCACAACCACTCTCTATGTTAATATGAATTATGTAATAGAGATCATGTCACACGTTTGTTTTACACGTTTGAAGAATGGAGTTATGGCTTGAAAAGAAGATTGGGGTTGGAAACAACGGCAGCCGGGGATTTTTGTCTCAAGCGATCCTCCGTAGCGTCCTTTTTCCTTTAGCTTCTTTGTTCTTTTCCTACTTTCCAACTTGCTTGCCTCAAGGCATTTGTTGAGTTCGTCCTTAAAGTCCTTTTTTTTACTTTGGATTCTCCTTCTCGCACTTGTTGTCCGATTGCATCTTTCTTTACTTTGACGTCGGCCCCTCTTTTGTCGATTGGAGCTGCGTAGACGACAAGGAAAGAAATGAGGGTTAGCTTGATCCTCAGTACGGCATTGGCACTGGTGGCCTCGCTGGCAACTGTGGATGCCCAGGTCAATCTTCCGCCGGCCGGATATCCTGGCCCCGATAGTGCTTCCTCTGTCACTGTCGCTTCCACGGATGCCACACGTACTCCTCCACCCGCTCCCCCTACGACCTCGGTCGTTATCAAATCCGCAGAAACGCTTGCCGTGGGAGGAATAGAAACCATCTCAATCAATCAAGGAACGCAGCCTCCACCGCCCCCACCGCAACAGACTCCTCCTCCTCCTCCACCACCTCCCCCTCAACAGACGAGTCCATCGCCCACAACCCCACCAGTCACTATTGCGACGACAGCACAGGAAACGAGGACGAATGGAGGAAATCAAGTTACAGTCACCTTCCTGCCCCATGATCCAAGGACAAGAGGTGGCGAGTCAGGCGGGAACGGTGGAAACGTCCAAACAGTTACGGTTACCAGAACTGTGACGATTCAGGTCACAAATGCTGCCGTCTGCACTCAGAACACAAAGACAAAGGGCAAACACGGCCATGGCAAAAAGTCTGGCAACGGTGGAAATGGCAAAAAGAATGGTGGAAATGACAACAAGACTGGTGGAAATGGCAATACCAATACTGGAAATGGCAGTGGAGGCATGACGCTTGTGGATGCTATTCGAGAAATATTTCAGCTAGAACCTTTGCCGAACGCAGGCCAAGGGCGAGGGAACACAAACTTTGCCAGTCCCACCCAAACCGCTCGGAAACCCCGTTCCCCAGCTGGTAAGAATCTGTCTGGATTGAATTTAACAATGTCTCCTCAGAGGGCTTACTTGTGATTCACTCGCAATAGTTTTGTGATTCGCAAGAGGCAGCTGAATGCGCCCCAAAGTTTTGGTCATGACGCGCTATCCCCCGGAACGTATATCTATTGCAAAGAAGCAACGTGTCATACCTTTCAAAGGACAGCGGACGTTAGAGCTTCTTTTTTGGTTCTGGATTGCGAATGAGAAAAAGTGTTTCCATTGCAATCGCATTGGATATTCAACTTGTCTGATGGGCTTTGAGGCAAAGGATCTGACACTGTAAGATATACAAGCAGGTGTAGATAAGTGGACTGGGCAGAAACGTTTCTTTTGTATTTTCGTTGTTTTTTTACTAGACCGCAGTTGTTATTTCTTTGTATAAAAAAATTGAAAGTAAACAAGATATTTTCGATAACGCCCTTTTGCAGTATGGCCTTTTGAACTGATTGCTGTGTGTGTGTTGGTGAATTGCGCAGTCACAATGACAATGGCACAGCACTTTGCCATGGCAACATGAGATCTTCGATTGGAGAAAAGGCTTGATGGATGCGCGTTCTAACTTTCAAACGAGCTCGCTCCTTTGGTAAAAGGTGGTGTTCATCCCCACAGTGTTGCGCGTGTTTGGTTCCGCGTGGTAGTGTCGGTTTCCTTCCCTTTCATCCCGGCAGCCAATTCTCCATATGAACGGCACAATGTCAGCAGATCTTGTTGGTTCCCTCCTGTCGTCATTGTCGCTGCAAGGGGATGCCGATGGCCTCATCCCGCACTGTCCTTACGACTTTATAATTGCCGTTGACTTGGAAGCAACTTGCGACGAGAACCATGCTGACCCTAGTGCGGTGCAAGTTCCAAGGGATAAAGGGGAAATTATTGAACTATCGTATGCCGTCGTGTCGGTACCTGAGCGGAGAATAGTGCACCAAAGGCAAAACTTTGTGAGGCCAGTTGAGACGACCGTGACGGCCTATTGCACCCAACTAACAGGGATCACGCCTGAGCTGGTTGAAAACGCTGGTATACACTTTGAATTCTTAGTTGTCGCGTGTACAAGAAATTAAGAAATTCACATTGATCATGTAGGAACCTTACGCGAGGCCGTCGAAGATCTTCTCTCCTTCATTCAAACAAACCCTCAAAGCACCTTCTGCTTCATGGCCCATGGCGAATGGGATTTCCGATTTCAACTTCCGCGGGAATGTCAGGAAAAGGCCATACCTCTTCCGCCACTCTTTAGCGTCTTTTTTGACATCACCAAAGAGGTTCATCGTATGATCACTCTCTCTGCCGGCGTTCCACGACCAGCAAGTACTGCATCTCTCCTGAGCCTCTGCAAAGCGATGGGCCTACAACATGAAGGACGGTTGCATAGTGGGCTGGATGATGCGGTGACGGTGGCGAGGTTGGCGATTATATTATTGCAAAGGGTACACACGTGGTTTGCTGAAAAAGGGGATGGGGCATTACCGCCTGGATTGGAGTTACCCTTGTCGATACCCATTGATCTCGGGCAGGAGATTGAGGACTTTGCGGTGGCACGATCTAGGGTTGTGCGGCTGGGTGGAGTGCCTTTCAAGGCGACACAAACGTGAGTACCTGTGGCGGCAGCACTTTCAGAGTCGTTGAAGTAGGCTGCTAACTTTTTCGCATCATTGGACATCAAGCCAGGTATTGACATTCATTGGAGAAAGTGGTGTGGCCCCAGAATCTATGTGGATGATCAAGAATGCCGAGGGTCGATCCGACGGACGAGGATTGGTTGTGCTACATACCCATGAAGACGCAATGGCGGCATTGAGCTTGAATGGACGTGTTATGGGGGATCGCGTTGTTCAAGTCACGCCTGGTAGTGAGGTAGATCTGGAAGAGACTGCAGCGGTTCGCGGCCCCTTCTTGGTGAGTATTGTTATCATGTGAGATGCGCAGGGTGCTTTGTAATTAACTGCCTCTTGCCAGACTGATCTGGAAGCCCAGCAAGCCACACCATCTCAAGAAGTGAAGCCGGGAGACTGGTTATGTCCTACTTGCCAGTTCCACAATTTTGCGAGGTAAGTGAAGAAGAGACTGTGCGTGGTCACATTTGGATTGTTGACTGAGCGGATACCCCAACAGTCGCCGAAGCTGTTCCAAATGCCATGCAGTCAATCCATCTCCAACCCCATACGTGTCCAACCAGCCATTAAAGCCAGGTGACTGGATATGCCAAGACCCGACCTGCACATTCCAAAACTTTGCATCTAGAATGCTCTGCATGCGGTGCCGCGGTCCTCGACCAGCGGGCATGGAATTGGCGCGTCCGAATGGGATGAACGGAACACTGGGCATTTCCTTCTTGACACCAGACGGAACACCAGTCCAACAAAGGCCACAAGAAGTGCGACCCGGAGACTGGTTCTGTCCCAACTGCCAGTTTCACAATTTTGCCAGTCGACGCAACTGCGTCAAGTGCAGCTTGACTGTCACGCTTCCTGCACCTCCAAGATCGTTTGCTCCCAACAAGCCCGGCGATTGGGCATGCCCTAACCCCGCTTGTGGATTCCACAACTTTCAATATCGAAATGAATGCAAAGTATGCCAAACAGTCAAACCAGCTGGAATGGAGTACCACCCTGCGATGCATATGCAGGGAGCCCGCCAGCAGCTTTCACGACCAATGGAATTGCGCCCAGGCGACTGGCTCTGTCCCCACTGCCAAACACACAATTTCGCAAGTCGCCGTGCGTGCATGAAGTGTAATGCCTCTATGCATGTAAACGGCGGTATGGTCCGGCCGCACCACCACAAACCTAGCTCCAAAAACAACCTCCGACCCGGCGACTGGCTCTGTCCTGACCCTACCTGTGCATTCTGGAACTTTAAATCCAAAACAGCTTGCACCAGATGCGGACGGGCTAGTATTGGGGCACAGATTGTACCTGAAGGTTACAATGGCGGGACATTTGGTGCCAGGAGAGATGGGGATTGGGATTGTCCGATTCAAGAGTGTGCGTTTCACAATTTTCGGTCGAGGACCGAGTGCCACCGATGTGGGGCGATGAAGCCTGTAGAGGAGTGATTGGTTGCGGTAGATGATACTTATACATATGCACGCATGGACCTTGTTTTTCTTTTATTCTTATATTATTGGAATGCATCCGGCAAGGGTATTTTCCACCATGAACCATACCTTGATCCAGCGAATTACGTAATGACTAGAAATGTCTCTCCCTTTGATGCACGCTTGTCATTTTTTCGAGCTAGTAAATGTATACAAATGGGGGCCAAATCCAGTAAATCCAAAAGGCAACCCACATCTGACGTACCCAAAGAAGGATCCAAGCCAGCTACCGACGCTCCAAACTTTGTGCAAACCCCTCCCGAAAAACATCTCTCGGCGGATCCCGACACACCGCTCAAAAAATCCCTTAAAATATGGTGCAAAACGTCTGAGCAAGCTCGCACGCATCGGTTGGGGGATTTGGTGGATCTATACGATGAAATCATCAAACGGGGGGTGGTGTATAGAGCTTCATTACGGTAAACCTCTTACAATTATCTGGTTGCATTGAACACGATCACTTTAATGATGACGATGACAGATGCGATGATGATCCAACCACAGCCGTTGACCGTCTCGAATCATCCGGACAGAGTATCATTGAGAAGTTTCTGACGCCGGGAGGATCGAGGGATTTGACGCCCCTGCTGGGTGCCGATGGTCAATCTACTGTCACTCTATCGAGTGTGGATGGGTTTGATGAGGTGTTAAACAGAGTTGTTTGGGCGTTTGTAGAGGGCGTCAGAGGGTGTGATGTAGCGAGTAATGGACAATGAACAAGGAAAAACTGATTCACGAACCAGATATAAACAATTTTTGGGAATCTATCATACAAGACTATCTATCGTACACTGAAAAACTTCTAGGAACAAAGTTGTTTGTAGTAGGAAACAATCGACCAGGGGAGGGGGGGCGGCATTTTCTAGAGTATAAAGTCCACCAAAGCAAAATCTACAAAATCTACAAATCTGATTTGTATATATGCACTATATGAAGCCAAAGGCTCTTATTTTTTGAGTTTTGACGTCATTCCCCTCCACACAGAGAATGAAGAAGCTCGTGTCCGTTTCCGGTCTCCTGAATCATCCGCGGTCCGGGACAACGAGACGCTTTTACGCTCTGTAACAATGTGAGCAGCCAGTTTGACAAATACGGGGTCATCAAAATCAACTTGGAGGATGGTCCGGCAGTACTCGTGAATCATGTGGCGGATGAGCAAATGTCGGTAAAGATTGGCTTGGTTGGCGGCGGGATTGGATGATGAGAGGAGAGGGCCGGCTTGCCTGTCCAAGTAGGACATGAGGAGTAGGACTGCTGGTTGGCGACTTTCAGTGAGGTTACATTGCAATGTTCCTATATAAAATGTGTTGGTTCATATCCAAAGAAAAAAGGAAAATAAAAGGACTTGCAAAAGGAAGACTCACCAATCTCCTTCTTCATTCGTGCAAAAATGTCACTCCTTGCAAATTTCTGCCACGATCCTTCCATTAAATGGAGGGCGGCTCGCTTGGCACTGTCAAAGCAGTCGGGGAGTGTCTCGTCCGACGACATGGCGACGACGACTTCCTTTCGAACGCGCTCATCGAGGTTGACTTCAAAGTGTGAGTTGAGATTGAGGTATGTATTATATATATGTTGTGCAGCCGACCGCTGTTGTTCCACCGTGGGAAAGACAGAGGTTGTGTAGTGTTCGACTTCAAGGAAGAAAAACTAGGGGCGCAGAGAGATCAGTCAAACATTTGTCTAGCAAACTCTTGCCTAGCTGGCAATCAGCACCTAAGGCAAGGTACGAACGCGCTTTGGAATAACTTACCAAATTTTCACAAGAGTAATCTTCTAGGAGCGAGTAAAGAAAGTAGGCGCGAGGAACTTTTGACATCAAGAGTGCCTTGAGGCCTTGCTGCTCGACTTCGGAAACGGAAATATCCAGAGGCGGCTCTGAACCAAAAAACTTTGACAGTTTCCCAAACCGAGCGGTTGTTTTCTGCCTGTATCTCCTGTGCAAGGTCTCTGCTCCAACGATAGAGCCAAACTTTCCTGGAAGAGAGGAGCGCCTGGCATCGAGGGTAGTAGGAGATGGCACATCCTGTTCGTCTAGAATCTCCATTTCTGGTTGATCAATTTGAACGACGGTGGTAGCCGAGGACAGTGAGGACATTGAGTTACGGGAACTTCGGGGAGAAGTGGGAGTCTCGCGGGCTGAACGAGGTGAGTCTTGCTGTAAAGAGAAACGCCGCTGCGTGCGATCAGTTGGGAGTGTGCATATCTTGAGCGGGAGAACAGTTGCCGCCATGTTGTTTGCAAATGCAATGTAAAGTGTTTAAGCGAGGACGACGACGACGACGACGACGATGGACCATCCAACAAATGACGCGTTCGTCAAATGGGCCTCAAAGCTCTAGAGTCTGCAAAGGGGGGGTGAGGCAAAAAGGGGGAAAAGTAGAAGATTAAATAAAAGACCGTTCGAAGGAGAAAGACAAGTTGAAATGGGGAGAGTCTTTGCAAAAAGGTGTATCTTTTAACTTTTTTTTGTTGTTGTTTTTGTAAATGATCTTTCTTCTTCTTCTTCTTCTTCTTCTTCTTCGTTCAACGACGAGTTACGGCTGGGCATCGCCATCCCCCTGCATCGGGATCTCGTCTTGTCATTTGCCATATGTCAAACACACATACACACACACACATTTGGCATGGCATTATTGGAACACTTCTACTGCGCACTTGCATCGCCCTTTCAAAGATCCGCTACTTGCATGGAATGAGTGGCACAGTCATGGGGCGCTGTTTCACGGTGGGCAGTGCAAAATCCACAAACATGACGCAACCTGCATGCCACGTGGAAATGTTGATCATGTCATGTGAGTAGCATAGGCTATCAGATGATATGAGTGGCTGTGTACTCTCTTAAATCTAAAAAGTGTGAAAACCGAGTTCTTGGAATGGAACAACTTGACCGTTTTTTTATGCCGCCCTTCAGTCGAATTTATCTAAAAACTTTCCTGTTTTGGATGTCAAAGTTATGACTCTTCTCCGGACATTTGGTCAAACTTTTTGTCGTTTTTGCCTTGAGGTGTGACTTTCTTGCTAGGGCTATCTTTGCGGGGTCATTTCGCTTTTGCCCAATTTTCATCTCGCTTGCTGAACTCGATAAAGAGCAACAGGAGCGAGCGAGAGAGCTTGCAAACAACGCCTAGAAACAATGACCACAGAACCTGTCACAAGACAAAAGAGGCCGTCCATTGTCCGGCGATTGTTGACTCGGCGCTCGTCGTCGCGGTTGCAGAGAGAACACAACACAACGGCGCCAGTAACACCTCTTCTTCCTTCCGCAATCACGGTTCCAACATCTCCTTTACCAACACCGCCACCACCAGAACACTTGGAGCACTTTAACCTCGCATCCTCCTTTTCCTCGTCGTCTTCTTCCTTGTCCTCTTCCTCCTCGTCGTCCGCGTCACCATATACTTGTTCAAATATAGCAACTCCACCGCCGCCACCACCTCCTTGCACACCGCAAGACACGCCTCCTTCGTCACCTCCATTGCCCTCTCATATTGCAACCGTCTTGTTTCGTCGTCTGTCGTCCATTGCACGTCGCCGGCGGTCCGAGGAACACGATGAAGAATGTATGGCCAAAACCCTGGGTCTTGCTGAATCCTTCTTGTTTGGCAAAGATGGGGAAGATGTGGATGAAAAGAGAGCTGTAAAGTTGCTCAAGAGCATCCTAGATAGCAAATCAGCCTCCACTTGCCGCGGAAAGTCCTATGTCGAGGCTCAAGCCATTTTGGCCTTTTGCTATGAATTTGGACTAGGCATACCGCAAGACTTTGTGTTGTGCGAGCAACTGTACATGGCTGCAGCCAATAGTGCAAATGGTCTTGCTGGAGCTCGGCTTGCGTTTCTTCGTCGTTACGGACGGCCGTCTGTGAAAATTGATCGCGTTGAAGCAGAGGAGTGGGTTCAGAGAGTCACTGAATTGGGTCCCGATGCTATATCTTGGCTAGTCCGAGCCGCTGCCGTTTATGGTCATCCCGCCGCTAATTATGCATTAGGTGTGTGTTATCATGACGGCGTTGGCGTGCAGAAAAGTGCCGAACAAGCAGTGTATTACTACAAAAGAGCGGCTGCTGCAGGACAGCCTCGTGGAGAAGGCATCCTCGGATACTGCTACGGCGAAGGATTTGGAGTGGAAAAGGATGACAAAATGGCCTTTGCATTATACCTGCGTGCCGCACGGCAGGGTGAATCTGTTTCCATGTACAATGTTGCTCATTCCTATGAAGAAGGTGTTGGTGTGGCCAAGAATCTCCAAGAAGCCGTGAAATGGTACACCCGATCGGCTGAACTCGGTAATTGCTATGCGCAAAACAGCTTGGGCTACATGTACGAAGAGGGTCTTGGCGTTGAACGGGACGAAGTGGCTGCTGTCCGATGGTATACTCTATCCGCAGAACAAGGGTATCCTTGGGCGCAATGCAATCTTGGCTATTGTCTTCAAAATGGCATCGGTATACGCAAGGATGAGGCGAAAGGTGCCTTTTGGTATCACGCCGCTGCCCGTCAAGGCCATTCCCGTGCACAACACAATCTTGGACATGCGTACCAATACGGTATCGGTGTTGAAAAGGACGAAAAAGAGGCGGTTGAATGGTACCGCCGCTCAGCACGGGCTGGTAATGCATTTGCACTCCATTCCCTGGGTTACTGTTGTCAATATGGTATCGGAACGCCGGTGGACGAATCCCGCGCTCTCGATCTCTACAAGCAAAGTTCAAAGCTGGGACATGCTCCGGCACAGTTGAGCTTGGGCCGATGTTATCTTAATGGTGTTGGTTTGCCTTCACCAGATGAGAGGAGAGCTTTCAAATGGATCAGGAGGAGCGCGATCCGTGGAAACGATTTAGCGCAAAATACACTAGGGCACTTGTATGAAGAGGGTGTAGGAGTCCGGCCCAGTGTCAAAGACGCTGTGCGGTGGTATGTCGCCAGCGCAAGGCAAGGCAACGTCTGTGCGCTGACAAACCTCTCCTTTCTCTATTTGGATGGCCTATCATCAACACCCTCATCTCTATCTTCCTCCCTTTCGCCATCTTCGTCGGCTACCCGTGCTGAAGCTTTGCGGCTTCTTCGGCTGGCAGCCACTGAAGGGCAACCGCGCGCACAGACGCGTTTGGCTCACATTCTCCTCAAAGGCGATCTTCTCCCCTTGAATCCCTCCGAAGCCGTCATGTGGTACGAACTGGCCGCATTGAATGGTTGGATACCCGCCATGACTCATCTCGCTCACTGCCTGGAGATGGGCATGGGTTGCTCGGTGGATGTGCCGGGAGCTGTAGAATGGTATGCAAAGGCGGCTGGATATGGGGATGCATGGGCGGCACAACGATTGGTTGTGCTTTTAGTTCATGGCTCACGTGGGGTGGGTGGAGAGGAGATGGAAGAGCGAGCGTCACTGGGCTACGGCGTGGTGGCGCCAGCTGCATAAAGCACCCGATACAACGCAAGACCAACACCCAGAGCCCCTTGTGGCATTGTACATTGATGCATTTTTTCTAGCCTAGCGCATAGATATTAGTCGAATACTAGAGTTGAAAATAGAACATTTATATTGTATAAGATAATCTACGGATATTATATGCTCATTTATACTGCATAGATTTGCATCCCTCTCCAAGTGGGCATACGATGTGTCTGTAAGCAGGCAATTTCCGGGACCACAAAGATCGCTGTGCCTCCACGTGAGTCATCGCTCCGGTTATGACAAAGATCTGTCTTCCAGCCAACTATTCCACTGTTGGCAACTCACAACAATGTCCAGCACACTACAACCATCCCTCCAACTCTACCGATCTATCCGAAGACTGCACAAAAAGCTTCCTCCAGGTAACCATACAGATTAAGGTACAGCCTTCAAACCAAAGCTGATGCTGACATCCCTCCAGCCTTGAGAGCAATTGGAAACGGTTACGTAAAGGATGAATTCCGACGACACTCCAATGCCGACCCCGCTTTCGTGCCTGGATTCATGCAAGAATGGACACGGTATAGAGATATGCTCCAGCATCAAGTTTCTGCGTCTCCCTTTGAACCCAATACGCCTCGAGGATTGGGACGCAAGTTGGAGGAACACGAGTTGAATGCTTTGAATGATCAGCAATTGGGGCAGTTGCATGCGCTGCGGGAGGCCACCAGAGGGGAGTTGACGGATTCTCGGTGACGGGCTGCGCCATATGCGAGGAGAGTGTTTCTGTCGGGATAGGTCATCTTTGCCCGTGACGTTTGGGGAACCATACTTTTCTTCTTTTCTGTGCATTGACAGAATTCAGGGCTATTTAATATATATTTATTGCGAACATACGGTTATTATTTACATAAATTGACTCTTGAGACTGTGGAGGTTTGTGACTGGACCGGCCGTATGCTGCTACTTTCATTAGTCACTTGCAGACATGTGGATGGAGCAAGCAGGGGACGGGAATTGTTCCGGCTTGGCGTCTGTATCGGGCTTTATGGCAGACAGGCACACACCTCGTTTTTTCCCTGGTGTGACCTTCACAATGACCACATCATCAACATCTCCAGTTTCTTTGATCGCCAACCATTTCCTCGGCCGAGCTGCCGCCTTCCCGCGGGACACTCTGACAAATATCCCATTCTCATCCTTTCCCTGCTTCGCCTCCTCTGATGGAAGTTGCATGTCCTTTTTGCCTGGTGATAGTCGAACTTTTTCAAGCCTCGACGCCTCGCTCTCCAATGTCTTATGAGGGGTAGTCAAAAGATCAAGATCAGCGTTCAGATCCAGATCCGCCAGGACACTTGCCACCCTTGATCTCACAGGCGTCGCTAAAGCGTTGATGGCAAGGGAGGGTGTGCCACGTCTTGGCACTCTCGATGCTGTCTTGTGCCCTTTGAGTAGTCTTCCCGTAGGTTTCAAGGTACGAAAAGGTGTGCACGGTGCGGTGCTCGGGTGTTGGGGAAGAAGATTATCAAACGCCTCGTCGTCATACAGGAGCTTCTGCGCGGCTTTATCATCTGCAGGGAGCGTGTAAATCCGCGCAACTATGGGTCCACATTTTGTCTTTTTGACCGAGGTCATTGCACAGTCGTCTAATATGGTCTTCCTTTTGCGCGACATATGCCTTGCAGCAACCTGGACCCGCGCCGGAGTCTCGAACGCACGGTCGGTGTCCAAGCCTGTATCGTCTGAACGCAGCTCTGCGTCCTCACTTTGATAGAATACTTTCCCAAAAACGTGGACCCCATGGTTTCGTACCCAACCTTTATCCACCACAATTTCCTCTTTTTCCAAGTCAATTTCGTCGGCATCGTGGAACTCCTGTCCGTACTTCTCGTATATGCTTTCCCAAGCCATCTTCAAACGCAGCTGAGATTGCAAGCGCTGATGAGCCACATCGCCATATTGGACTGGGGTCGAAGGACATATTGACTGAATAGAAGCCAGAGAAAAGAAACCTGAGAAAGTCGGTGTCGGTTCGCTTGCCATCTCCAACTGGCCAATTCCAAATTGCTGACGCGGAAGGCAATTTGAGATGCAGTCACGTGTCTACATGCGTTTGTACGACATGCGCTTCAGCAGTCTACAACTAGTATCGAATATATGATGGGACAGATAACGGGTAGACAGCAGAAACACAGCAGCGCATGCGTTAAACCAGGTTTGATGTCATGGCCACACCGCCGTAGCAATTGCTATGAAATAGTGCATTGAATGAATGCAACCACAACGAACCCACAATGGAAGTAATTACAACTAAATTAAATTCAAACGGCTGTGTTAACCGCTGTGTGGTGTCCCATCACATACTCGATAGGAGTTGTATGACAACCCTGAGCTTCAAACCTTGATACATGCAACGATGCGCTGCAGAATTCCAAAAGAATAATAGGGTAGTTCGTTTGCAAGGAGGAGGGTGTGATGTCGTGTATATTTAACAGTTGCCAGGGGAAAATGAATAAGCACGCTCAGGTTCTACTCTAACGGTAACGGTCCATGAACTCCTGATGAAATTCCGAAATTCTTTGAATGAAATTTTCCATTTGATTTTCCGGAGGGAGGAAGGTGGATCGAAAGTGCCATGTACCCTCTTTTTGATGAAAACCAGATCCCGGTACGACGCACTAAGATGAATCAGTCATGAGCATGTGGCCCTCCTCTCATGGCACGGGTACCCGTAGTACATACCACTCCAGTTGCATTAAGTAACTCCATGCAGTACATTACGTCTGGCTCTTGGCCTGCTGTCCTTGCGGCTTCAATTGCCTTTGTCGGTAATAGGATTTGTGGAAAAAGATACATCGCGCCCTGGAGTTTGAAGAGTGTTATGGGATGGATGAATTAATCTTGCCAGAATACTCCACATACCTGTGCGGGCTGGCAACTCACTCCTTCCAGTCGATTGAATGCATCAGCGAGACGGGATGCCCTACTTCTCAATGACTCTGCCCAAAATATTAGACATTGATCTTGATCATCGGTGCGTTAGCCTCCCCAGGACGCTTACCGTAAATGGAATCTGTTTCTTGTTTATACAAGTCGTAGGATGCATCGCCCTGGCGGGGAGGATTGACCATCAAATCCACCTGAGACGGCACCGACGTTAGACGCCACAGTCATGCCGCGGAACCGGCCACATTCCTCACCATAAGCTGTCCTTGCGTAGGGGGGCACAGTGAAATGCTGGCAATCTTATAGAAGAGCTCTTTCACCTGAGGGTCAATCGAGGTGCATTCGAAGTAACCCCCTCGCCGACCGCATTCTCCTACCACGCCTTTTGACACGCTGTGGAAGGATATCAACTCCACGCTTCCGTACGCAGGACCCATGCTACAGCAGTATTCGATAGTTATTGACGGACCGTCACCACTCGCTCCAACACGCCCACAATTCGCCACGTTTTTCCTTACCTTTTCAGTACTTTCTTAAAGGAGTGAAACGGAAAGTCCTGAGGGAGATAAATATTTTTCTGGTACACTTCGTCGGCAAGAAGTACAAGCTTTTCTCGATGACAGAAGTCAATAACCTACGAAAATTTTGTTTAGCATCTCCCAGCAAACGTCAATCCTGATAAGGAACTTACATCCCGCATGTTATCCACCGTCAGACATCCACCAGTTGGGTTTCCGGGATTAATCACACAAAGAGCCCGGACGTCAAGTCCTTCTTCTCGGGCAGCAGCAATCGATCTCCCAAGCTCTTCCACCTGATGCAGCATGAGGACCGATAAGTGGCGGACTTCCAGAGAATCGCACTGACATGTCCTTACCGACAAACCCCACGTATTTTCTTCATTCAGGTAATATGGTACCGCATTACCCTTAAAAAGGGCAATCGATGCAGTGTATAATGGATATTGGGGTACTGGTATCATGATCTTTCGAAGATGATAATCTTTAAAGCAACCCAGGATACAGACATTTCAACAAGAGAACATACCCCAACTTGATTGTTCGCAATAAGGGTTTGCAAAACAGTTTGCACCCCAGGACTTGCCCTTTAAAGACAGTTATAAAATATTAACAGATTTTCGGATGGATGAGTGAGCAGGTGTGTGACAGGTACCCTGCAGTTAAAAATATATCGTTGGGGTCCGACGGGTACCCATCACGCTCTGGTCATGAAACTTAGGTTAAGCAGGTATTTCGACCTGAAGTGAGGCGGCCACATAGCTGTCAACCTTCGATAAATTTTGCAACATTCTCTCTAACAAGAGGAATTCCTACGCAATATGCGTCAATATTACAAGCAGGTCAAGGAAGGAAGACTGCACCGTATTACCTTGAGAGTGACTGTAAGCACCAACACTTCCGCCCATGGCTTGCAGGAGAGATTTGGCGCGTTCAATTGCATCCGTGGCAAACAATTGACGGGTAAGAGATATGTTCTTGTCATCCAGTAACTCAGGGTACTCCACCAGAGAAGTAACCTACGTCACTGTCACTAAAGACGCTCTCCCGAATGTCAACGTTCATGAACCACACCTGCCGAAAAAAAGTGATTGGTCGCTGCTCCAATTGTTGTGGATTACCAATGTTGCAGGATATGATACGCTCAAACGGTAAAGATCTTGGTTGTGCGGTCGCAAGTTGCTTATAGGAATGACAGCAATGTTTTAGCAAACGTGACTTGAGAGAAGCAACCCGCTTCTCACTACCAACCTGACGTAGTACTTCGGCGCGAATGGCCAGTTCGCCACGGACTGCATATTCACAATCGACAACCGCTTGATTGACTGTCGAGAGGTTCAAGACCTTTGCTCCTGTTGGGCCAAACCAATATATGCTCGGTTAGAATATAAATTGCTGGGGACCAGTTGGACGTAAGTAGTGGAGGTTCCATTACGAACCAGCGATGCCACACCGTATCTATCGTTGCCGGAATTTCAGCCTACCTTTGTCCGCCCCAATCTTTGTAGAGGCCTGTCTGCTCTGAGTTCTAGGAACCGGATGCTGCAACATTTTGGCTTTCTTTCGAAGATGCAGGCTTAAAGAGACAGTCGACAGGAGCGAACGTGGCATGAAAACACACCCTGGACAGAGGTGCTGCTGCGGATAACGGGAAACAAATGAGGAAGCCGATACAGATGGTGGACGGCAGAAAGTGTACAATTGCTGCTTTGGCAGTTGTTGCATTGTATGGTTAAGAGACGGTTGTGGAGAAGTTTAGGTGATCTTGCAAATTGGTGTATTGTTGGCTATCGCTAGCGAATTGTGGCTTAGTAGAATTTGACGATCACGGAGTGGAAGGAAGGGAGACATATCAAGAAGTTAGACTGTTATGATATAATTGTGTATGTTGACAACCGAGGCTAAAATGCACCTGCACACACAAACATCATGACACAGTTCCCATGGGTTACTTTACATGGGACATTTAAATGGACATTTGATTCATATTATTCCATAGATCTGGAATTAATTTCAACCATGTTGGGTTAAGTGCACCTGTTAGGATTGGGTCACCCTTTGGGTGGATTACTCTATTAAGAGTTATTTGTTCTACTGTTCCTGTATCAGAGAGATGTTCCTCCATCAGCTTATATTGAGCAAATAGTAAGCATAGTATTATAGAATAAAAAATATAGGTTATTGAATACAGTATATACCTCTAAGAAGCCATTAAAGAGGCTTGTAGCTATTATCCAGGGGCATTCAGACTCCTCTGATCTGCCTGATAAGTTACAAAGTTATTAAGTTATTCAGGTTACTATCCTGTTATATTTTGAATAAAATTGCAGCAACAGCCATCATATTGCTTAACACTTCACACAGCTAAGTAGGCTCACTCAGATATCTTTAGTTACATCAAGCCCCACTGCAAAGGCACCAGACCCCTGTAAAGAGGTACTATATAATAGAGGCAGGGACTTTGAGAACCTAGAGGTACAACTTAGCTTAGCTGATAATGGGCTTAGTGTAGTGACATGAGATGCCTAGGGATGTCATGGACTAGTCAGATGGGGGCACATGGATGTTTATTTTGGTTTTTGAGATGGGAAATGTGGCTACCACAACCAAGAAAAGGGGTGCAGTGCCCACAATTATTGCAACTTAGACCTTTTTTAGCATATTTCATACAACCCATGCAGGAACTTGGCTGTCACCTAATTGGAAAGTATCAGTATTGCCACCAACAAATCAGTTGCAGTGATGCTGTAGTTTTAACATAGGAATTTATCCAAGAATTATATATATAAGAGTATATTCAACAGAGCAAAGTTGTGAGGTAGAAGCCATAGCAACACTAAATCCCCATAACCAGCTTCCCAACCCTAATCTTAGGTTCACAGGAACCCAACAGAGCACTTCAATGGCCTGATCACCTGCATCAAAGCCTCTAAATCCTGCTCAGCTCACAATTAACTGAACCCCTTGCCTCTTGCCCCTCAACTCACTACCAAAAGCCAAAAAAAAAGGATTTGGAGACCATGGTTCCTAGTATGGCCACCCACATCACCTGCTAGGAGATCCAAGTCATCATCACCATAGTCATCCACTTAAAATCTGTTACATTAGTGCAGTTATAATAAGCTATACAATACCTTGAGTATAGTCCTTGTTATTAGAGGTTGTAGGGACCAGCATCTATGGTAGTCCTCCAGACTCATGTGCATCCATCCATTGCTGTAATTTGTAGCCTTGTATTAATTCCTCTATAATTGTATAATAACCTGTATATATTATATACTATATTTAATATTTTATTTTGCTATATAGCAAAGCCAGTATATGAACTGTATCCTTGTATATGTTACAGTATCAGAATTTACATAAATGACATATGTGCCCTGCAAATCCTGGTTCACTCCCAACTAATATTTTCTACTAGTTTCCCCCACAACTTCTGTGGTTAAAAATATGACCAGCTTCCCCCACCTCTGGCACCCTCCTTTAGTAACCCTGCCTGGGACCTATTCTTAATCTGTTAAATCAGGTGCCTAAGAGAGGCTTCTCTTGATTGCATGAAGCTTCAACTGATACTTTAAGTTCCCTCCATTACTATACCATCCAGTGCTTTGGAGCTGACTTCTGATTAATATTGAACAAGTCTCAAAGCAGAAGTCCCTTGGCATAATCATCAATGCTGGTTGGAAGACTTCATGTAACAGATTCTTCTGTTAGTTACTTTGTCTTTAGTTAGTCAGTCAGTAGTATCAGTAGTGTAGTAGTTTGGACTTAGAGATTTTCAGTGCAAGTCCATTAGTCTTAAAATGGCAGGCACATGTCTCTGAAACAAATGTTAGTAAGGAGGCAGGTCTAAAGGTTGATTTACCTAAATTAGGCAAGTCATACTCCTGAAAGGAAAATGTGAGTCAGAGACACATGTCTGAAACAAATTCCCCTTACTGAGCTGCAGAAAATAATTTTTGCTGCAAAGATAAGGATGATACATTGTGACTCAGCAGTTTAGAAGTCTTTTCATTGGTTAGAGATAAAACTGAAGCCTTGGCATTTTTGTCTATAAAAAGGGAGTGTTCCCACACCCCCCCTCTAATAGAATAACCAAGTTTTCCCCAAGTCTTCCTAGTCTTCTTGTCCCTGCTTGTAACAGGCTAGCAGGGACAAGAAGACAACAGAAAACTAGGGAAGACTTGGTTACTACTTGTTATTTTCCTTTGAGGGGCCTCAGAGAGGTCCTCTTTTTATAGACAAAGGGGCTGACAAATGCTATATCCTAACTACCCAATCAGATCTCACCCACATCATCCTAAACTATTTGTCAGCCTATTGCACCATTTGCAACCAATCAGATCTTGTACATGTCATCCTAAACTATTTGTCAGCCTATTGCACCATTTATAGCCAATCACAAGTGAGACAAGTCATCCTAAATACACTGTGCCACTTGATTGAAAGGGGCAGATGCTAGTGTGTCAGGATACTCATCTAATTTAGCCAGAAATGGCTAAATCTGCTTATTTATCTAATTCTGGTCAAATGAATGCTGACACCATCAGCAAAGTCATGTGACCACTAGTTTGGAACCACATCTAACCAGTATAACCATAGCACTGACAGAAGAATTCTGTCACACTCCCCCACTTTAAGATTAAGCTCCCTTCTGGGCTAGGAACTCCTTCAAGATTTCTCTGCCATGGGGTAGGAGGTTTTCTTCTGGTTCCCAGGTGTTCTGAGAGGAGGGATAGCCTTTCCACTTGATGAGGTAGAGATTCTTCTTCCTTCTGGTCTTGTGGTCAAGAATCTTCTCAACTTCCCAAAACTCTTATCCTTGCTGGATAATTGGCTCAGGCTCAGGGGGTACTGGTCTGGTAGGGAAGTCCTCTGTGGGGTCCAAGTAAGGCTTGAGGAGTCTCACATGGAACACTGGATGAATCTTCATGGTGCTGGGGAGCTCCAGGGTGTAATTCTGAAATTCATCCTTGGCCTTGATTCTGTAAGGTCCAAGCCAGGGGTGAAGAAGTTTCTGGGCTGGCCTCTGGGCTTCTTCTTCTGGGGTGATACCTTCTCTAGATAGCCAAACTTTGGAGCCTAAGGGGTAGCTTGGGGCCTTGCTGAGAGACTTGTTGGCTTGCTGAACTTGTCTTTCTTGGGCCAGTATCATGTTATCCTTGGCTACTTGAAGCAGTTGCTGAATATACTGGTGGAAGTCTGTTGCTTCAGGATCATTGCTTTCTCCTGGTGGTGTTGCTGGGGTCCTGGGATGCTGGCCATTCTCCAAGTAGAATGGGGTAAAGCCTGTGGTTTCTGAGATACTGTTGTTGTAGGCAAACTCAGCAAAGGGTACAAGATCTTCCCAATTCTTCATGTTGTACTGCAGGAAAGCTCTCAGGTAGATCTTCAAAGTCTTGATGGTTCTCTCTGCCTGTCCATTGGTCTGCTGGTGCCTTGCAGTGGCTAGGAGGGTGTTGCAGCCTAAGAGTTGCATCAAGTTGGACCAGAATGAACTGGTGAACTTGGTGTCTCTATCAGATACAATCACTTCTGGGAGGCCATGGTGCTTGAAGATGTGCTTCAAGAAGAGCAGGGCCAGGTCCTTGGCTGAGGCTCTGGTGGTGGTAGGGATGAAGTGGCCTCTCTTTGACAATCTGTCAACAATGACAAAGATGGCATTGTGATCAGAGGAAGTCACAGGTAGGTCAGGGATCAGGTCAATGGAAATCTGGCTCCATCTGGTCTTAGGTACTGGGAGGGGCTGCAGCAAGCCTGCTGGTGGTTGCTGACTAGGTTTGCTTCTCTGGCAGGAATCACAAGACTTGACATACTTCTTAATGTCCTTGTACATCCTTGGCCAGTAGTAATGCCTTGCTAGGGCATCATGGGTCTTGGTGATGCCAAAGTGTCCAGCATACTGAGTGTCATGGGTTTCTTGGAGTAGGCTCAACCTTAGGTCTGGGTCACTAGGAACAAAAATCCTGTCCTGGAAATAGAGTAACCCATCTTGATGGCTGAGGTATTTGAGCCTTTGTTGCTGGTCTTCTGGTCTCCTGGGGTCATCCAAAGTTTGGATGAGCTCTTGAAGTTCTGGGTCTTCTGTGGTACTGGTCTTCAATCTCTCTTGAAGGGTGCTGGTGGTGTGGGTCACAGCATTCAACTCTGCTGTCACCAAGGCCTTGCACTTGATGCATCTTGGGGCCAGGTCTGGTCTTCTAGACAGGATGTCTGCCACTGTGTGGAGTCTTCCTGGGCCATAGCCAATCTCAAAGTCAAAAGATTGGAAATTCATGACCCATCTGGCTTGTCTTCTGGTCAAGAAGGGCTGGTTCTGTAGCCACTTGAGGGACTGGTGGTCTGAGATAACTTTGAAGGGGGTTCCTTCCAGGTAGGGCCTCCAAACTCTGAGGGCATCATGGATGGCTAACAGCTCTTGTTCTCTGGTGTCATATCTGGTCTCTGCTGGAGCCATCTTCCTGGAGTGGTAGGCAACTGGTCTCATGCCTTTCCCATCATCCTGTCCAAGCCATGCTCCAACTGCATAGCCTGAGGCATCAGGGAAGACAGTGGTAGGCAAGGCTGGGTCAAAGGGTCTGAGTACAGGGGCTTTGGTGACCATATCCTTCAGCTGCTGAAAAGCTTTCTCCTGAGGTTCAGACCAGGTCCAGGGCTTGTCATTTCTCAACAGGTCTGTCAATGGTGCAGCTTGCTCTGCCAGGTCCTTCAGAAAGCTATGGAAGTAGTTCACCAGGCCCATGAACTGTCTGACTTCAGTGATGCTCTGAGGGGTGGGCCATTCTTGAACAGTCTGCACTTTCT